TGCTTTTGTCATGGTCTTTGATGGATTTCTCTAATGTTGAGACAGCATCGACACAATTATTGTAAGCAAGTTCCTTCTCTTTGATTTGGGATCTCGCTTCTTCAAGTTCTACTTCAAGTTTTTTTACTGCTTCGCCAAGCTATATATACAAAAGGTAGGCGGGATCGAAAGTGTAAATATGTGCCTCAAGTACCAAAAAAAGGCAATATGAAATTGACTTTTGGCACAAGATACAAATAGAAGATGGAGGTATAAACCTTGTGATGCTCATTCTGTTCAGCCCTCTTCAGAAATAAGGACAAGTCATACGTTTTTAGCTCTAACTGTGCTTTAACATCTGTGAATTTCTTTTGCAGAGGCTGAAGCTCTTTGATCTGAAATGTCAAGATAAACAAGCAGATTTCATGCAAAATACTAAAAACACTTCATTACTGTGACATGAGAAACCCAAAGAGAGCAATCATAGAGCATTACTAAGCTACTGCCTCATACAGTTTCTTTGTAATATCGAAATATATGCCTACTAAGTTCCAAAGTGTATATAATTCTATTGAGGAAGAATAGCTTTAAGGGGTTTACCTGCGCTTCAATGTCAGCCAACCTTTTCTGGTGTCCTTGTAATTTTGATTCGGCTTCTGCCAGGTCATGAAGTTGCCTAAGGAGATCACCTCCACCCCTAAGGCAAAGGAACAAATGCTTTAATCCTTGAGTTTTAGGCATTTCTGAACTCAAGAATATGACTCTCAGAAAACGTGCAAGAAAGAAAGACATACTTGCGACTCCCACCAGTAAGAAGACCACTTGGCTGGAATATATCACCTTCAAGTGTGACACTTGGAGTCCGAATATCCCGGTTAAAAGCAACCTGCAGAAGAAACAATGAGGGGCACATATAAGACTGAACTCTGGAGGCAAATATTATTAAGCAATCAAATAAATCTATCAAATACTAGCGAAGACACTGGGTGAGATTTTAAGGTAAATGTTGCATCTATAACCCAACAAAAGTGGTAAAACCTTAGAATAGATTATCAGATGTGATCTGTCAGGAGTAAACATAAATGAGAATTCTCCCACTGCTAGAACCAGATTCAGAAAGGCTATACAGTTAAGTATATTTGATTAACTTAAAGATGGAACATGATGTTTGAAATTTTGACATGTATCAGGTGTTTCATGTTAATGCTCAGATATAGCTTTACCAGTCTATATACCAAAGGTAAAGGTGAAATTGCATATAAGGTTACTAGAAAAATAGCTTAAGACAATCAAAATACATCTACGCACTACATATTCCACGTACAGAGTCAAAGTATAAGTTAACAAGAGAGAAAAGCTAAAGCCGTTGCAAGACCACATATAATAACAAATGCTTGGGAAAGACTTACTTCCTTTGCTGCCTCAGTAGTTTTGCAAACAAAAGTGGAGCCAAAAACAAACTCCATGGCATTCTGCAAAAGGTCATGATTCAAATGAAAATGAACTTAAAATTGAAATTCAACACTTGGAGAATGAAATGAAAAATTATCAGCGATGGATATCATGATATTCTTGAAAACTTGATAAATGGAGGATTTTGTATCAGATTCTTGTTACTATATGCAGGCGGGTACCTTTAATTCCGCACTGTAACCGACTAAAGAAAGTGCCAGTTCTGCATTATCCTTTCCAACCTGAAAATAAATAGAAAATTTTGCAAAGAACAAGAAAACAAAGTTATTAAACTTGAAAATACCAATGAAAAGATCCACATACCAATCTAGCAGTCGCTTGCTGCACTCTAGGCTGAACAACGTGAGACTGAATTTTGTTCAGAGGTATAATTGTAACTCTTCTACGAAGAGCACCGTTTTGAAGGAGCTGTTTTCCAGTATCTTCCGAGTCTACAACAACATTATACAATTTTCCACCAGCAGTAACCTTAAAAAAAAGGCAAAGTGACTTTAGACAATTAAAGTTCAACAATGTCTATTGTGTAATGGTAAGATACCCAATTTACCTCCAACGCTGTCATCGAGTTCCTATCTTTTACTTTTATTAGTTTTGCGACCACGCCTTTCACCTTTGATCGGTCAAAGTTTCTCACAGGATCGCGGTAAGTAAACTGAACATTTGCTAATTGAGCTGATAAGCCACGCACTTTATCTTCCAGCCTTTGCACAACTTCGAGTTCAGCTCCACGGTCCTAAACGAACATTTTGGTCAGGGACGTATACTTGATGTAAAAGTAGATAAAACCAACTAAGGTGACCCCATGCTAACCTTCTCCAAAGCTTCCATATGACCCTCTTTATAAGGAATAGATTCAAGTGCTTTTTTTATGCGTTCCACATCATTCTTTCTAGAACCAAGTTCATTCTGCACTTCAACGGCTTCGTCCTGTTTTGACAATAACTGAGACTTTCTCTCATTTAGCTCCTTTTCGCAGTGTCCTATCTTAGTTTTTAGCTGTGTCAACTCTGTTCCTGCTGTTCCAACAGCAATCTTTGCATCCCGTAGTTGATCTTCAAGGCATTTCTCTTCATCTCCACTACTCTTACCAGCTAGTACACCCTAATTATCAAAGGACATAAACCCGATAAACATAAGACAAATGATTAATTGGCAAGAAATCAAGATATGTTTTTGTAGTGGTACTACCTGGTGTTCCCTTTCACAATCTTCCAATGTGTTAGAGAGTTCCTGAACTCTTCGCTTTAAGTCTGCCGCTCCTTCCTCAGACTTCTTCACAGCAGATGCTCTCTCTTTTACGGATTGTTTCAAATCTTCTATACTATGAACCATCTAGCAACACCAAGTAGGAAGTTATAGATGTCAGATATAACTGAGAATCGTCAACACCTCTGACAAGAAAAAGAAAAAAACATTTTAGTCCTCTCTCTAACCTTTTCAGCATTCTCTTTTTCTCCAAGAAGGGTGTCCTCCTTATTATGAAGTTTAGATGACTCACGAGTCATCTCTTGAGACAGTGAATCCACTTTCTCTGACAGACTTTTAACTTCTCCCCCCATGCTGGCTTCCTTTGCCCGAGTTAGATCTTTGATTTGTTTCTCAATTTCCTGTATTTCAACCTGTGTCTTTCCTGTTTCCTCGTCGATACTGGTGAGCTTCGCCTTCATTTCTTCAACCCCGTGAACAGCGCTGTCTCTTATTTTCTCTGCTTGAACATATTCAAAGGCAATACAGAACCTCTTTAGTCGATCCAGCTCTGCGTTACCGTTAGCCCACTGCATGTACTGCGCTTTTTCCTTCCTCAGTTTCTCTAAAGCCGGCAGTATTTCGTGATCTAGGAGCTTGTTTATCTCATCGACCTTGGTTTGCTTTTTCTCAAGCGTTTTAAGTGCAGCCTCTTTCTTGTTTTCGTACATTCTTGTTCCAGCAGCTTCCTCAAGCATGGAAAGGATCTCGGGAGGTTTCATGTTCAAGACTTTGGTGATTCGCCCTTGCATTATGAGAAAGTGAGGATTGTTGACGTTAAGCTGCACCGAGTGGAAAAGATTCTGGACTTGGTTTGGTTGCGCAAGCTTCCCATTTATCAAATACTTGTTCCTTCCTCCAACTACAATCTTCGAAACCAAAAAGGATACACAGAGAAACCCGTGAGCAAATAAAAGAGCCATTTCGTCACAGTGAATTCAAAACTAAGCTAATTCAAAGCAATTGGAAGGGAAGCCGAGGGAAAGAGGAAGAAGAAACCTACTTGTCTGGTGACGGTGATCTCGGGGTGCTCCTCGTAGCCGAGAGGGCTCCTGTTTCTCTCGGAGTTGTCAAAGGTGACGGAGACGGTGGCCTTGGTAATGCCAGCTTGACCTTGCTTGTAGACGAGCTCCTGGAGATTAGCAGCTCGAACCTGCTGAAGGTTGGTGATACCCAGAACGAAGCAGATGGAATCGAGGATGTTGGATTTCCCCGATCCATTCAGTCCCGTTATCGCGTTGAAATGAGGATCGAAACCAGATACCACCGTCCTTGTGGCGTATGATTTGAATCCTTCCAAGCATATCTCCTTTATGTGCATCTTCTTTCTTCTTCCCCCAGATTTTCCGTTCACTGAATGAAAAGCGGCAAAACCCTAGGAATCAAAATTAAAAACGAAAAAGGGCGAGATGGGAACCCAGAAACCTTATGAGAAACACGATGGAATTTAGCAGAGCTTAATTGGAGACGAAGATCGGAGGTACACGAAATTGAAACGTTGCGAGAGAGACTAATCTGAAGTCAATATTGCTTTTTGGTCGAAAATAATTAGGAGTCGATTTTGGAATTTCGAAACGAGGGCATCGGATTTGGGAGCAAAAAGAGCGGGAAAACGAAATTTCGAAATAGTTCGTAAACACTCCATTCCGATCAGAAGGTCCACTTATCTTATTAGGTAAATGTTTTTTTTTTTACTCAGAGATATTCATTCATCAATCTTACGAAGAAATGTTATATTTTTCGATGCGAAATGGCAAAGCATGCAGAGAGTCAGTCACTTCGATGGAGATGAAGGTCTTGCTCTGCTTATAATCAATTTTCCAATCGCATTTCGTTTCAGTGCATGGAGAGTTTATAACAGCCTTGCTAACAAAGCTTTTTTACGAAGTTAATTATTTTTAAAGCGCCAAATAACATCTCTCATATACTAATCTATTTGGATGTCAATCTTCATAGATGTAAATAAAAATTCCACAGACAAAATCTTAAGGTTTCACTACAACCGAGCCGAGGTAAGAAGACATTGTTTCTTGCAGAGAAAACAACAAAAACGAAAATAAATCTAAGAGTCTGCTATGGTGACCTCGACCTCAACACCTGGCTCAATGGTGATGGAAGTGATTTGCTTAACCACATCAGGAGAGCTGAAGAGATCAATCACTCGTTTGTGAACCCTCAATTCGAACCTGTCCCATGTGTTGGTTCCTGTTACAATACCATTGGTTGAGAGTTTTAGCCATTTCATCAAAACAAAGAATTTGAGTCCAACCAGATGAATATTAAGGCCTAAATCACTAATCTAATCACACTGATGAAAGATCATGCTTAAAAGGATTGAGTTTCTCAAGGCTAATAAACACAAGTAAAATGAAATTATACATACCTTCACCACAAGGAGCTTTTCGGGTAGTGATCTTAAGCACCTTGGTGGGCATTCTCACTGGTCCCTTAGTTCGGAGTCTCTTGTCCTTAGCTCCACGAACCAAATCAGCGCACACTACACAATATTATTTGAACCAATGAGAAAATCATCAAAATCTACTCTTTGAATCAAATCCAAAATTGCAACAAACTAATTGCAGTGTTTCTGCTACAATACAAACTAATTGTAGTGTTTCTGTTACAATATCTCACATTTCTTAAAATCCTTAACAAGTGAAACACTAAAGCCTCAGAATTCTCTATTAAGTCAAACATACTAACAAGGTGATAGCTGAATTTACATGATAGGATCATCCAAATCAAAGGGAAAGAGCAAAAACCTTTTTCGAGGTTCTTCACATTCTTTGAGGAGAGAGTAATCCTGATCTTGTGAATTTGCTCGAGTGGCTCTTCCAAGCCAGCCTTTGAGGGCTTCATTGCTGCATAAGCCATATTTTCAACCTCTTTCTTTCTTCTTCTCTAAAATCACAAACATACAAACCGATCAATCACACGCACAAAACTTCCCGACAAATTCAGGTAAACATTAGAAACCAAAAGTGAAAGAAACCTGTAAGACGACGGCGACGAAGGAAGCAACGAAAAGTTAAGCTTTAACCTTAAATATAAACTCGTGAAATGAAAACCCTAAGTATTTTGGGGCTTATGAGGCCCAATCATTCAAAACAGGCCTCATGCAATTAAACTATAGCCCACTTAACATAAGTGCATAGATTTTTTCGTAAACCGTCGCCACCCACTACGAGAAGTTATTTTAACTGTTTAAAAATCTTTCGAAAATGGAAGAAAAAAAAAACGATGGTTAAGAAGAGGATGAAGAAGAATGCGAAAAGTAATACAATCTTGGAGAAGAAACTTGAAGAAATTGAGTGTCTTCTAAAAGAATTAAGTGTCGGCGATGGTGATCTTAATGCTTACCGGAAAATCCAACACCGGTTTATCTTCACGAAGACTCTTTTAAGTGCGGAGATATCGTCGGTTGAGGACGATGAAGAGGAAGAGTTAAAACTTGCATGCATGGCTAAGAGGTTAACCGAACTTGAAGAGGCTTTTGACAACCAACTGACCGGTCCAATCAACGAAAGCGGCGGTGTTGTTGTCAATGTTGATGAAACCGGTTCGGTTTTCTCGTTTGTGGAATCGTTACCGGGAGAATTCCAAGATGCGTCACTGGAGAAGACGGTTGAGGATGCAGTGGCGGGGAGAAAAACCGGTGAGAACAACAAGAAGAAGAACCGGTTTAGGGGTTTGGTTAGGTTTGGTATAGTTGGTTTTGTTGCTGGTGTGGTAAGTTACTTTGGTTATTTTTGTGATCAAATGAATAACGAGGATACTATTTTCCCCACTGCTACTTAATCTTGGTAACAAAACTTTGTTGTTGTCATTGAACTTCTTGCTTGTTATAGTTATGCGACTAGTTAATTTACAACGATTCTTATGTCGTAGTAAAATACGTTTTGGGTTTATAATTACATGATTAATGGTTTTTTTGTTGGCATCTTTTGCCTTATTAGTGACGATTACTGGCTAAGTGAGACTGAGAAACTCTGCCGATAACGTAAGATATTTTTGGTGTGGCTCACGTGGGAAGAACAGAGCCCCACCAGGCTGTAAATCCCACCGAAAGATTCTCTTGTCGCCGTAAAGTTCAAACGTTTCAAGGTCTTTATCGTCTTTTTATAGGTAAATTCGCGGTTATCCTCTCATATTCATAGAACCGGGTTGGTTGAGCTAAGCTAATTTAGAGTACGAATTTCAAAATTTTAAAGTAACAAACTTCACAATGTGATTATTAATGACAGACAGACATTACCTAGTAGTAGTATTTAACTGCATAATAATATAATAAGCTTGGTGAACTTTAATCTGAAAACTGAAATCTAGTGGCATGGAAATGGCGAACCGGATTTACGCCTTTGAAAATGTCAAATTAACCCTTTTGAGTCCCACTGATTTTGACCATTCTTGCTCTTTTTTCAATCTCATCTTCGTAAAACTCAAGAATTTGTCTTCTTCTCCATCCTTATTTTGATGTCAAATCTGATGACATTTTTATAATTAACTTGTGAACCATTATCACTACGAATCAAAAGAGCTTTGCATCTTTTCAGTAGTTATTATTACTGCAACACCAAAAAAATCTCCGACGAAGCTGTTTTTTTTTTAACTCGTGACCTGATTCGCTGGGTTCACAAAGCCCGAGTCAAACACTTATCAACCATGAGCTGGATTCGTAGAATCGATCTCATCGACCCGTACACTTGTTCGCCTCTCGTCGTCAGAGAAACCTCAATCACCGAGCCTTCAGCAGCATTACTGTTAGGGTTTCCTTCGTTCATCGACGATGAGGTTGAAGATCTCGGTTTCCCTTTCGGGTTTTCGTCCCCTTCCCCACTTGATCTATTCGAAAGCGTGACGGATCTGGTCCAGATTGAGAAATCTCCTTCGTCTTGCAAGTACCAGCTGATTCGCCGGAAGGCGGAGCCGGATTATCCCCTGCAGTATCTCTGCAACCGAGTCTCTGAGTTGGAAACGAAGTTTGACCGATTGGTCGGTCCTAAAAGCCGTGATTCTGACCGGAAGTACAAATTGACGAAGGAGATCAAAGGTTCTGGAGAGCGGAAGTACAGATGGGAGGCGGAGATCCAGGGGCCTCCGGGGAGGAAGTACAAGCTGGAGGCGGAGATGGAAGGATCGACGGAGAGGAAGTACAAGTGGGAAGCGGAGATCGAAGGTCCTGGGGAGAGGAAGTACACGTGGACGACGGAGATCAAAGGCGGGAAAAAGGACGAGGAACGCAAGCTACTTGCTTTGAAGAAGGCGAAGGCGAAAGCTGCTGCGGAGGCTGCCGAAGCGGAGAAGGAGAAGAATGAGAAGAAGAAGAAGAAGAAGAAGAGCTACAATTGGACGACGGAGCTGAAGTCGGAGAGGGAGAACGGAGAGATGCAGCACACGTACACGATCAAGGCTTCCACTGGAGGCGACAAGGGGAAACATGAGGAGAATGAGAAGAAGGAGAAAAAGGAGAAGAAGAGCAAAAAGAAGGAGAAAACGCGTGCTGTAGTGATCGAGGAGGATGAAGATGAAGAAGATGAGTCGGAAGAACACAGAGCCATCGTCCTCAGGAAGGTATCATCTATTAAACCGACTCTTGGTTTTACTCTGCTTATGCATTTTGAAATGTGTGATTAAGACATATCTCTGGTTTTTATTAGTTTATGAAGTTGGTTGAGAACAGTAGTTTGATTTTGATTGGCATGATTGTGATTGTTGTCTTAAAAAAATTGAACCTTCACGTGCTTGTGTGGTGATACTAAGTCTATACAGACCCACAGCTTAGCAAAGCATTTCCCCTGTACTTGAAGAATAATTTACAAGTTTATGTTATTATTCTTTTGAATGTCATCTTTTACCAAAGCTTGATGTACTTACAATGTGTTTCTCCTAATGGTTGTGGTTGTAAAGGCGTTTTCCAGAAGAAATGGAGCTGTTAGGACCAAAAAGGGAAAGAACAAGGAAATGTCGCCTGAATATGCGGCTGTGATGATCCAGAGGACCTTTAGGGCTTATTTGATTCGCCGGTCAAAATCATTGCGTGCTCTTCGTGATCTAGCGATTGCGAAGACTAAACTGAAGGAGCTAAGAGCTTCATTCCACAACTTCAGCTATCGTCGCCTGATTGCTCGTGATGCAGAGGAGCGCCAGAAATTCTCAGAAAAGATCATTGTGCTCCTCCTCACAGTTGATGCCATTGAGGTATTTCTTGGTGGAGAATTTGTGGTTAATTACACTCTTAAATTACACTCGTAAAAGGGAATGCCTTTGCTTTTCAAATTCATTGTAGCACTGTTTTAAGGTATTGACTGTTAATAATGGTGGAAATTGTGTGTTTTGGTATCAGGGAGTTGATGTTATGGTTCGAGGAGCAAAGAGATCAATGGTGGATGAGCTGGAGGAGATGTTGGATGTTGTAGACCCGCAGCCGCAGGGGAAATCATTGTCGATGAGGAGAAGAACATTCGATATGCCAGACAGTTTGATCCGCGAAGAAATCGCAGAGGGAGTGACTCAGATTGTGCAGATGCTTGAAACCGAAGAAGAATGATGGAGCTATGTGTGCGTGTGGTTCAGAGGCTGTTTTGTTGTGCTCGTGTCTGAGAATAATTTAATTAGCCTCTTTAGTTTGCTTAGTGTTTTGAATGTTTCTAATTATGGAGAACAAAATAAGTGGGATTTGCTTGAAGAAGAGATTGGTGTCTGTTTATCAGTCATATCTCTCAAATCTTGCCTCTTGTGTCTTCTTTCTTAGTGTGTTGTGTTTTATCATCAGTTTATGTAATCCCTTTGTGTTCCCAAGCTTGTAGACTCTGTTTTATCAAATTGCTTTAAGTTTTTTATTCTGATTGTGTCATTGTTTTGGTTCTTGATTCTATTCTTGACTTCTTGAAAGGTACTCGAGGAATTTTTATAAATCTGTTTGTTTTTGTTCAACATAAATAACCATGATTAGAAATACTATCATGTATATGTATTTCATAAAAGAACTAGAAAGTTACACGGGTTGAGAAAATATATGATACATTTTACACCATAATAATAAATAAATAATTTTCGTATAATTAGTAATCGTTAAGACATACGTATGATTTAATCAATAAGCATGAGCGCTGATCCTTAATTAATATATAGGCGTTCGGATTTACACACACGTTTGAGGATGGATCTTACGTGTGTGTATTCTGAGCCCAAGAGTAGAAGGAACATGGAGAAGAAGAGGAAGATGCATTCATCGAAACCATTGTTGCTGCTTGCTCTTCAGAGAGATGGTGAAACGTTTCATTAGAAGAATTATCTGATGGATCTTTGTTAACTTCTTCCTCTTCTTGGCTCATGATAAGCTGAGAAGCAACAAACTTGTCAAGAGTTTGCCAATCCATCACTTGATCATTATGGTCATCATTGAGTAGTAATTCTGATTGATGATGATCATCATTATTTGTGGTCATCATAATCATATGATCATCGTCATTGGTAATAACATGACCATGATGATCTCCTTCATCATCTCGTTGCATTAATGTTGTTGGTGTTGCGTTGATAGTGCTTAGTACGACACCATAAGGGTCATGATCATTATGATGTAATGATGATAATGATGATGATGATGAGCCTTGAAACATTCTTGGACTCTCTAGATCAGGAAGGTGATAGTAATTACCATTAGCCACATCCATTTGCTGCGCGAACCAATTGGATTCTTGGCCTGATGATGATCCCATCATTGTTCTTGGATTGTTGTAACTCATCGTGGTTAGCTTCTTCTTGAAAGCGCGACAAACCACCCACCCTTCCTCATGAGGTGGTCCGTTTTCATCGGTCTCAAGACGATATTCATGCATTATCCAATCAGATTTCTGACCATTCGGGGCTCGACCTTTGTAAAAGACAAGAGTCTTCCTCATCCCGACAAGCTCTTGCTTCGAGTATATGGCCTTGTCTCGACCCGTTGCTTTCCAAAATCCCGAGCCAGTTGCTCTATTGGTTCGTGTCCCTGTTGGATACTTCTTGTCCTTGTGGCTAAAGAAATACCATTCCCTCTCTTCTCCTGTCCCTCTTCCACATAGCTCTATATATTCGAAAGAGTTAGATAATCAGCATATTATCTAACATATAAGGAACACGATAGTTAAATACATATATATCAAAATTAACTAAAGAAATCGAAAGTTGGAATATATACATACCTTGGATGTCCCATGGCTCGATTTTGTAGAGATCAACATCTTTGATAACATCAACTTGCATTCCCGGGAATCTAACTTTCTTCTTAAGATAATAGTCAACGAGTTCTTCATCGGTCGGATGGAATCGATAACCGGGAGGAATGTGTGAGAGGCTCTCCATTTGATCTTTTTATTTTTATCTTTCCTGCAATGTGGCAAATTTGTAACATACACTTTATCATCGGTAAATAGAACGAAATGCATGTAATTGATGCGAAAACAAGTATTCGAGTAAAGTCTATAACACACGTAATTATGATTAACGTATGTATTTAATTTATGATCATCAACCAAAAAAAGTTCCGTTTGAGTACAGAGTACTCATAATAACTCGATTGAACCAAATTACTGCTACAACATGGAATGTTAAAATGAAAAAAAAAAACAAGCATAATATGCATGGTTTCAGTTAACTTTCCATAATCTGCGTGAATGAACCTTTTATTACTTCCCATCTTTTAAATTATTTTCCTATTTATAATACTGAAAAAGGATATTAAAAAGGAGAAAAGACAATGAACGACATTTTACAATTTTCCTACATGAAAATAAGATAACATACTTTCGACAAAAAAAAGGAGAAAAACAATGTAGCTAGTCGTCACGTCCTTTACATAAGAAAATAAGAGATCACACATTGGTTCCATATACTGATATAAACTTACTTGATGAATCTTCTTCTTATATATGCAAGATTTATAAGAATATTCGGTTTTTGTTTTCTTCTCTTTGTTCCGTTCCTTGTGGATACAAACAAAGAGACAAAAGCGTTTTGTCTGGTTTATGTTTAGATCATGAAAGACTTCGACTATTCTGATAATGGGGATTCTCTAGGCTTATATGTGCATATATATATAGGCATGTAAATGTAAACAGAGACAAAAACTCTCATGATGCAAAAGGAAATGTGATTTTTATTTTGTTTTATTTTAGGTGTTTTTTTATTCCATGCTTTATTAACAGAAGATTCTATTTGGATTTTGGGGGTCTGTAATTATAACTAAGCTATCACTGTCTTCCTCTCTCTACCTGAAGTGTTGCATAAGTTTTCACTTTATATGTGTGTGTGATAGAGAAGTAATGTGATCTTTTAGAACTGTCTCTACCAACCTTTGAATGCGACATTTTTCAAATAAACTACTTCCAATTAATTATTTGAACAAATTAAGTCATGACTCAGCGTTTTGAGGGTGGTACGATCATCGTCGTCGCAATTGTCACTTTCTGTGTGGTTCTGGACCTTCTGGTTATGGTGAGACTGTGAGATCATACCTCTCTATAAAAACAAAATGTTACAAGCGTTTTGTGTTATCACATTCGTTACGTTTTGGAAGATCAAAATCAAAATATTTATATATAGACACAATTATACAAAAAGAATTAATCCTCTTCAACGTCTTAACAATTTATCTTTTTAAAACATCACCACATTATTCCGTGTTGATGTTACTCAAATATCACTACACTCTTTTTTTGACTAAATATCACTACACTCTTAAATTAATCTAAACAATCCCTACTTTTTTGTTGACCGTTGATCGTCACATATATAACACAATACAATATTTGTCGCTCGTGTAGGTTAATAGATTCGTTTGGTGAAATTGATACGCATGTTCTTTCCAAATCTTTAAGAAAACAATAATGTTTTGTATTAGTATAAATCTTGATTGATATAAATCTTTATAAGCTTGCAAGTTATGATACTTGAGGAAAAATTTAAAGAATATGTGCTTATAAATTAATCAGATATTAGATTTATTAATCAACTGTTGGAAATAAAAAAAAAAATCGACAGATTTTGATACAGGAATTGTTTTTTTGTATATATTATAGTGAGATTGAATTCAAAACTTATGATATTTTTATAACATATGAAGTTTGTTTTCATTTTCTGAAGTATGAAAATTTATTTAAACGATTGTTTTTTTCTGTTAATAGGTGATAGTGCATGCGGGGAGAAAATAGGAAAATAATTTGTTGACAAAAAAAACAATTAGATAACTAAAGAAAACCAGTAATAAAATAACGTGGCGTGACATGAGTGGTTACGTAATAACACAGGGAACATCATCGCGGCAAAAAAAGCTCGTTATCGCCTTCGGTGCTGGCCCCACTTTACTGCCTTTGGTCCCCACCAAAGTTCTTGTTTTGCTTCTCGTTATACCCCCTTAACTTACATCCAAATTCCCGATTTGGTTGATATTTGTCAATTTGGTCATTTACGTACCATTACGCATACCATTCGACCGAAATTATAATACATCATCAAATTTTAAGACAACAAACACTTCCATGTTTTCCACTACTTTTATTGGAGAATTCCAGATGTGCTTACACTTTGGAAGATGCATGTTTTTTACAAATTTTAGATAAGACAATAATGATATAAGAACAAACGTATGTAATCATGTATAAAGTTAAAGACAACTATACTTGAAAATTTGATTGGATGATTTGTGTCATATATATAGATAAATACCATGTTAGACAGACAAATTTAATATTTACTTCTTTACATAATCAAAATATTTAGATCAATTTCTAAGCAGATCCGTACAGTATTATATATGTGTATATATATATATATTTAAAAAGAAAATAAATTCTAGTTATTAGATCGATACTCATACTAGATGCTCCACATTGGTCTTTCGATCCGTGATTTCAATCTCCATAACATAAATTATTTGTTGATCATACTTGAATTCAGATGAATCTTTACCACAGTAATTGAGTCCTCATTCGATGAGAACTCCTCGTTTCGTCCAACAGATCACTGTATGCTTAACAAAACTTCACTCGGTTTTAGAAGGAAATTTGTTAAAGAGAAAATATCTTCAAAGGTTGATAGATTTATACTCGAATAATGCAAGTATGGATCATATGGATCATTAAAATTCTATATTGATATATTAATGCTATAGACCTTATATAATCTCTTGTGTCTCTTTCTTTCTTCTTTTATGTTGACGGAATTTTTCTTTTTCTCTTATGCATGTGATCATATTGCTAGTAATACCCCAAAAAAAGGTAGTTCTTAAGCAGTACGCTTCTATCTCAAATTCTCCACTTGCAAACACTATGATTATTCCTGCAATTTATATATCATTTTAGTATATATATAAATATATATAAAGTTACAAACAGTTTATTTTCGTGAGTAATACGTACGTACTATCGATGGATATCTCTCATTTAGTGTGGTATTTTTATACTTTCGTGAGTAATATGTATACATATAGTTATATACATATTTATGTATCGATAGGGCGATGGACGATGGGATGGGACCCACAAACCGACTATACTGAAGTACATTGATTATTTTCACATTCAGGAAACTGAGGAAGTGACAGTTATACAAACACCAAACCATCATATCACACGTTTTCTTTTTCCCAAACCGAGCTTGAAGAGCAATCGGTTACGCTGGTTCGATCATAACCGATAAAGTTACACCAGTTTAACTTGTGGTTGAAGCCGCTGGGATGGTCCCACTTGCAAGTATATGATTGGAGTCGTGGTCCTAGCCACTGTCAAGTCAGCCATTGCCAACGAACCACCGTTCTTTCCGGGCTAATGAGCGGGGCCGTTATCATTTTGTGGGGCCTAAAGTAATGGGCTACACGTGAAGCTCGCGCGAGAGAGTGTGTGTTATTGATCTATTTATATATAGTTATATACACCAATCCATGTTTCATTGGACTACCTCACACACATGACACATCTAAACTATAAAAAGGGGATTTGGATCTGTTGCAAGGTAATACAGTATATATAATGCAACCATTTGTTTAATTTTCTCTTTTTATTTCATCATGTGTTTCTCTAGCGGTAAAAGTGCATAACGAACAAAAAAGTAGAGCATGTATTATATATACATATATATGTATATAAAATATTGGTTAATGGTTATGATTTTGTAGAAGGAAAACTTAGTGTATTGTTTGATGAATTCGTTTTAACAGGACAGTGGAAAGCAGATTAATTTTTCACTTTGTTTGGAGTAAACTCGTTTAATTTTACGTAGGAAATGCTTGGAAGTTTCATTGGTGACAAACAATTATAATTACAATTTCCACATTCGAAAGAAAATCAAATTATATGAGGTGTAAATTTGTATAGAATCTTGAGAAGTGATTGGTTGAGTGTGATGTTGCGGAGATTATTCCTCCACCAAAATGTATTCATGGTCATATAAGCCTATAAGGGTATGACGACGAAAAATACAAACCATAGGGCACAATAGAGTTTAATTTTGTCTTACTAAAGCAGTTCATAATACATTATTATATAATAGAAAAATTAGATCTTCAATAGTGTGTTAGATAGTAGGCATGATTGATCCTTTATTCTAGTGTATTGATTGACTCTTTTTTTCTTGCAATGCAATGTTGGCATGACATTACTTATTAATTTGATTTCTTCCGATAATCATATCATTGACATGCACCAAATAGCAGAAAATTATTGCAGGATCTTTGTAACGGTGATATGTTCTTCTTTTATTTGTAATCTTCAAACCAATCAAAAGTTCTGTCTTTAAGTACAAGAGAGTGTATACTAAATTAAAGTATAAAAAATCACCCGTGCACAAGAGTCGTTAATAATATAATCATCCCTTAAAAATAAGCTCAAGTACTGTGAATAATCACAAAAAATAATCATCCTTTTTTTAGTGCTAAATATATTTCCACTTTGTGAATACGTTTCCTCCACAACTTGTCAACGTTCCCACATAATGCTAAATTATTAGGGAGAAATCCTTAATTTTGCTTCTAATTTTCTTATCATATAGACTATAGAGTCACCTCATATGGCTAATAATAGTGAGAATTATAGCTATTAATCATATGACTACGAAATTAGAACAAATAAAGGCCTCGAATGATGGCACTTCATCTTAACATGTAATAGATTATTGTAAGGTAATTGCACTCAATGATTATATATTGGTCATTTATTTGCAAAATAGTAGATATACATGCCAATTTATTCCCACATAAGAGTGTTTAAATATCATGTTATTTTTTAGGGATACATTATTTTATATTTTCTTTGTTTCGTTTTATAAGTTTTTTTTAATTACACACAAGAGTTGGAAAACTATAGAAATTTTATATATATATATATATATATCTTTAAAATTATACAATTTATATATGCTGAAAAAAGTATACAATTTATATAAATCATCATCACCCATAACTAATTATATAAAAAGTATACAATTTATATATATACATAATATATATATATGTTTTAAATTATACAATTTGTAATACAAATGATATGACAAATGATATGAACCCATTACTGAAGTTGGGCCTATTCACATAACATGGTTTAGGGCCTTAGGCTCAATTAAACATTTATCAACAGATTAATTGTCGGTTCGATTAGCGACAGCAAATTCCGGTTTATATAAAACTGATTCGACCGAATTTACCGGTTTCACACTCGTAAACCAATTAGAGAAAACACAGGACAAAGACTCGGAATTGACAGAGACGACGACGAGGGTTTTAGCCTTTTAGGGGTTCTGAGGACTTTTTTTTTTTCCAAAACCCGCGCTTTGCCACTCGTCGTTCTACTTTAATCAACCCTTTATTCGTTGGCAATAATTCCCGCTTATACTCTTTAAAATTTTTGTCATTTTTCTTTAGTAATTGTGTAAAGTACGATGCTTTGTTTCGGTTCTGCAGCTGGGGAAGTCGCGAAATCGAAAAACCTGGAGAGGCGTTCAATTGGGAAACCCTGATGATGTTCAAGGCCAAGGGTTTATGCTACCGCTTAGTAAAATCCAGAAAAGCTACCACTTGTGCTCTTCCGTCGGAACCACCACCACTCTCCACTTCCGCCGCCGTCTCCGCCGCTTCGAGTGACCACCAGTCCCGATGTTTGTCGCTGATAGTTAAGCTTGGCCGACGAGGTCTCGCAGACTCTACTCGGGATGTTACTCGCCGTGTTATCGATGGTTGTTCTTCTATCTCAGAGGCGGCTTTAGTTGCCGATTTTGCAGTCAACAATGGAATAGAGCTCGACTCGTCTTGCTGCGGCGCATTGATAAGGAAGCTCACGGAGCTGGGTCAGCCTGGTCTGGCCGAAACTTTCTACAAGCAACGTGTAATCGGAAATGGTATTGTTCCTGATTCGTCGGTTTTAGATTCAATGGTTCTTTGTTTGGTTAAGTTAAGGAGATTTGATGAAGCCCGAGCACATTTAGATAGAATCCTAGCATCTGGTCGTGCTCCTAGTAAAACCGCCTCTAGCTTAGTAGTTGAGGCGCTTTGTAATCAAGATCAGTTCCTCGAGGCGTATCTATACTTTGAACAAGTCAAGGTGAGAGGCGGTGGTTTATGTCTTTGGTGTTGTAAGAGATTGTTTAAAGGATTGTGCTGTCACGGCCACTTGGATGAAGCGATTGAGATGTTAGATACTCTGTGTGAGATGACAGGAATGCCTCTGCCAGTGAATCTATATAAGTCTCTCTTTTACGGGTTTTGTACAAGAGGGTGTGCCTCTGAAGCAGAGGCTCTGTTTGATCATATGGAAGCTGACGGTTACTTTGTGGATAAGGTCATGTACACTTGTCTGATGAAAGAATACTGCAAGGACAACAATATGACAATGGCAATGCGGCTCTACTTGCGGATGGTCGAGAAAAGCTGTGAGCTTGACACTTGTATCTTCAACACTCTGATTCATGGGTTCATGAAGTTGGGTATGCTCGATAAAGGGCGGGTCATGTTTACTCAGATGATGAAAAAGGGCGTCCCTTTGAATGTTTTCACATACCATGTAATGATCGGTAGCTACTGCAAGGAAGGGAATGTAGATTACGCTTTGAGGCTTTTCGAGAACAGCGCGGGGTCCGAAGATGTATCCCGCAACGTGCATTGCTATACGAATCTCATATCTGCGTTTTACAAGAAGGGCGGGTTCGATAAAGCTGTTGACTTGTTGACGAGGATGGTAGACAACGGGGTTGTCCCTGACCATATCACTTACTTTGTGCTCTTGAAGATGCTCCCGAAGTACCATGAGCTTAAGTACGCTATGGTCATCTTACAAGCAATTGTCGGTAATGGGTGTGGGACTGATCCACCGGTTTTGGATGACCTTAGGAATATTGAGGCAAAGGTTGAGTCTTTGCTTGAGGAGATTGCTAGGAAAGATGCGAAGCTAGCTGCTGAGGGACTTGCCGTTGTCACAACTGCTTTGTGTTCGCAACGAAATTTTACTGCTGCTTTATCTCGTATCGAGAAAATGGTGAATCTAGGTTGCACACCCTTGCCATTTTCGTACAACTCAGTGATCAAATGTCTATTTCAGGAAGGTGTTATCGAAGACTTGGGGTCTTTAGTCAGTCTTATTCAAGAATGGGGGTTTGTTCCAGATCCTGATACGTATCTGATACTGGTGAATGAGTTATCCAAGAATAATGACAGAGACGCTGCATTTGCTGTTGTAGAAGTGATGGAGGAGCTCGGCTTGAGACCTACAGTCGCGATCTACAGCTCAATCATTGGTTCTCTTGGCAAACAGGGAAGAGTCGTTGAAGCTGAAGAGACGTTTGCCAAGATGCTTGAGTCTGGGATCCAACCCGATGAGATTGCTTACATGATCATGATCAATGCTTATGCGAGGAACGCAAGAATCAATGAAGCAAATGATTTAGTCGAAGAAGTCGTTAAACTTTTCGTTAGGCCTAGCTCTTTTACGTACACGGTGTTGGTCAGCGGGTTTGTGAAGACGGGGATGATAGAGAAAGGATGTCAGTATCTAGATAAGATGCTTGAAGAGGGTTTATCACCAAACGCTGTCCTGTATACTTCCCTCATTGGTCATTTCCTTAAGAAGGGAGATTTCAAATTTGCCATCACACTGTTTGGTTTCATGGGAGAAAGTGAGATTAAAGACGATCACGTCGCGTACATCACACTGCTTAGCGGGTTATGGAGAGCTATGGCACGAAATAGGAAGAGACAGGTCTTTGTTGAGCCGGCTGGTAAAGAAAAGCTTCTTCGACGTCTCCTTCACACAAAGCCTCTAGTACCAATCTCCTCTTCTGTATGCAACTACGGATCAAAAAGCTTTGCTATGGAAGTGATTCGGAAAGTGAAGAAGAAGAGTATGATCCCCAATTTATATCTCCACAACGCTATCATAACCGGATATTGCGCTGCAGGAAGGCTCGACGAAGCATATAACCATCTCGAGTTAATGCAAAAGGAAGGCATTGTTCCAAATCAGGTAACTTTCACTGTTCTGATGAAATCTCATATCGAAGCAGGCGAGATAGAGTCTGCTATAGATTTGTTTGAGGAATCGGATTGCGAGCCAGATCAGGTCATGTACAGTACTCTGCTTAAGGGTCTCTGTGAAAGTGAAAGACCTCGTGATGCTCTGGCTCTGCTGGTAGAAATGCAGAAGAACGGGTTTCATCCGAATAGAGACTCCTATGAAACGCTGCTTCAGTGTCTCTGTTACTCTAGATTGACCATGGAAGCGGTTAAAGTGGTTAAAGATATGGCAGCTCTTGGTTTTTGGCCTCGTTCGATTAGTCACACCTGGTTGATTTATATCTTGTGTGAAGAGAAGAAGTTGAGAGAGGCTCGTGCTTTGTTTGCTATAATGGTTCAGTCTGGGAGATCTTTATTGAATTGTACTAGACCGGGTTTGTTGAAAATGCTTAACCACAATCAGCAACTTTAGTGATTTTTTTGCTCTTTTTACAGTATATTGTAAATTGCTTGTAAATGTAGAATAGTGAATACATTTTACATCTTGTTTTTTTTATAAATGTAACCTTAAAAAAGAAAATTCAGTTTTGAGGGTAAGTGTTGTAAGATAGTCTGCCACCATTCAACAAAAGTGGGAGAAAAATACAGTTTTTTTTTCTTCACGTGAGCATAAATATGTGTATACTGTCCTTCAATGATACGCTTTTTCACTAAAATTTAAATTTTGTTTTTCTAAATTTTTCTATCATGGGAATATATATTTTTACAACCTTCTGTGTACTCTATTAGACATAAGATCTTCAAAGAATTTTAGTGGAAGAAGATATTTGAATAATTTAAATTAGTACTGATTCATAATTATTGGATAGTACGTGTTTTTTTCTTTTTTTCTTGTCTACAATTATTAAAAAGTTTAAAGTATGAAAATGATGGATTTCTAGTTATTTATTGGATAGGGAAAAAAACAACTATTAAATTTTTTGTTGGAAAATCTTTATAAACAATTAATTTTCATGATACACTTGATTTGGTACATACTGATTCTAAAATCTTAAAGACAAGCCCATACATTGTATATATCACACACAAACAGAAATTAAAATAATCTAAAAAACTATCTCAAATCTCTTTAGCCATGAATAGAAGCAAAGTGATTAATCAAGGCTAAAGCATTACTCGTCAAATGAGCAATAACCAAAATCCTCCCTCTTACAAAAACATTAACCTTCCCGTTCATGTCGTCTCCTTCAAATCCTTCCGTACACGTGCTCTCGTCGGTCAGAGCCGCACTAACCCAAGTCTGTATATCGTTCATGTAGACTTCATAGTTCGAGCCACTTAGCTGACCCATCTCACCTATCGATTTCCTAAGCTCATCCAACGTGTCACCTAACTCCTCGACGCAGTCTCTCATGGCCGAGACTTCTCTCGGCGTGAGCCGACTGCTACTCGAGAGACGCACCATCATTGCTGACGTGGCTTTAGCCGAGGCTAATGTGATGTTGAGAGCCGCGTGAGCCATGACCTTGGGGCTGGTTTGGATGAGACTGGCTTGAGTCGAGAGTGAAGCGAAGCAGAGTCTTGGATATGTTGTGAACGTGCATGATGATTTAACGAACTCTGTGTTTGTTGTTGTTGTATGGACCGACTCGAGTGTGGTTATGATTATGAGAAGAGATGCGAGGAAGTGATGATTAAATCTAAAAGATCCAGCCATTTTATTTTTTCTATTTTATTATGGAGCTTTATGAGATTGTGATAATGATTTGTTTTGTTATGCAACTGGAGTTTATATAGTGAAATGAGATGATTTTTTATTTAACAAAAAAATATATTTAATTTGCAAGTGGGAATGGGGGATTTGCATGTATGAAGATATTTTTTGTGTTAAGAAAGGAAAATGAATAATAATAAAAAAAAAATATCTACCGCGTGAAAGCAACACGGCTAAGACACTGGTTAATTAGTGGGGTAAGGAATTTGTAGTTTTGAGCCAAACATAATCATTTGTTTAATGTTCAAAAAAAACATAATCATTTGCTTAACTAAGCATTAATCTCATTTGTAAGCATTAATCTCATTTGTGATTTATTATCTACTTGATTGGTTAATAGATCATTCCCATAGGCGGCAATTCGTTGCCTCTTTCAGTTTCAGATGCAAATGGAGTCGACTAGCTAATAATATCCAATGTTCTCGATTTAAATGATACCGTGGATCGAATATACATATGGATTTAAATGTTATATGTATATTTAAAATGTTCATAAATAATAACAAGGCTCGACCATTTTTAAATATAATTATGACGTTTGTGTTTATTAGTTTTATGATTATAATAACCTATTTAAGTTTATAATATTTTATATTATGATATATTGTTGTTTACAACTTGTAATTTCAAACACCAAAAGCAAATATATACAATGCTAATATGTTGGATTAAATTTCCACGTAGTTGATGCACATATAGAATTAGAATAAACCACACCAGCCAAATTAGGCGATCATTTCGGTAGAAGGATTTTTTTATATTAAAAATTGTTGTAATTTCAAATATAAATAAATACGATTATTGAAAAGAAGATGTCGATCGTGGAAACCAAATTGTGGACGTAATGTAAAAGCTCACACATTTAAGGTTCTTAATTCGTTCTTGTAAGTTTGTAATCAATGTAGCTGCATGTGGATACGGTCGCTTTCAAGTTTCAAGATTCTAACTTCGCCCCAAATCATTGCGTCTGCTCCCAAATATCCATATTTATCCTAAATTGCAAACTAAACATACACTGATACACGTCACACACACATATATAAGCAGTAGAACGATGTGAAATGTCAAGTTGTATTGTGAAATAGCGAAAATGATGTTTTTGGCGTCGGCCAGTGAAAAGGAATTAAGTTGTGCAATATCTCATTATTTTGTATGGCTGTTAATTTTTTATTTGTTCAGTATAATAGAAGTTAATTACACTTTTTTGTCCCCGTTAATGTAAGAAACCATGCTCTTTATTCCTCCCATGTATGTAAATAGTATATTGCTACTTATATATATATGAGTTTCTTCAGTATTATATAATCTCCATTTTATATATATATATATATTTTTTTTTATATCAAAATCTCCATTACATATAAACACTGATATACATACGGATACTTATAATAAGAATGTGACTGTTAAACGTGACATACCAGTAATTTAATTAGATCTCTAACTGTTTTTCTTTAATATAGATACGTCGTCATATATGTGTATAAAATTTTAAATGTGACATATTAAAGATTGGGATTGGTAGTTTAATACTAGTTTGTACTATATAATACCGATGTCCAATATACTATCATTACTTTGTTCAAGTAGAATATGCGATTTGTTGTACAAGAAAATAGTAATGGTCCTCATGGATTCAACTGATTTGTAGTATATAGAAAGAACAAAACATTTTGAAAGCCAATATTTCATTAAACCACACTGTTCTCTTACTAATTCCAATAAACTTGCCGAAAACTTATCCTAACCAAAAAAAAAAAAACTATCAGAAGGAATCCCCTTGGTATAATATTTACAAAGTTCACTGAGGGGACATTTATATTCATCTGATTTATATATTCCATTAACTTCTATTATTATGATTCCATCCCATTTATCTGTCTAATAGTACTATTAGCATGAAGAAAGCCTGCGAAGCCCAAAGCTGTTAGCTCGAATGGCATCCGAACCGTATGTGCGTGTACATGTGTATGATCGCATATACGTTGGTAGGGAATCAAACCACCAGAGTTTATGTGCACACTGCTTCTGAAAAAGTCGATTTTCATCAGACATCCCACGTGGTTGAAATTTTGAAACGAATAATACTTATATTTCAAATACCAATATCGAATTCATTTATTCTTTTTAGGTAAATATAAAAATCAATATTTTAAGATACTAATAATCTTTTTTTTAGTAACATACTACATTTTACCGAATTTGAATATAAGACAGGAGAGACACACGTTTACAATATCAAATTAATATATGAATGATGATTATCGAAGGTTTAAGTATAATGTATCAACTAGTATGATTGTTATTGATATCTTTTATCGAAGTAATAATGTTTTGTGTCAGCAATTTCAAGTAGCTATGTAGAAAGTCGTTATTGATATCAATTTATTATAGGTGTGTGTATCTATCTTCCAGTTTTCTCTTCACCTTTTTTCTTTGTTTGAAAAAAATGTTCACGTGAAAACATCATAGTGGTGTGTGCCCAACTTGCCACAAGTATACAAATGGGTGTGTAAGGAAATTAACTGTATTAATCTACCATTTCTATATATAAGGCAAAAATATTTTCTTAATATTTATAGCTCAAAATACACAGGAACATTAGTATAAACCACATAAGAAAAAAAATCTAACAAAATCGAAAAAAATATCACATCAAACTCATACCGACACACACACACACATATATATATATATATATATCTATTCATCTATGTTTTTTTTTTTTTTTTTTTTTTGTAACTGTCTATATATCTATGTTGCATACGACAATATATTTCTTAATAATTTAGGTTTTAAATTCCTAAATTAGTACTTTTTAGCATAGGCATTAATCAAGGACAAGGCGTTGCTGGTTTCTTGGCCCGTGTTAACGATTCTAGCCCGAACCGAGTTCTTGATTCGTCCATCCATGTACCGACCGGAGAACCCATCGGAGCAAGTGTTCTCGTCGGTCAAAGCCGCACTAGTCCAAGTCTGGGCATTACTCATGTGGAACGAAAACTGGTCTTGATTTTTGGCATTCCCACACAGCTTCATCTCTTGGACCGACTTGGTCAAACGGTCAATGGTATCGTTGATCTCCTCGACGCAATCCTTGATGGCTTCGACTTCACGCTTCTTAAGTCCCTTGAACCGGGTAAGACGAGAGACGAAGAGCTTTGTGGATTGGGCTCGGCTCAGGGTGACGTTTAGAGCGGTCTCGGCTAGGCGTTTAGGGCTTGTCTGGATGGCGTTTGCGTAGGCGGAGAGAGAGTGTAAACACACGGCTGGGTATGTGGTGGTTTTGCAAGAGGATTGGATGAAGTTTACGGCTTCTTTTGATGCTCCGGAGCCTGCGGTGGCTGCGGTGGCGGCGGTGAGGTCCGGCGAGAAGAGGTAGCAGATTGAGAGGACTAGAAAGAGAGCTTGGTATTGTTTTGCCATTTGGTGTTGAGAGAGAGAGAGTAAAGTTGAGATAATTGAGAGGAAAGAGGATGGGGTTGAATATTTATAGTGGGTAATGGGTATAATTTGGTTTAGGGTTCATTTATGCTACTATTGGTATCACGCGGTGGAATATTAAAAAGAAAAAAGCAATGAAAACGGGAAAACAAACAGTGGAATAGACTTTTACAATCTGGTACGTATTATGTCAATTTGGTTGATATAACTAAGTCGGATATGTAATAGAGCTAAAATACTTTATTTTTAAAAAACCGAACCAAGTCTAATTATAGCTTGGTACACATTTTTATATAGTCGCTAAATGTGCGAAATTGCATAACAACAAAACATGAATCATCGCATATAGTTACGTAGGTTGATGATATAAATTTGTGAAATCGTGGAGGTATATTGTGCCAAATTACGGACTACCGTTACGTGTGAAATCAATCAGTGGATGTTATACGAACGCAGGGGCAGGGCTCAATTATAAATTATTAGTTGGAGTTGGAAATGACCCGAATATACTTTTTGATCATTTTCTTTTCTTCTCGTAATAAAAATCATGGCAGGTCCCACTTAACGTCGGTCCAGATCATAACGTGAAATATCAATGCATCTTATATTTAAATATAGTCAGGAACGAGTAGAGAGATAAACATTTGTCGTTTTGTTCTAAATCAAGAAGAGAACAAAAAGTGCGATAAAGGAATTGCACCAATCAAGCCGTTAATTAATATACAAAAAAATAATTGTTAATTTGATTTGTGAACTAACATTGTCGATATCGAAAAAACCATACGTTCGAATAAATTCGCTGATAAAATTAGCAAGTTTATTCAATGACGGCAATAAACAAAATCATTCTCAACAAAACATTCCACCAAAACAGTAGTGGTTTTTTTACAATCACCACCAAGTAATTAAGTAATCGCTGATAATCGTACTTGAATTGTTACAAGTGCCTACAAAGTTGAATTTCCCATTTGCAGCATTTGTAGGAACAAATTCCCATATGACAATATGAGAAGCTAGCTATAAATTAGCTTTGTAGTTTACGAGTTATGATAAATATGTATATTTTAATTGATAAAATTAACTTTGAGTTTTGATGAATTTTTAAAATGATAATGGTGATAGTTTATAAGAATTTTGTTAATTATGTATTTTTAAAGTGTTTATGCAGATAAATGGGTGTGTAGTAAAATTGTCAAACATCTGTGTCAACTTGTCCAAATACTATTAATAATTAACCTTTAAGGAAATTAGTGTTTCTTGTGAGGGAAAGATAGAGAGGGAGTAGAGTTGAGATAATTGAGAGGAAAGAGGTGGGTTGAATATTTGTAGTGGGTACACTTTGGTTTAGGGTTTATTTATATTGGTAACACACCGTGGAATATTAAAAAGAAAAAGCAGTGAAAACGGGCAAACAAACAGTGAAAAGGACTTTTACAATCTAGTAGTAAATCGGATATATGTAATCGAACTCAAAATACTTATCATAAAAACCGAACTAAATCTAAGTATAGTACAAATGGTAACGCATTTTTCTATTATCGCTAGAAGTGCGAAATTGAATAACAACAAAACATGAACCATCGCATATAGTTACATAGATTGGTGTAAATTTGTAAAATCGTGGAGCTACACTGTGTCAATCTATCGACTGCCGTTACGTGTGAAACCAAACAGCGGATGTAATAGCAACGTAGGGGCAGGGCTTAGTTATTAGTTGGAGTTGGAGGAATGCTTTTGATATTGGCAGGGTCCACTCATCGGTCGGTCCAGATCATAACGTGAGATATCAACGCATATTATATTTATTTATTTTTGTATTGATGAATAACTTATAAACATTTTAATTAGTAGAAATTTTAATTTTAATTATGTAGAGTTTTTGATAACGGTAATAATTATTAATTAACAACAACATGTTTTAACTATGTAGAGTTTTTGAAACTTGAAATTGGAACTAATGGCTTGGACCCTTAGATAGCCTACCGACATATAACCGCACTGATGTTTCTTGTGCGTTACGGGGAGAGTAGTTTTTTTTTTTGCGTACGAAAATATCTATGTTTTTGCTTTATTTTGGTACCACTAAAATATCTACTCAAAGTGTTGAAATAAATTATTGTTTCGGTGGGTCCCTTAATGTCGTATAGAATAAAAGTTTTGTCCAATTGGAAGTTGAGAAAATAAGAAAACCCACAAAATAAGGCAGAGTAAAACTAAATGCAATGAAACGATTGAACAATAATTCTCGCCTCGGCATGTCATCTATGGAACGCGTGATTCTGAAATTACCGGATCAAATGCGGTCCGTCGTACAACCTTCTCCACATAAGGCGTAATGGCCATAATGTAGAATACAAGAATCAACTTTTCCTTTATATACCCTTAATATATCATACAGAAATGTTTAAAAAGAAAGAAAAAAACATCACACAGATATTTGATGTATTGTCAAAAAGATGGTGCAGAGTCTGGAGACTATAGAAGAGTGTGGACTCGACCGGTATGGGAAAAGGAGTGTGAAAACATTTCAATGGAAATTCGTACGAACAGATTTTCCTTTAAATAAAAAAGTCTTTACCTATTAACAATTTTTTTTTAAAAAAAGGGTAGAAAAGAGGCATTTGAGAAAAGGGTTAATTTTAAAGTGAGTTTGAAACAACCTTCTTGAGGAAAATGTCTTCTGTGATGTTTTTATATATGTCAAGGAACTATCTAACAAATAAGATCTATGAAGGAGCTTGTACAATAAAAATATATATACAGTATATATATATATGAACATAACCTCAATATTTTTTTAAAAAAAATTGTACGACAGAAAGATATATAACATAACCTCAATATTAAAAAAAAGCAAGATTGTACGACAGGAAGGTATTTAAAGGAAAAGTTGATTCTTAAATTCTACATTTCCATTACAAATGTTTGTAACAAATCAGACGATGATAATATGGTTAGTCAAAAAGTGGAAATATAAATGTCTAACTAATTTTCTGACTAACCAAATCATTATCTTTCCGATCAGTCCCGTCTTAATCATCGTGCCAAAATAATGGGTTAATACTAGTGAATTACAATTACATGACGACCGGATCCGATCGGACCAATACGACGATATATGCTTATATACTATTTTCAAGTAATATATATATACAGTGGCAAAAAGGAAAAAAAAAATTTCGTAGACTTTGCCTCTCTATCTCACATGTTCTATGAGATATATTAACAAATTCTCAAAGAAAACAAAATCCTAAAAAAAATCTTGCAGTTAGTTAGTGCTGTCAACAACACCATGTTTAAGTACTGTAACTTTAAACAAAAGAAAACAAATAACTGAAAAAAAAACAAATAACTTCCCAGTTATTATAGTATTAAAAATCGCTATTGGTAAATATTGGAAAACTGAGAAATTTTAAAAAGCACATGGGATTTAAAGGCAGGAGGTTTACAACTTCAAGCAACGCTATAATATAACTTTTCAGACGATGCTATTATAGCTGATGCGTGGACCATCGTACACGTAGTAGACGTAGGTAATGAAAAGTTGGGTTCACCCCTCTAAGGGGCAAAGATTACGGTTGAAACATAAGTGAAGCAATCGATTGAAACTTTGAGCAAGCCAGATTACGGTTGGATGAATTGAAACAAGTGAAGATGAAAGATTCTTCTTCTGTTGAGCTTGAAAAGGTGGAGTTGGATAACCGATCTTTTAGTTCGGAGTTTTGCTCTTAAATTAAGTTGAATTTGCTTAACAACCGCATGTGTTGGTTTGCTAGTATTTGTATGGTAATCCTTTTTTCGTACAGACGATTCATCTATGGTATTATACTAGTGGTTTAAGGATGCACTCTAAAATTATGAGACATATATTCACAAATTAGTCTAGTCTGTCTAGATTTCGGTTCTACATTTCTCGATTATCCGAAAAAATATCATCATACCAAAACGGTTGAATCAAACCCAGCCCGCACCGCTGGTAGCTAGGAGCACTCTTTATACGTAACGCATGACCCATACACGATACGAGAGAGAATAACAAAACAGTTCCTATTCGAAAGAGGAGAGGATACGTCACTACTCACTAATTTAATTTTTTTTAAGCATTTCTCAAAATTAAATAATCATATTTTGTTAAACTTTAATACTGTATTCTTTATCTACATTTTTAAACTGTATTTATATATGGAGTCTCATTTTCTGGTGAGAACAGTTTCTAAAACAAAAACAAAGTCTCATTTTCTTGTCATGATCAAAACCAACCAATACATTGTTTTGATCTTCTTTTCACTTTGTATGAAGAAAACAAATACATTGTGATCTTCTTTTCACTTTAATTTAAAACATGTGGATATACATAACGAATTCGAAAGAGCCAAGTTAATAGTATAAACTATAAGAAAGTAGTGTTAATATAAAAAATTTATCAAAAAATAATATTAACTATAAGATATGGAAATTAGAGAAAAGAAGATAAAATACATTGTGTTATTCACTATCTGCATATATGTATGTACGTATGTTTGTTTGTTTTGGCCAATGCCAAGAGTAACTGACAATTATCTCCGGCCAGATTTGAAGAGAGGTCTTTTTATTGAAGAGGAAATCTAAATAGTCATTGATCTTCATGTAATCATGTTCGACTTGGCAATAGGTTTTTTTCTACAAATAAATTATTTACATAAAAAGATAAATTTTGTATTAAGAAAAGACCATGCTGTCAAAAGCAAAAAAAACATTAAGAAAAGTCCAATAACAACCCATACATACGAAGCCCATATGACACAAAGCCCGTAATTCCAATAATTTATATTAATGCTCATTCTAAAGCCCAAATATATGAAGCCCATATGATCCAAAATCAGAGCTAGGGTATACTCGTGCAACCGATGATTATTTTCTTACAGGACTATTTTGTTTTATTCAAACAGGTAAAAAAAAAGAAATGGTATAAGATCATATATCTTAATTACCTGTTCAAAATAAAATAAATAGTCCTGATTGATAAGAGAATAATCATCGGTTGCTAACCAAATACTACTATATATTAATTTTTCTAATTTTTTCCGAATTTTCCTGAAATTATCCAAATTATATGTCTTGAAGTTGATCTTACCCAAATTAGTGGAAGTTTGAAAAGAGATTTTGGGTAAGAGAATTTCCCAAATCCGTTTCGTTCTTATCAGATTCCCATATTTCTAATTTCCATCTCGAATCTTAAAATTTTTAAAGACACATATATTTGCTTAAGTTATTTGTTTTTTGAAAGTTATGTATACTGATTTTGTCATTTTAATTAAATATCAATGAAATTTTAGACATAAAACATAATATAATAAAAACAACTTTTTTTAAAAAAATATTTGATGGTATTTTACAAATAATTATGATTTATGATTATTAGAAAATATAATATAATAAAAAAATCAAAAAGTATTTGATGGTATTCTACAAATAATTATGATTTATAAAAATAATCATAATTTTATAAATAAAAATGATCATTTAATTTTCTAATTTTTTTAATTGTACAGATTAACTCCTCGATTTTTAATTTAATAAATTAATTCTTCTAGTTTATGTTGACCTTGCAAAATTAAACCGGAAATTTATTAAAATTTACTTTTTTCATACATAAATTTGTAAAGTTAATGTTAAATTAATAATTTAATTGCACACATAATAGTTGGAGCATAAATTTGCTAATTACAAATATTTGAGGAACTAAATGAGCAATTTCACATGAATCTCGCAGAAAATACCTTGACCTTTCCTCCTCTTGTCTTTTGTCTCTTTTGTTGAGATATGGATGATGAAAAAAAATCCCCTTTTCCTTTCCGCAGTAGTTATGGTTAATTATCTCCCTCTGATATCGTCTATTCGAAGAGGAAGAGGATCGAAAAGACGAATAGGAGACAGCTTGGACATTCCTTTGGATCTCCTGATCGAGATCCTGACCAGATTGCCTGCTAAATCGCTGATGAGGTTCAAGTGCGTCTCAAAGCGGTGGTCTTGTCTTATCCGTTCCCGGTATTTTAGCAACCTTTATCTTCTTACTGCCGCATCCCGACCATCTCGTCTATACATGAGTTTGGTGGAAGACCACCGCGAGTGCGATTCAATGGAGGTCTGCCACAACCCCGGAAAGTCTGTACTGATATCATTCTCATCATCGTCTTCTAGTGTTAGTGGTGAGTCTTTCAGCCCAGATTCGACCATGCCAGGGCTGGGAGGAGGAAACATGAGGGTTCTTCGCGGCTTGATTCTGTACAAGGTTTGCGGAAGGGCGCGTATCTATAATCCCGCCACCAGGCAAATCGTGACCTTACCCGCCGTCAAATCCGAAATCTTTGCTCAGGAAGAACCTGGTAAGGATGTCCTCTACTCTCTGGGACACGATCCTGTCCTTGACCAATACAAAGTTGTCTGCAATACGGTGATATGGTCGGAAGAGCCTGAGAGGGTGACCTCGGAGTATTGGGTCTTGCTACTGGAAGCCGGAGGTTTTTGGAAAAAGATCGAGTTTGATCAACCCCACCATCCTACTAAACAAGGAATGTGCATCGATGGAGTTATATACTATCTTGCTTCCACTTGTACCTCTCGCGATGTCCTAGTCAGTTTCCACGTTAGCTCTGAAGAGTTCAGTATGATCCCGTTAGCACCTCACGAGGTGTCTGAGTGTGTGGGGTTTACAGAGTATGGTGGAAAGCCAACAGTTATTGATCATACCCATCTCGTAGAAAAAGGCTTGGTGGACATATGGGTCCTTGAAGATGGTGGAAGATGGTCTACGAAATCTCTGGTTGTGAAGCCTTGTCAGATGCATTTAGTCGATCACATTAACATCACTGATTGGAAGGTGAAAGGTACAACTCAAAACGGCGAGGTTATCTTGGCACCCAATACCAAGCTTTCCCCTTGTTACATTCTCTATTATGATCTGCTGAAGAATGATTTGAGAAAGGTTACTTTCATCAGAGATACATCGGGCCACGGGGTTAGTAACCCGTACGTTGATCTCAAGCTTATCGGTGAAAGCATCTTGCACTTGGAAACGTGAATGCGTTTTTCTTTATCCTCTAAGATTATCATTTGTCTTATTGTTTTTGCCTTTAATATATACTACAGTGGAACTATTTATTTTACTTCATCAATAATCGTATGCGCGTCATTCTGTTTCAACATCATCAAGCCAAATTGGACTAGTTTCTCAATAAGACTAGCATTGTGCATCAATGGAGTTATATATTATTTCGCTTGCACTCGTACCTCCTTCCAAGATTGGACCTGCAGAGAAATTCCTCATAGCATTGCTAGAAATTCCTTTCGCCTTCAAGAGGATCGATGCAATGCTCTACATTGTCAACTTCGAATCAGAAACAGAGTACCTTAAAAGATCCTTCGACACCCTCGAGGTAAAAACTCCACTTGTCCTCTTAAAGTTTATTTGTGCTATAAAAAAAAAACAGAGCATTCATATGCATTTGATTTTCAGGCTGCTCGTGGTGAGTTAAAGAACACTCGCATGTTCTTGAAGCTTCTTGAAGCGGTGCTCAAAACTGGGAACCGAATGAACATAGGAACCAATAGAGGCGATGCGCATGCTTTCAAGCTTGACACGCTCTTAAAGCTGGTAGATATCAAAGGCGCGGATGGGAAAACCACCTTACTGCATTTCGTGGTTCAAGAAATCATAAAATCTGAAGGAGCTCGAGTTTCTTCTACTCCGACTCAAAGTCACATAGGCGATAACATAGCCGAGCAATCTGCATTCCAAGACGATCTAGAGCTGAAGAAACTCGGGTTGCAAGTGGTTTCAGGTCTCAGCTCTCAGTTGATAAACGTCAAGAAAGCAGCTGCAATGGATTCGAATTCTCTCATCAATGAATCAGCGGAAGTAGCCAGCGGAATAACGAAAGTCAAGGAAGCAATCGCGGAGCTAAAGCTAGAAACCGGTGTAGAGAGATTCTTGGACTCGATGATCACTTCTTGAACAAGGCCGAGAAAGAGATCACGGAGATACAATCCCATGGAAGCAGTGTCATGAAGATGGTTAAAGAAGTAACGGAGTATTTCCACGGAAATTCGGAATCTCATCCTTTTCGCATATTCGCTGTGGTCAGAGACTTTCTGACGATTCTTGATCAAGTGTGTAAGGAAGTTGGTCGTGTAAACGAGAGAACAGTGTACGGATCCGTACAACGACCTTCACCGTCGAACCAGACCGTCGTCACGCCGCTTTTTCCTGTGGTTAACGATAACAGTTCACGGCTAAGTCACTCTGGTTCTCTAGACAACAACGACGACGACTCGTTCTAAGTAAAGACGATTTGATTCGGTGTATTCTAGTGTTTTGGTTTCATTTGCTCTGTACTCAAAAGAAACATGTTATGTGTATTAATTATATATTGATAGGTGAGAATTTATTTGGATGTAATTTTAGCAGATTGTGCAAGTTGCTATCGAGCTCTGTACGTGTTAGTGTTTACTATTGAATTATTTATGTCACATGGAACTTGATTTATTGATTAAAATACAAAAGGAAGTCAAGGTTTCGTGGTGTAGTTGGTTATCACGTCAGTCTAACACACTGAAGGTCACCGGTTCGAACCCGGGCGAAGCCATTTTACCGAACATTTTTTTTTGTAAAGCAGAGCCGGCCCAGGAAAATTTAGGGCTCCAAGCAACAATAACAAATCCATTTGGCCCACTAAGATGCGACAAGAAATGTTCCACAACCTGAATTTCTAACCTTATGAAATAACTTGCAATAGCTCTGTTGCATTTGACATGTTGGATTTCTAGCAACCAGAGATTTATCACTTCTGATACAGTTCGATTTTTTTTTTCTTACAACTCTATCACTCAGATTGTTGTCTTAATCTTCTCCAATTTGATTTTGGTTGAAAAAGATATTCAGATCGTGTTTTGATTTAGAGATATATTCAGATCGTGTTTTTGGCAAAGAAGCAAGATTGTTAAAACGACTGTGTTTAACTGATGTTACAATTTCAAAAAAAAAAAAAAAATACCCGTTGGAAGCCCAATATTAGCCCACGTAAACCCACGGGTAAAAATACCCACCTATTTTAAACCCAGTTTATTCTTTATATGGTATTGGCATTTCATAAACACTTATTGGATCGGGTAAACCCATGGATATCAGCCCACAACAACATCCCTAAACTTATAACTTTCAGCAGTCTTATTATTATTCATAGCTCTAACAAATTTTTTTTTTCTTTTTGTAAATAGAGCCATGTTTTTTTTACTTTTTCTTAAAAAACTAGAACTCTCAGTTTCGTGTTGTAAGTTTGAAAAACTGTCTCTATTTAAATGAAGTCTTCTTCTATTTGACAAAAACACATTGTGGGCAAAGGAACAGAATGACCAGACGCTCCCTCTAAATATTTATGTTGTTTAAAGATTAAGGTTGATTAACATTGTCCACCTCAACTTTAATTAGAACATTGAGCCAAAAATATTTCCAGCCAACATTTGGGGTTTATGTCAAAGATTAAAGTTGACATGGATGCACAAAACATTTGGAAATGATGTGTTCATAAAATGCATCATCTTCTTCTTCTTGAGGCAAAAATTGTTCCATGTCGTGATGGAGGCCCAATTGTTTGTAGCCCAAAGAGATGGCATATTAATGACACTAGCAAAACCGTTTTATGGAGTAAAAAGAAACGAAGAAAATATGCCAACTCGATAATATAGATCTTCAAACCTAGATCGTCTTCCTCTCTCTCTCTTACTAAGATCTAAAAAGAGCTCATTTTTTTGGTTATTTCCCTAAAAAGTAGTAAAATTTATCAATGTTTCCTAGGGTGTAAGATATTGGAGGTATAAGTGCTTGTGGGCGCTTGTGAATTAGGGCTATTGTGAATTAGTAGCGATGGGTCTGGCTCTTGCTCTAGTTTTGTCGTTTCTTCGATGGAAGAGGAGGCCGATGCAAAGATAATTAGAAATATTTAACAACCATTCTTAACTAAAAATAATATTATTTTCAGTTTGTTAAACTTGGAAGAGAAGTTTCATGTTCTTTTTCTCTATTTTAAGACTTTATTTATGAAGTCTCATTCTTGTCATTGATCAAAACGCAAGTAGCATGATCTTTTTTTTTTTCTTTTAAAACATGTGGATAAACATCAAATATTCTAAAGAGCAAAGTTGCTATAAGATTTTTAAATTTTGAGAAAAGTATATAGATTAATACTTTTTTTTGTTAAAAGGCCTAGATTAATACATTTTGAATATATATACATATATATGCATATTTTGTTGAAACATCATTTATATGAGTATATTTATTTATTTTCAAATCAACCGGTGCACAGGAGTATATGACAATTTTGTAATTGTACATATAAAATGTAAACGTCATTGCATTCATGAGTAATCTCCAAACGCTAAATGAAAATTATTATATCTACCTTTATAGCATTGTTAGCTTTACAGTTCATATTGGAGATTACTCATGATCACGCGAAAGTAATTAATATCACATTATCAAATTGTTTCAAAATGAACAGAGATTACGTATCGAATTATAACATACACAGCTCAATTAGCAATGTATCAAATGAAATGGACCGGTTTATAACGGTCCCAATTGTTTTCTGAAAAAGAAAAAAAAAATCCTGTTGGACTATTCTATCCATTGTTAATAAATACGATAAATAGATTAGTGCAAGGTATAATATAAATAATAATTATGTATCTTAAGCATCCCAAAAAGGGCCAAGAAACTCCATATACGCGTGTATATATATATAGTTAGTTAGTTGAGATAAACTTGGTTACCACTCTTGTCCTGATATTTTGTTTTTACTTGTCAATTTATCGGCTCCACGAGTGTGTGAGCTAATCACTTTCATGATTATAAACAGATATAATAATAATAATAATGGTGGGTCGTAAACCATGTTGTGATGAGGTTGGATTGAGAAAGGGTCCATGGACGTCGGAAGAGGATGTGAAACTAGTTGATTTCTTAAGGACACGTGGTGGCGGAGGAGGATGGTGCTGGAGAGACGTACCTAAACTGGCGGGGCTAAGGCGGTGCGGTAAAAGTTGCCGTCTCCGGTGGACCAATTATCTCCGGCCAGATCTCAAAAGAGGTCTTTTTAGTGAAGAGGAAATCCAACTAGTCATTGATCTTCATGCTTGCCTTGGCAATAGGTTTTTTTCTTCCTTTTTTTCTTTTCTATTTGTGTGACTGTTACATCAAAAATGTTAATTTAAATAAACGATTAAAAAATAAGTTGAGTAAAATAAGAAAAAAAAAATCATATAACAGGGTTAAAAATTTAAGTTCAAGTTTTTAGGTCTTAGGATTGTAGGTTTAGACTATATTTTGCAATTTTTTTTAGAAGACAGACTATGTTTATAAATTTTTTATTAAGTTTCTCTGACTATCATGATTTAATTTTTATTTCCACCAAAAATGTTAACTTATATCAAATTGTAATAATGTTATACAATTGTAGATGGTCGAAGATTGCAGCAGAATTACCGGGAAGAACAGACAACGATATCAAAAATCATTGGAACACTCATATAAAGAGGAAGCTCATAAGAATGGGTATTGATCCAAACACACATCGTCGATTTGATCAACGAAAAGTCAACGACGAGGAGGAGAAGGAGGAGGTACCTGTGGTTTTGCAAAGTGACACGTCAGCAGGAAATCTAAACCAGTTAGCTGACGTGGACAGTGATGATCAGCCTTGGAGCTTTTTAATGGAAAATGACGGAGGAGGTGGCGCCGGAGAGCTCACGATGCTATTGTCCGGCGACATAACGTCATCATGTTCTTCTTCGTCATCGTTGTGGTCCAAGTATGGAGATTTGGGATACGAAAATCTAGAACTTGCATGTTTTGATGATCAGAAGATTTAGAAGATGAATTATTATAAGGTTCATTCTATACATTCATGTAGTTGGACCAATATAACGAAATAGTATTTTTAATTTTCTCTTCAATAATAAAAACGAGCTTAACAATGTTTATGTCATCGTCTCCATTAGGAGACGTTCATTTCTTATTTTGCAGGTTCTTAGGCCTCGGATTAGTTTATTAATCCGTCTGATGTCCTTATTTAGAAGGTTAACTACACTTTTATACTCTGTTTGTTGTCTACAAGAAAACTTCATCTTTCTATGAAGATATCAAAGCAATGAGCAAAGTCTTGGCACTAACGATAAGTAATTAAAGTAAAAAGTCTTTACGATGATTGGTTAAACGTTTCTTTCATAAAAGATTAAGATTGGTACAAGAATCTTCTTCACCAGTTGCTTAGTTTGGTTCTTGAGTCGATTCTGTTGAAGAAAGAATCTCAGAAAAAAAGTTTCAGGTCATTGTTATCATATTATATGTAAACAAGAACGAGAAAAAGAGTTGTTACTTTTGTATACATATGTGAAAGAGAGAGAGAGTAGTAATGTTGAGGTTATGAAATCTCTACAGCTCTTTTGCTTCCTATCTAATGCTATGCTTCCAAGTTATTGTTACTTCTTTTCTTTTATTGCCCCTAAGATAATCAGAAGTTGAGGTAGATGCTCACTTCATGAATCTAGTTTTTGTTCAAGGGGCTGATGGGTTTGAAGCTTCTGTTGATTCCTTAGCGTTCTTCAGCATAAGGTCGTAGTTGATCGAAGCCAGTTGTGAGAGGTTCTGATAAACACAAAAGCAATTGTCAAAGGAAAAGTAGAGCTAAAGAGCTTAAAAAATGTTGTTAACTGACCTTGAAAGAAAAATTGCTGAAGGAATACTTCACAGCAAGATTCGGTCCATTTCCAAATTCTGCTAAGCTGCCACACTCATCGCCCTGTTTCACAACGTAAACATTTATTAAGCGGCGTGATTCGATTCGATTCTGTGAGTACACTACATTTGGTCCTGGAAGTAAAGAAACAGAGTCATGTATACATCTTCCTCCTGTGTGTTGAAGGAGCTGCTGCTGCATGTGTCTGTAAGGTCATCGAAGTCGCTGCCTCCATGAACATTTTCATCTTCCGGGTTCCATATATATCGGCTCATGAAATAACTAGTGTCTTGTGGCTCAGCTGATGGTACAAACATAGCCTGTATAACAACAGATCAATGGCAGTTAGTAGCAGAATGATTTTCCAAAGGAGCTTTGTGTGCATAATATTATTGAATGAACCTTTTGCCTGGCAAGCGTGTCCCAGTTAATATCTTTGAAAAAATGATGTTGTTTCACCTGTAAGAACATTTTCAGAGACCGAGGAACAATGAGTTGTAAAAAGTTTACGGGATGATCTATTACAGTTTTACCTCTCCAGCTCCCGTTGCCCCTAGTCTTTGCACAGGATTCTCAGTCAGCAGCCTGAAGCACAGACAAAAAAGTAGATAATCTTAATAGAATCAACAGCGAAGCATAAATACGAGGGTACAGAAAATGTGGAAAAGAGATGAAGTTTCTGAGATTTAATTGCATAAGGTGTGTGATCTTACTTGTTGATCAGGTCATATGCTTCATAAGACATCTCCTCTGGCACATTAGGCCATGGTATATCTCTGTTGATTATATTTTCAAAAATTTGCTGCAAAACCATAGATTTGTTAAGAGGGAAGAATGATGATGTCTTGATACCTGAAAGCTTGAAAATATACCTGTGGGGTTTCTGCATTGAAAGGAGGAATACCAACGAGAACCTCAAAGAGAATAACACCTACTGACCACCAATCAGCGGTTTTACCTGTAATGAGTGGTCAAATACAAGTCCATGAACAGATACATGATGGCAATAGAGAAGGAAGACAAATGCCCTTGTGAAAATACTAACCGTGACCCATTCCAAGAAGTATTTCAGGTGCAAGATAATCAGGTGTCCCAACGACTGCATGTTTTTTACGGCTATCTTTGCCTTGTGAATGTTGAGTTTTTCCATCTTCTGCGAAAAAACTACTATTTCCCAATGATGTATCACCTGATAAGTCATCTGTGCTGTTGATAAGACCAACCTTAGAAAGCCCGAAATCTGTCAACTGTATTACAAGAGAATAATATATTTTGTGAGAAATGTGTCTGGATGCGTAACTCAGAGCTTTAAAATCGAAAAATATATTGACCTTGATGTGACCATCCTGATTGATCAACAAATTGTCTGGCTTTAAGTCTCTGTGAATGATATTTACAGAATGCAAATACTCCAGCGCAAGCACCTGAAAAAAAAAGCATTTGATTAACTTTTATCCTGGGAAGTCTTAATCCGGACAACAAAAAAATTGGGCTAATTTGAGGGGTTAGAGACGGCCTTACAACTTCTGCAATGTAAATGCGGGCCATGTCTTCGTCCAAGCACCCAAGATTTCTCAACAAGGAAAAGAGATCTCCGCCATTCAAGTACTCCATGACCAGATACAGATTTTCACGGCATGTGAAAGAATAGAAAAACCGGACCTGCACAGCTAAAAGAAGCATTAGAGAAAGCTCCACCGTTTTTCAGAAATGTATTTCAACTATACATTGCAGACATTACATACCACGAATGGGTTACGAATTGATATAAGGATGTTGCGCTCCGCTAGAATACTCTCAACAGCATTCTTACGGATCATATCAGCCTTTTTTAAAACCTGTACCATGGTTAAGACAGCATTGAGTTACGGTAAGAACAAATTCCTAGAGCCAAGCTGGGAGAGAATTATGTCAGTAACACCAACCTTTATGGCAAACAAATCACCAGTTGCCCTTTTTTTTGCAAGAAACACTCTTCCGAATGCACCTCGGCTGATTGGTTTTATAATTTCAAAATCTTCTATTGATGTTCGGTCTTTAGCGCGTGGATTAAGTGGGCTTGCCCGTAAGCTACGCACTGTATCCTCATCTGCTGAGCTTTCTTCATCCGCCATGGTGTTTGATGAGTCTACTTTTTCATCATCTATCTGTCCACAAAGTTCAATATACTTCTCCCTGGATTTGAGAAACAGTACAACAGCCTGGCTCAATTTGCAGTCAAAGAGTAGTTATGATCAAAACACAATGGATAAGTAAAAAATGATTACTGCAGTAGCTTCTCTATTCGTCTTCCAAACGTTTCTACGACGAGGGCATCTGCCTTCCTATCCTGAATGACGTACTTTAGCTCATCCAACTGCTCAATCATGAAGTCCAATGAACTGTATCCACATAAATTCACATTTGCAACAGAGCGAGCAATCTCTAGCAACTTGTTTATCTGTCAGTTCAAAGAAGAAAAATCGATGAGAATTTGAATGTGTAGCTGAAATAAAGAAAGAGGCATGAATAAATATATGGAGAGTCTGGAAAATTAACACTGAAAGGAAAAGGGCAAAGAAGCATAGAACGTATATATTTAACCTGCTGATAGTTCTCAAGCTCTGTTATTGTTCTTCGGCCACTTAGTAGCAAATCCACTTGGCTTGTCCTTGGTGTTGCTGGTGATGGTGGTGTCAAGCTTCCTGCTGATGAGTCCTTTGCTCCATTGATCATAGACACTTCATTCAAGATATTCAGTTCATCAAAAGTAAATGTATTCTCTGAACGAGGAACGCAATCAAGCATGTCATCTGAACATCTCTGAGAGATTTCATCCATATCTTCATGCCTACTAGATGCGGATAATCTTGCATTATCAGAAATTGCTCTCGGGGTTCCGCTCTTTGGCGTCCATGTCTCCAGAATCTTCTCAAGACTTTCAGCTACTCTTTCAAGTCTTAGGTTCACATTGATCCCCTTCAAGTCACATCTATCAGCGATGGTGCATATTCGAGAGTGCTCTTCTACATGTACAACTGGTATTTCAACTTCACAGATACGGCAAATCATGGAGTTATCGTATGTAAAGCACTGATGATCCGCCCAGAAACCCATCAAAGCACTTCTCCCTGCGGATGTAGGCTGGCCTGAGGGGCTATGCAAGCTTTCAGCGTTGTCATCACCATAAACTTTTGGTTGGATTTTGCTCTCACCCTTAGCCTTGGGAGTTGAATTAGCACTACGGTTTTTCTCGGCAGCAGAAGGAAGCTTCTTCCAGGATGACATCCGGAAGTTGCTCGAAGCTGAATCGGAGCTTTTCGCAGTATTTACTTCATTCCCATCAGCTCCACTGTTCGAGTTCTGATCGAGACTATCTTGTTTACCAGCAAGATTCTGCTTTTCGTTTATCTTTTGCATTTCCTTCTCTCGAAGAAGGTCATGCTGTCTCGAGATTTCAACCATCTGCTCCGGATAAACACCGAGATCACTTAGCTGGTGCATTCCCAGAATGTGTTCTTCAACATAACCGCTCTCTTTACGAAACTGCACAAGCCTGTTGCAGCGAGTAAGGATGAAGAGAAGACGGTTATGAGCCTGCTTGAGGCCTCCCATCGGCAGCTCCTGACGTTTATCGTCTAGTTTCTGAACAATACCTTCACATTTCACCCAGAACTCACTTGCTGGCATGGTTGCACATTGCCGAGCCTCAACTAAAAGATCCTCAAGACCCGTTCTTAATTCTTTGTTAGACTCTGGAGTGCTCTCTAGAGTGGTCACTAAGTAGCCAGCAAAAACTCCTAAATCAGCATCAACATCTTCCTTCTGTCTATCAAACTTCGTTCTGATTGCTGCCATAACCTCCTGCAAAAATCATCAACCAGCAAATAAGAACACCCTACAAAGTCATCAGAGCTGTAAAGAGGTCAGCAAAATACTACTAACCTCCATGTGTCCCACAGCTCGAGATCTCCACACCGGGAAAGGCCGTACCCCTTTAGAGTTGAGTTCATGAGAGAAGCTCTTGATGTCATGAGCTTTCTTCTTCCGTCCACTTGTGACACGCAGTATCGCCTGAAAACGTGGAGAATGCGTTTCCTTGGCAAGACCAACATGTGAACTCTGCATTGATAAGAAGAAAGATAATGAAGAAAAAAACATTAAACATGGACATCAAATGAGCTTAGCGATTAGAAATGTGAATTTGAAAAGCGTACAAAGAAGATAGTTCACCTCTAACCCTGGATTGGGATTTGCAGGCGCCCGTAGAGATTTTGATTGGGTCCACTGAACTTTTTTACCTAAAAGACGAAGCCACAAACAACATCATCATCATCAGGATCATGATTGTCTCTCTAATTGAATGCATCTGTAGCAGAAAAGCTCAGCAACATTCCCAATCAAGTGGAAATTTCGAATTCCATGTTTGAAATTCATAAATCCTAGATCGAGCCAACGGAAAAAAAAAAAAATTACCCTGATCGGGTTGGTGAGGAGGAATCGGCCATCTCGCACGAGCATCAGCACGAGCATCAGAAGCCCCAGCTCTAGGTTTCTCCTTGGCGTCTTTATCATCCTGAATCGGCAGAATCAACGGCGTGTCCGACGAAAATCTTAAAGGAGACGGCGCCGGAGATGATTTCGTCCTGATATGGTTCAGACCGAGAGAAGAAGGAGCAAGAATTTCCGGGGAATCGTGGCTCGTAGAACCTTCCGCAGCTGAAGCCGGCGGCACCTCGTCGGCCTTCGCTGCTTCTTCTCCTTCCTTCTCCGTCGCCGAATGGCGGAAAGGAATCGCAGGGATTTTCTTCAGGTGTTTCGCGCTGGCGGAGGTCGGCGTAGAGACGGTGGTCGATTGCGGATCTCGGTCATTCTCAGGCGACGGTTCCGTCGTAGACATAGGCGACATTTTTTTATAAAATAGAGAAAATCTGAATTCCTTAAGTTTTCAAGAGGATAAATTGAATTTTCATATTTACATTTTGATTTATCAAAACCATAACGTTACACAGAGAATCGGTTGCGAGAGAGAGAGAGAGAAGACTGAGGTTTTCGCGGGAAGTGATTCGATCAATGCGTGAGATTGTATAAATTTATTTCGCTTCCTACTAAATTGTTTCTTTCTGGTAACTTGTTTTTTTTAAGTTTAAGTTGGCTATAAATCTAGTTGATGGTAACTTGTTATCTTTTCTTTTTTTGGTAAAAAACTTGTTATCTTTAAACTGTATAATATCAAAACTAAAATTAAAACTGCAATGTCAAATGAAAATCATAAATTGAAACAAATATTTATCCTAAGAAGATACAAATTTCAATAATTTTCTAAAACTAGGTACAAAAACATAATTCCATGAAATTAGTTTTAAAAAACCAAATTGTTATCAAGGTTATGAGTATTAATCGAAATTATTTGTTTAGTGAAAAACTTAAACTTCTGACTCAGTTTTTCTCTTGCAACACCTAAATAGTTAAAGAAATGATGATATTTTATAATTTTGTATAGTTCATAAGAATATTCATGTGGAGAGTGTCCAACGTGCTTCCAACAAATGCATGTCTTCCCCATTTCTAGAATCGAAAATCACCCAATCTTATAGTTCAATTTAAAATTAGCATTTCGTGATGTTTTCTTCAGGGTTGACAAAAAAACACGGTACTAAGATATTTTTGGTTAAACTTCTAGAAAGATACATTTTCTTTTATTTTATATTTACAACACGTTGATACTCAATACAATAAATCCGAATTAAATAATCACTATAGTTTTCTTTAATTTTTTGGGGTTAAGGATGATGAATAGTATTCCGAAATTAGGCCGAAATGAAATACAGAAGCCCAACTTAGTATTCCAAAATTGGGCCGAAATGAAATACAGAAGCCCAACTCAGAGACTAGCACGAGTAGAAGAGATTGAAGAAGCAGAAAGAAAGAGTGAAACTTACTGACTTATAGCATATTTAGCAAAAGCACATATAAACTTTCAAGAACACAGAAACAATTCAAACAAACTCGGTTTTAGAGTACATTTGTAAGAAACTTAGTGATCTTTGGGCTCGCTCTCATGAACCATCTCTTCAGCATCTTCAAACCTCTGATCATTGATTTGGAGCTGCAGTGTGAACACAACCGTTCGATGAAATTAACTTAACTCAAACAAAAGCAAAAAGGGAAAGAACAAGCAGATGCCTTTATTTGATTTACCTCGAGCATAGGCTGAGCGAGACCTTCATCTCCATTGGAATGACCAATTACACTCGTCGGGCTCTGAGATATTTGCCACTCGGCGTCTTCTTCCGCTGCACAACACAGACAAAAAACATCACATCTCTTAATACCATTCAAGATGGACCATTATAATATGGTATTGAGTTTGGTTTTTGCATATAAAAAAAGAATCACCTCCTCCATGAACATCCATCTGATCAGCACTGAACACCCAATTATGTCCGCCTCCTACTTCTTCTTCTTCTGAAAGATACAATGACACAAAAATGTAAACGGCGTTGGTAACAAGTAAGAAGTTTCATTAAACGTTAGCAGTAAGTAAGGCTGCATCTTTATTATGTTATACCTTCAATTGGTTCTGGATTCAGCTCGGCACACTCGCAGAATACATCAAACAGAGTATCCACTGTCACAGAGAAGACAAAAGACATTTCAGTATTCCAGACTCTTAGAGAAACAAGGAACAGACTCCATTAGCTCTAGGAGTTCCTATATAGAAAACTCACACTGGCTAGAGTCTGAAGGAACAAGCCTCATCTCTCTGATCTTCGATAAGTCCAAAACCGCGGTGGATTCTGTATCAGACTCATCTTCATCCTCATCTTCTTCAACTTCAATCTTCAAATAGTAGACCACAAAACGTAGAAAAAGACGAATAAATCGGAGAACACAAAGACAATAAACATCAAGCAGACATCAAGCAGCAAATAATCTTACTGTACAAAGGCCATAAGTCTAGCACTGAGCTCTAAGCCAAGAGCTTATGAACCCATAATAAGGTCACTATAGAAACAGGAATTCAGAAAACTATCACTCTTCTCAAATCCAACAAAAAAAATCTCAAACCCCAAACTATAATACTATGCAACTTATCACATTACTTAAAGATCATACGAGATGAGCCGTTTCTGCCTTAGAACTTATCACCAACAATAAGAAAATGATAAAACCCAGAACTTTTCCATTCGTATAAAGCAGATTTCACCAAAACCGAAATCGCTTACACAAAAAAAGGGTGTTAGATACCTGAGTGTATATACAAGGAGATGAATAAGCCTCTGGATCTCTAGAAACCGCATGAAGCGATATTGCTAAGAAATCGACGGCATAACCTTTTGCCATGTCTACATCGCTCAGCCAAATCAATTTCCTGACCAACAAAAAAAAGAATCAAAATTGAAACACCATTAGTCTCCATAAGCTATGACATTTAGTTTTTTCTCTCAAAAGGTACAGATATTTTGAGAAATTTCACCTGGAAGTGATGTATAGAGTTCCGGGAGACTCAATGGAGCGGTTTCCGAGAGCGACGGCGACGGAGGGTTGCACGAGCATAAGTTCCTCACCGTTAGGTTCGTCCAGAATAGGTTTTCCGGAGCCATCTCCAGTTCTAAGCGCGAACTCTCTTAGACCAACCACCATGTTTTCCGATCACAAAGAAACTGTTGATGTTTCTCAAAAACTGAATTTCTGGCAGGGTTTTTCTTAGGGTTTACTCGGAGAGAACAATCGTTCTGCAAACAGATGAAGAACATTACTGGGCTTTTGATTAAATGGGTTTTGTTAAAAAGGCCCATTGTCTATTAAGTGAACAAAAAGCTCATTATTTAATGGGTCACTTTTGTGGTCCATTTCGTTAGGGTTCATTTCTTATTTCGTTTTGACTCAAATATGTACTCATCAAAGCTAAAAAAAAAGTATCCTTATAGTACATCTTTTAGATATAGGATTCATATCCTCATCAATCTACAGTTTATTAAGTCATGGATCTTAATAAGGCTTGTACACAAACTAGGAGGCATTTAAAACCATTCTTTTTCATTCTAAAATTACATACACACTTAAATAAATTTTGATGATTAAAATTATTTTGTATACTACAACCAGTTCATTGTAAAATTTTCCACACATATTTAAAAAAAGTGGTCATGTTATATCTCTTCATTACTACAATTAACTATAAGTTTATTTATCCAATTAATAAAATGAAATTATATAGGAACTGAAACTTGTTTTTTTTCTCGACAGGAATAGAAAATTGAGTTTTGTTTAAAATTTTGCATTAAGAATACAAAACAACACATTTTGTAAAATGAGAATTAATATATATATATATATATATATATATATATTGAGTGGAAAATGTCATTTTCTTAAAGAGTGATGAATTCTGAAGATAGGGGTGGGGGAGAGGATGGATAAAGACGAAATGGGGTGGTCATGGGGATAGTGGAAGGTTATATGGGTCGTTCGTAATTGATTGTTTGTCTTGCAGATTGTGACAATGCATACATTAATGAAGGGATCATTGTCAATAGTGACCCTCTAATTCAAATCTAGTTTTTTTGTTTCTCTTTCATATAACATTCTTAACGCCATGTCTCTAATTCACAGAAGAAAGATTTAAAAGCCTCCTAGTTTGTGTACAAGCCTTATTAAGATCCATGACTTAATAAACTGTAGATTGATGAGGATATGAATCCTATAGGATGGACTATGAGGATACTTTTTTTAGCTTTGATGAGTACATATTTGAGTCAAATGAAATGAGAAATGAAACAACCAAAAGTCGAATAGAATGAGACCAAAGAAAAAATCATTCACCTTATAGGGTGATGAATTAGTGATATAGTAGGCCATATATACATCTACATCTATTTTGAAAGATATTGTAAAAGAAATTAATACATGATTTGCTTTCGTAGATGTAAATACACCTTAATTATTAATTAATTAATATAATTTCATTGGTTGCCAATTGCCATCTTCTCGTGCATGTGCATTTTTGAATAGTTTATTTGCTAAACATCCAAAAACGGAAGAATCACAATGTGTGTACACATGCTCAAGACAAGACGAAAGTAAATTCCAAAAATCAAAAAGAGAATTAACTAAAAGCAAACACACATTTCTTCATATATTCACACTTACAAATAAAGTCTTTATATGTAAAAAAAGACTTTTCTCACTCGTCATACAAACAAAACACTCAAAACTCCTTTTAATTACTTTTACAAAAATAACTAATCTTCTTACTACTCTCACTCGTCTGAACCATCACAGAGGTGATTTTTTTTGCTCTAAAAGTACCCAATGATATATAGGATTTAAACTAAGCTTCAATAATGGTTTCTCCTCGTGGAACCCTAACCCTAAACACATGTTCCTCTCCTGTGCACTTATCAACTTTCACCACCCAATGACTCTTCCTCGCATGATCATGATGATGATTGTTTTTGTTCATCATCATCATCTTCTGACTATAATTACCATTATCGTTGACCCTCGTCACAAGCAATCCTTCACCTATAGGCAAAAACTGCGTCCTCCTCCCATCGCTAAACCTCCACGACCCTCTCGAAAACGCGTTATAACCCACCACAACCCCCACACCGCTTCCACCGCCGTTTCTTGCGTTTTCTTCATGGTGATTAACAATCTTTCTAACGATCTCTTGGTGGTTCTCGAGGTTGCAATCGACGAGGACGAAATCAGCTTCTCCGAAATGATCATTAATTAGAGTGTTATCGTTAGATTCTCCGACTACGAAATTTATCTGACGAATCTCTGATGGCTCTAACATTTTCTTGGATATGATTAGTTCTTCGATGCCACGTAAAACGCATACCACTTTACCGCGTGTTTGGTTAGCCGCAGCGATTAGGGCAACGAGTATGTCGGCGTTTGCAGCTCCGGCGCAAGCCACGGCGATCTTTTTAGCGTTATTTCCGGCGGCTAGAGCCGATATGAATTCAGCCACGTTTGGTTCTTTTGTCCTTTGATCCTAAAAAACGCATATAGATATGTTAAAATGTGACATTCATTCAAGAAAAATATACTAGATAAATATTAGTTATCTATTCACATCGATCCATAGCGTAGTTTAAACAAAAACCGATTAAGTTTAGCCCAGACAGATCTTATAAGTTATATGAATATATAAAAAAGAAATAAACTCTTACCGTTTTCAATGTACTAAGATAGGCTTTAGTAGCATTCTCAGCAGACCAAAAAGCCATTTTCTTTTTAATTGATTTGAGAATCTTAGAAGAAATCGGAATGCTTAGATGGTTGATGATGGTTTTGGTTTTTAGGAGTGAAGGGTCTTTATTTATATATGGGGAGATTTGTGAATGGGACAAGATTCAAACAGGCTGGTCCAGTTTCATGAATCTTTTCTTTTTGATATAAATAGACGGTAGAAGAGAAAATACATTTGGTCAAGTTGTAATAGTATTCAACATGCGTATACATTATGGTATATCTTACGTATATTAAAAAAGCGGATTGTCTCATTGTCGAGAGACTAATCAGCTACTGTCATTGTTAATGTTGCTTTTTCCTTATGATTTCTAAATTGAACTAGGCTAGGTTCAAGGGTTGTTCTTAGTGGCATTTAATAATGAATCGCCACTTTAACAATGTGTATCCCAATTCTTAATCATAACTAGAAATATTATTGGCAAAATATAAGTGAAGGAAAAGGAAACAACATGTAACTGTACAAATGGTTTTAAAACTTTTATTGTCATATATGTTTCAAAAATTAGTTTATCGTAATGATGTTCTGAATCTATAAACACATGTTTACATGGAGAAATATTGTAACTTCAACAACTACAATGCTCAAACAAGCAATCATGGCTTAAATGTTAGTCATTAATCTGGATGCTCGAACATGTATACATGCAACTTTAGGAACAAACATTAATATTGATGGAATCTCATTTAATTATATATATTATCGATAGTTTCAACGCTTCTTAGCGAATTATGATTAGTTTTAACTAATTAAAAGAAAGAAAAAAGAAAGTTTGAATTAGGAGGATCAATGAGCTGTAATGTCTAGTGCAGCAGGGGCAATGGAGATCTCAATGAAATTAAATATATAAAATATTTCCAAAAAAAAAATATAATGCAATGAAGAAGTGAATTGAGATTGATACACATCTTTGGGACATAGAGAACATGGGTCCATGTTTGTTCTGACAACAAGCCTACAGTTTTTCTTACAAGATTAGATTCTCGATTTCACAAAACTAATTAGAACGTACGGTTTACATTAATTGAAATTTTATATATATCGATTAAGTTCTTGATTGTACAATCTAGTGACCGTCCTCTCTCGTACAGATTTCCATGAAGCTTCATATACACTTAATCTAATTATGCATTAATCATTGTGCTAACCAAGACTGAGAAATTGTTCTTAAGCTATACTGCTAAAACATTAATCTACTCTATATTTTAATATCATATTATATTAAATGGCTACAATTCGTCTTGTTGTATAAACCATTCATAATCCATTTTTATTGGAGATATCATATGTATATATATGTCAAAAAGATATTTATATATAAATAGATGTAATAAACTGGTGATTGCTACTAATGAGACGCAGTTACAAGAAAAGATCGTGAAGGATGCGTTAAATCCAAAGGCACAAAGAGCCACAGTGTCCCATGCTGATAGATATGATTCAGAAAAAATGTTTGAATAGTTTTGGGTTTATTGAGACATGTTCTTGCAATTGATGAAGATATCTCAATGTATAATGTTTCTTCCACTTGAACTAGTTTCATGCATCTGTCATTATTATTGCTTTATACCTTATCAAGATAAGGGTATTGAAGATTAATTTGGCCAGACCGAACTGGTCCAAGGTCCGGAAAGTTTTTCATCTGGTTCAAATTTTAATGTAATGTAAAATATTGTGGTCCAAGTGCAATTCGAAACTATTTATATTGATTTTTGAAATTGTAGATCGTGAACAAAATAAAGGAAAATATCAAAAAAACTTACAAAAACTAAGAAAATAGCTTACATTTAGATATATAAAGTTAAATAACGCTTAAATATGTGTAATGTGTACGTGTAATTGTTTAACAAACAAAATGTGTACGTATCATAAATGGAGTTCGATGCATGCACTACAATTATTATAGAGGATTTACCGTGAAATATTTTAAAACAGTAGACATAGATCATGAATGCTCAATTGTCTTAGACTATCGTCGCGACATATCTCAGAAAAGTTTTTCTCATCGACCAAAATCAGATTACCGGAATATTTAATTATATAATATTGAAAATATAACAAAATCTTGAATCTTGTAAATGGGCAGTAACCAATTACAAGATTGGGATAACAAAAAAACATGAATATTGAAACAATTTATGGTTGATAAAAATGAAACACCAAATAAAAATAATGAAGCGAACGTGGGATTGGGATAGGGATAACATTGAGGAGACAACGATAGAGAACAGTGAGTGGCTACAGATTCTGCTTCGACCATTCCAGGAGACATCATCTTTTATGAGTGTTTTTTTTTTATAGGTGGCTCTTTGTCTAATTTTTTTTTTAAATTTTGGGTTTTTATATCTTAAGTGAACGTAAAAGTTAACCACAAATAGTTAAAAACAAGAGAACATAATTTTATTTTAGTTCTCTAAAAATAAAACAGCTTTTAAAATGTATAAACCACACAAGAAAATAGAAAAAGACTTTTGAATCATCTTAAAAACCTTTTTCTAAATCATTTGAAAATCCTTTTAAACTATTAAGAACCTTTCTCACATATTTTTTTTGGTATTCAAGAAATTTCTAAGAAAATTTAGAACATAGAAGAAACATTAAAACAATTATTTAATGATTTTAAAATGTTTGGGCCATCAATTGAAACTTGATAGATTCTTAAAAGTTTGGGTCTAAAGATTATTTGAAACTCATAGGTTGGGCCACTAATAAAGGAAGAGCTAAACCAAAAACAAAAAAGCGACCCATCTTACTATTCAACTTAAGAACAAACAAAAGCAAAGTAGTTTCAACTTTGACATACTCCAAGATAACACAGGACACGTAACATTCCCTCCCATCTTTGATATTACCCATTGATGGAGTCTGGTTCTTGTTAAATCAAGGGAGGATCCTACGACGGCGACGCGGTGTCTCGCGCTTAACATACATCTTCTCGACTTCGTTGAGAGGCCGGCTCGATCCATCAGGAAGACTCACAAATTTCCAGCCACCTCCATTTCCACGTTTGCCCTTGGCACCCAGTTTCTCAACCGTGATTTTCCATCCTTCTGATGAACGCCGTCTGCTGTACTTGTGGCACTGCACTTCTCCTCTCCACTGATTAAGAGACCAAAAGAGAGAATGAGTAAAGCTGATACAATCTCTCAAATGCAAACAACCCACAAGCACGATGCAATACCATCATTACTTTGGTTCTTTTAAAGAGAAAACTACAGAGAACTCTAGCTTTGTGCCTTTCAATGTTAATTTCGCAAACTACCGAAGTTAGAGCAGAGGTTCCAAATTTGTAACTAGTCTCAGCATTTAGATATCTCAATCAAACAACCTCATGAAGTTTATATTCACTAACTCAATGCAGTAATGCACAGTCAAGGGGGGCAAAAGACGGGACTTACTTTCATTTTGTTGAACTCAAACCTTCGGACAAATTCTTCGTAAAGCAAGTCATCTTCTTTCTTTGAGATCTCATAATGGACTTCATCCATATCTTTGATTGTACCATCCCACCCTTCTGGCATCACCTTGAAGTCAGGCTTGTAATTGAGTGAGGCCACATGAAACTCCCGGTCATGCGAAACAAAGAACCTGCCATGAGGTACAAATAGTAGATGAAGACACCTATTCAGAAACTTATCCTAGTTTGTATCATGATCCTTCACTAACAATGCCTGCGACTACCCCTAACAATCTAAGATAAAACTGAAGTATTTTTTAGATTCAAAGCACTTACTCAGGGTACTCATCAAGCAAACGCTCAACGGAATCATCCAAGGGACGACCAAGCTTTCTCTCCTCTTCTTCTTCGTCTTCTTTAAGGAAAAGAATGGCGTGAACACGCTGCCTCATGATCCTGTAATCCTTAGCAAGCCTCTCGACGGTGTAAACCTCGGGATTCTCTTTGTGCAATCTGTACATCTCAGTCTTCTCAGAGTCCTTAAGATAAGACCCTCTAGCTCCAGGCTCCTTCACTTGCTTCAGCAACACACTCATCTCCATCATCCTCTGCTTGATCCCGTCAACAAAAGCCCTGCTATGCTTGCTATCTTGCTCAATCTCTTTGATCATATCATCATACTCATTCATTTCGTTAACCATAGCGGCTTCTCTCGGACTCAGTTTGCTCATTACGTCACCCGAATGATCATCATCAGAAGAAGAAGGACTCGCGTTCTTCTGACGGCCAACGGAGACACCGTCGTAATGCTCCTTACTCAAACCAGTCGACCACATCGATTTGTTATCCCAATCGAGATCACCAGATCCCGTACCACCGAACGATCCTCCCGTTGCGATATCCCAACCGTTGTCGTCTCCTCCGGCTCCATCAGACCCCGATTTCCCGGAAAATGCTCGATCTCCGAGAGATTGAAGGATTTTTGGAGCCCCAGACGCACTCGTACTAGGGGTAAGGGAAAGAGAGGATAGACGAGGAATGATCCTCCTACTAAGGTTAAGCATACTCAGTGATGCTCCAGCTACAGATCAATCGAACGCTGAAACAAAATGAAGATAGAAGATCTAGTAACTATTCAATAAACAAACTTTAAAACACACACACGGAAAGAGAGAACATTTCTAGCAAACCTGAGGAAAGGGGAGATAGAGAGCGATACCTCCTTAGTTATCCTTGTCGAGTCTCCGATTAATCGGAATCGGAATCACGATGAAGACCAACGGAGAGCCAGTAGCGACTGCGCTGAAGGAAAGGGAAGGGTTTTAGAATTTAGGGAGAGATCAGTTTTCTTTTTGTATTTATGTTTTAGCCCCTGTATTCCGTTGGTTGTTACAAATGTAACCGAATGATTGTTTCGTTCATTTTTCACCCCATTCCGAAACAGAGTAATTTTTTGAATAACATTTTGTTGTAATAAGAGTTTTAGTTTGAGAGAGAAATTATGTAAAGAGGGAGAGAGAGAGCCTTCTCCCAAATCATGTAATCGCCTTTCTCTTTTGTGCTCTTGCTTTCCTCCGAACTTCTGCTTCTTCACGCATCTTTAGTTCTTTTGCTTCTCTCCCAGCTTCAGCTGCAACTCTCGTTTGTTCTTTTACTTCTCTACGATGTTCTGCGAAACCTATCATCACCTTCCTCCATCTCTTGGAGACCTTCTTTGCTATGCAGGCTCTTCCTGGAGTACGTCCTTTGGAACCCATCAGGATCTTACCGCGACGAAGCGGCGTCTCGCGCTTGACATACATCTTCTCCTCTTTGTTGAGAGGCCGGCTCGATCCATCTGGAAGACTCATAAACTTCCATCCACCTCCGTTTCCACGTTTGCCCCTGGCTCCCAATTTCTCAACCGTGATCTTCCATCCCTCTGATGAACGTCGCCTGCTGTACTTGTGGCACTTCACTTCTCCTCTCCACTGGTTTCACAGACCCAAAAAGAGAAACATCATTATCAAACAAGAAATGATTCAAAGAACGTAGCAAAAAGGAAGGGGACTTTACTTTCATTTTGTTGAACTCAAACCTTCTGACGAAATCTTGGTAGAGCAAGTCATCTTCTTTCTTTGAGATCTCGTAATGGACTTCATCCATATCTTTGATTGTACCTTCCCATCCTACTGGCATCACCTTGAACTCGGGCTTGTACTTGAGTGAGGCCACATGAAACACCCGGTCATGCGAAACAAAGAACCTGCATCAATGGGTTACAAGTATAAGATGAGGAAGACCAAGACACACACACACACACACACACCATGTCAAGTACTTACTCAGGGCACTCGTCAAGCAAACGCTCAACGGAATCATCCAAAGGACGACCAAGCTTTCTCTCCTCTTCTTCTTCGTCTTCTTTAAGGAAAAGAATGGCGTGAACACGCTGCCTCATGATCTTGTAATCCTTAGCAAGCCTCTCGACGGTGTAAACCTCGGGATTCTCTTTGTGCAATCTGTACATCTCGGTCTTCACAGAGTCCTTAAGGTAAGACCCTCTAGCTCCAGGCTCCTTCACTTGCTTCAGCAACACACTTATCTCCATCATCCTCTCTTTAATCCCATCAACAAAGGCCCTGCTCTGCTCAGTGTCTTGCTCAATCTCTTTAAGCAAATCATCATAATCATTCATCTCGTTAACCATGGCGACTTCTCTCGGACCCAACCTGCTCATCACATCGCCCGAATCGGAACCGGTATCACCGGAAGAAGGACACGAATCCTTCTGACGACCAACGGAGACACCATCGAAATGCGACTGGGTCAAACCGGTCGACCACATTGATTTGTTATTGTCCCAATCAAGATCATCGCCGAACGATCCTTCCGCCGGGATATCCCAACCGTTATCGTCGCCTCCGAACCCATCAAACCCAGAGTTCCCGGAGAATGCTCGGTTTCTGAAAAACTGGATGGTTTTTGGAGCGTTCTCAATCAGAAACCCAGACGCTCTCGTGCTAGGGTTAAGGGAAACAGAGGGTAGACGAGAGATTAACTTACTGAGGTTGTACATCTACTGCTTCACCAGTTAAAGATCGATTGAAACGTTGAGCCGCACAAACGCTGAAAGAAAAATCAAAAACTGAAGATTTTAGTAAGTAGCCAATAAACAAACTTTAAAACACGGAACAGCAAAAAAAAAAAAGTTCGAATTTTTTTGGTAACCTGAGAGACAGAAGCTTAGAGCGTTTTACAGTTTTTCCAAAGGAAGAAGGAAAGTCGAAACTCCGATTAATCGGGATTAATGGCGCGAAGGGAGTAGACCAGCGGAGAGCGACTGCGCTAAAGGAGAGAGAAAGGGGTTTTTACTGTTTTAAAATTAGAGACAATATCAGTTATCTTTTATATATTTATTATTTAGCCCCTTTATTCCCTTAGTTGTTACAAATGTAATCAAAATAGTTAAATTCTATTTTTTACTCCACTTCACCAGAAAAATGGTTACTCTTTTTTCCAAGTATTGTAATTTTTACTTTTATAGTTTTATACTACCAACTAATGTACTGTACTTGTAATGAAACAAAAAATTATGTAGATGTTTGCAATTGCGCAAGATCTCGACTTCATAAGAATCACAGAAAGGGATTTCAAGATTAGTTGAAACCATGTCATATGCAAAATAGTAAACTTTTTTAATCCCAATAACTGCAACCATAAAACATCGTTTAATCGATGATTTCAACATAATTAATCTAAACCGATCACAAAAACAACTCTAGAAAACACAACGGAAGAAAAAGAAAAGAAAAAAACTCACACCTAAAACAACCCTCTAAAAACAAAGCAGAGAAATGAAGAATAGCTGAATCATTTTTTTGCCATTAAAGGTCTCCTTACTTTCTACACAAGAAAAATCCGAGAAATGCTCAACCACTATTAGACAGGCTCCTAGTATCGCCGGAATCATCATCGTCCCCACCATCGTCATAGTCATCTTCTTCTTTGTTAGTACCAGTGTTCATGTTCCCATATCCGTGAAAGGTCGATGTGAAATTGTTCATAGCTGAATTGTCGTTGTGGAAAGAAGGCATTTGAGCCATCGGTCTCACTATACCACCACCACCACCACCGTAGGCTTGATGTTTTGGCTCCTCTACCGTGGCCACTGCCGGAGAAGTAGAATTCACGGTGGTTATGGTGAAAGTAGGAGGTTGTTGTTGTGATGGTTGTGGTGGAGGAGAAGCCTCCATGATTCGAGGTTTCTTCTTCTGATTTTGTTCTGCTTGATGCATCACAATGAAACTTCCCATTACCACCTGTGTCACAGATTATAAAACCTTTTTTTAGGGAAATTCTTCTGCTAAAAGGTTATAACTTTACTAAACTCTGAATCTGTAAATATAAGATATTTTCTTAGATAACCAAGAAAGTATTACCTGGACAGGACCGGCTGCTATGAGCATACCGGCAAGGCCACCGCCGATGATTTTGCCATTTGGTCCGGCTAAAGAAATGCTCATACCACCGGACCGACCTTTCGTTCCTCCGTTTTCGGTTGGCATAAAGGAACCCGACAGCGAAAGTATCTCAAATCGACCCTTAAAGACAAGAAAACAAATCATTGGTTCAAGAGCCACCAGAAAAAACCATCCTGGAATATTTTAGAGCATTTCAATGTTTAGCGAGATTTGATTCCATGATAATACAAGGTTACCTCATATGTAAGAGTGCCGCCTGAAGTGGTAGGTTGACGAAGTGTGACATTAGAGATGGAACCAGTTGCAGAAAGAATGCAGATAGCTCGAGATCCTTGCGAATACGGCATAACCTTCATCGTTACATCCTGACAAAGAAAAAAAAAAAACAATGACAGATCGAAGCTTCGGTCACAAGAACGTCCCAGTAAAAAAAGAGAGAAGAATCATGTTTAGTGAATTTATTACCTCACCGGCATTGACAGTAAACTGATGGGTTGTAAAATTTGCACCCACATAGTATGAAAGCCCAGGAGGAGGAGGAGGAGCTACAAGAGACAAAACAGAAGTTGGATGCTATATTGACTTTGACCAATCTGGTAGTTAATAAAGTCTAATCCTCAAACAATCAGTGTTTAAGGCGATGAAAAGGATCTAAAACTTTCAAGAACATCCAAGTCCCTTTTTAGAATAACAGAGTAATTAAAACCAAGCTAATGAGAGAAACCTTAAGATCTGCGCTAACAACTTAGCAATTAACACAACTAGACACACAACTCTTATCTTCTAAGATAAAACGGAAAAGACAGAGATTATTAGTCTCTCTTTGTTTTTTCTTTAAAAAAAAAAATTCGCTGCTTTTTATTTCTGTTTTGTTCGGTCAGCATCATCAGATTCTCTTTCTCTGTCTCCAACTGGTCTGTTTGTAGCTTCTTCAGACAAAAGGGTACCCAGCAAAATCCAGTTATGTTGGTCCCACTTCCCAACATCTCAAAAAAAAACCACCACATAAAAATCACAGCAACACAAGAGTACCCAAAACTCAGATCGGATCGGACAGATCAGATCAGATCTATCTCACTGAAACCGATGCAACAGTTTTAAACACACAAAAAGATTGCAAATTTACCTGGGCTGCTGCTTTCATACTCAAATCTGTGAGATTTCTTGACGAATTCAGAAGAATGCTGCTGCTGTTGCTGAGCTTTTCCTCGTTTCCAATTAGAATGATGATAATCCCCAGAAAATGGAATCGAAGACGAGATTGGAGTTGGGGAGAGAGTTGGTCTCGAAGCCCTAGTAGGGTTTAGACTTCCATCTTGAGCGTACTTCCTCGGCCTTCCTCTCTTCTTCTTCGTCGGATCTGATCCTGCGCTTGGGATCAACGGCGGCGGCGCTGCGGCGGCTGAGCCAGGAATCACGGTGGTTGGTGCCGGAGGCGGAGGAGGAGGCACCACCGTCGTGGATCCCACGAATGGGAGAAAGCTAGGGTTTTGTTGAAACTCTGTTCTTGAAGCCAAAGCTTCATCCCCCTTAGCCGTGATGACCCCACTTGGACTAATTTCACTTTTCTCCTCCATTTTTTTTTAAACCACAGATTCACAAAAATAGCTGGAAAATTATGCCCCTGAATTCACCAACAATTGAGCTTTTAGAAGAAACTTCTTTGATTTTTCAAGATGAAGAGAAAGAAACTTACAGAGGGAGAAGAAGAAGAAGAAGAGGAAACAAAAGTTTTTTTTTTTGTTGAACAGCCAAAATTGACTAATAACCAAATAAACGAGATTACAAGTTGGATTAAAGACCAAAGGAGATGAAATAGCTCAAAAGAATCAGAGATCAAAGCAGAAAAAATTTGGTTACAGTTTTTAGATTTGGTTTCTTACTTTTCAACAATTCTGGAGCTAAAACCAACACTGTAGCAGAGAAATGCAAGAGCTCTTTCCAATGGAGATTAATCTCAATCTCACCCGAAATTAGCAAGTAAAAATCCCCCAAAATTACATGCAATATCCCTGAATTTTTTTTTTCACAAGAGAAAGAAGATAATCTCTCTCTTAGACGACTGAATTTAGGGTTTTTGCAAAGAAAAAGAGGAGCCTAAATAAATAAAAAGGAAAAATTTCAGGAAAAAGAAATAATATATACAAAAAAATATCATGTAGACAGTTGTATTATTTAATACGAAATATTAAGGATTTAATTAGTTTAAAATCGATATAATAATTACAAAAATCAAAGTATTGATTTTGGTTTAGGGAAAGATCCACGTCCGTCTTGGAAATTTAATATATCTAAGAAAATTTTTTATAGTAAAATTTCAAAAAGAAAAGAAACAATGAGAAAAAAGAATACCAACTTCTGACAATCTCCTTTGTCTTTTTCCAGTTAATCACTTTTGAAGTAAGGTTGACCAGAGAAAATCGCTTTGAAAATCTACTAAGAAGACCCATTAATTTTGAAGATAAGCTTCTATTTATATTTTACACATTCAATTCATTTGTAATAAGATTATTTACGCGTGAAAGTAAAAATTTCAAAATTAACTAAAAGTACTTTTAGTTTTTAATAGAGACTATGAGTAGATAAAAAATTTAAAAGATTATTGGATGACATTGTAACAAGTACGCTGGTCGGTCAAAGTCAAACTCTTCTTTCGGCAACACAATCAGTGTATGTACACACTTGGACAAAATACAAATGATCCAATAATCTTCAGATTCCTTCATTTGTGAGACCCTCTTATTCAAACAGCAGGTGTTGAGCATTTGAAATATTTGTCTTTAACACATGAATGATCACTTGTTTCTATGGCTGTAAATCGTTATCTCCTGAAGTGCCATTGAAATGAAGAGCAATACTTCTAAAGAATCTTTGTCTGTAAGAAAGGAGCGATTACCAAATTGATAAAGGTAAAACTAAAAAGACTAATATTTATTTGTCTTTGCTCTATATCTTTCAGCCATGGCGTGATAGTGGAGTGATAGATTTTGCTGAGCGAGGCGAATCATTTTGAGGAGTTTGAGGTGATGTCGCAAATCTCTTGCTAGTCGATACTCTAAGAGCCTTCTTCGCAATTTGAGGCCTCGTAGGAGTTCCTTTGTCTTGCTCTGATGTCACTTGTCCTTGAAGTTTCTTCAGATCCTAAAAACCAACAAAACCCAACAAAGCATTGTTTTTGGTTGATTCTTGGAAGAAGATTGATGTAAAAGAGCTGTAGCTAAATACCCTTTTCCTACGACGTTCATGTTCTTTCTCTTCTCTGAGTTCTGTATACTCTTCGAGCATCGAAAGAAGGCGATTCTGAATGAAGAAAATCGGATAAAAAGATCAGGTAACATCTGTAAGGAGAAAAAAAGAAGAAGAGAGGATAATGTTTGAAGGAAGAAGATATATCATACACCATCAAACAGAAACTCAGCTTCTTTCTCTGATTCCCATATTGTAATCTTGGAAACTAATGCTTCAACCATAGCTAAGAAGAACAAAGAGATCTTTCAGTCGGTAGATAAAGATAACAATCTGAAAACTTTCTTGAGATCATATATATATATGAAACCTGGAAGTTTATTAACAAGTGCTCGAGCTTTCTCTGCGCGTTTTAGGACTAGATGAGATCCTTTTCCCGCGTTGTATCGGTTTTCATCCTATACCAAATCATAAAATCCATAACCAGAATATGTTAAAGTCTGGATCTTTATGAACAAAAAAAGAAAGAGACAGACCTGGTTATACTCTTCAAGCCAATTCTCTTCCTCACAAGCGTTCAACCATTTCTCGGCTTTTTCAAGAATCTCTTTTCTGCTTAAAGCTTCCTCTTTCACTTTCCCAGCTCGATACTCGATCTGTTCTAGTATATTTTCAGGGTTCACATCTCCTGCTTCAATGGCTTTGATTACATTCTCCACCTCGATATCTTGTTCTTCAAGAACAATGTGTGTTCTTCTGCATATCTCTTCAAGTTCTGACCTCTTCTTTAAAACAAGTTCTTTCATTTTGCTCCATTTCAATTCTTCTAACCGGCATAGCTCGGCTTTAACCTTTTTAGCATCAAACAATCGATCAGCGGAAAAAAAAAAACAATCTCAGAATGATTAGAGAATAGTTGATGAAGGTACGTACCTCTTCGAGCAAATCTGTGGAAAGACTATTAGGTTTGGTTATTTCAGAAACAGTAGCAGCTATATTACATGAAACATTCATGAACTTTTGTTGTTCTTCCGCTGGTGTATCCATTAAATTCCAAAACTCAAGCATTGTCGTCACAAGATCTTGAAGCTGCAATCAATATATATATAAGAAGAAACAGAGCAAAGTCTGAAAATACTTAGAAAAAATTGGAAATTTTTAACTGACTTCTTGCATTCTCTGTATCTTTGTCTCATGCCATTGATTTACTGATGAATCTAACTTGTTAAGTGTTTCATTACTTATACTTCTTGACCCTTCAGATTCTATTAAACTTGGGTGAATCTTGGTAACAGTTTCTCGAAAACTCGAACCGAGAACCGAACAAAGCGATTCCAGAGTTCTTAGATGATCTTGAATCTGTTTCATCCGGTTCCTCTGAGCAAAAAAAAAAATATTAACCTTCTGATGAAGCAACCTTAAATCAAAGTTTAAAAGTAATTTGAGAAACTTTTGAAAACCTTCAGTTCTTGAAGTGTGTAAAGCTCTGTGTGTAACTCTTCAAGCTTTCTAAGAGATAAATCAGATTCATCAATCGAAAAATCAGATGAACAAGTCTCATCAGATTCTCCATTAATCTCATCTTTAACACATCTTATATCCTCAATCACTTGTATAAACTGGTTCTTCCTCTCTGATTTTCTCTTTTCCATATCTTCAAGTTTCAGAATAATCTTCCCTAGCTCTTCTTTCAAGCTTCTCCCACATTGATCAGAAGGATGTTGTCTTCCAAGAACCGGTGGCTCCTCCATTACAGAACATATAGCGATAACTCTTGACTCTGAATCAGCAATCTCTTGTTTTAACCGAGTCCTCTCTTCTTTTGCGTATTCTATTTTTCGAGTATAGGCTTCTTTGCATGCGTCTTCGATCTCAATCAAAATCTTCTCTCTGTTGGTTTCAGTTTCTCCAACCTCGTCCCATATAATCTGTGCATCAGAGGTATCAGAACAGAGTCACATCAATTTCAATTGGTTTCTTTTTAAAAATAAAAACCCTTTTCTTGGAGTAAAAGCAATCCCAAACCTCAAGTTCTTGCAGAAGAGATGCAGAAATTGATTCGATTTGAGTTTTGGACATTATTATCTCCAAACTCTGCAAAAAATATTTACAAAAAAGAACCAAATACATTCAAAGTTCATCCTTTTCCACATTTTGTTATTTCTTACTTAATTCTATGAAGGTGGACTTTCTTCCCAAATAGGTCAAAACAAAACAAAAACATATTTTTCTCTCAAATGAAACAAATGCTGAAACTTTCACTAATTAGAAAACACATTAATTACTTAAGGCAAGAATCATTTTAATTGCTGAAACCGAAAACCTTCAAATTGTTAAGTTTTTTTCTATATAAATTTTCCAGGAAAATGGAGGAGGTTTCTACCTGGATGGATTGAACGACACGGCCGTTGTTTTTGTCTAGTGATAATATTTCGGATAGAAATTTGGAAACAAAAAAAAAAAAATTTAGTCAAAAAAAAAATTGCAGAAAAGGAATAAAAATACAGGCCAGAGAGAGAGAGACTTCCCCTCCAAGGCAAAAGAAGACAGTTGGGAGAACGCATCTTTCGTATATTTGTTTTTCTTCCTCTCATCTTTTGATTTCCAATTTTTCGTCCTTAAATCAACTTCTCAGATTCTTCTCACATATATTTATTATTATGATGGAGTAATGAAAAATCTTTGCTTTAAAACTCAAGAATCCACGAAATAATTCATTAAATTTTTATTATAATACAAAAAATGTTGGATAAAGACATAAAGTCATGAGACATTGGTGTTACGTACACAATATTAAACTTGGGGTCTATTTTGTGTAGTTTCAAAATTAGAGAGCTAAAATTGAAAATACAAAAATAATAACTGTGAGCTGGTACATAAAAGCATTGTTAACCGTCGTTTCGTATCCGCGCCAACTAAATTAGGGTCGTTACCTTCTTCCCCTCTCTCTCTCTCATCTTCTCCATCTCTAATCTTTCTCTCTCTCTCTCTCTCTTTCACATTCTCTTTCTCTCTCCTAATTTTCTGGAGAAAAATTCTCGAGAGGTTCTCCTGAAAATTGAATCGAGGGGAAGGAGGGAGGGAGAGGGAGAAGAACATCTCCGATTGAATGTGAAACTCTCCCTCTCAATTCCCGTCGTCTCAGATCGGAATTCTCGAGGAATTTTCCGGTTTAACAATGGTTCCGGAATCAACAATGGGATTAAATGGAGAAGAGTTTTCCTTGGAGGAGTTCGACATTGATTTCGAATTTGATGCACCTCGGTTCTACGATTTCTCTAGACCAGAGCTTGATTCCGAGACGGAGGAAATCGAAATCTGGTTCGAATCAGCTGGAAATTACCCTCCTTCGCGTAAGAAGACACCAAAATTACAAATATTTTGTCTGTTCCTCTCTTCGGTTATGTTGAATCTGTACGCTTTTGTTGTCTGGTGATCTCAGCTTTTAGCCCAAAGTTCAATTGGAAATTTGAGCCAATCAAGCAAATTACAAGCACAAGCTCAGAATCTAAGCCTGTCGAGATCTCAAAACCTGTCATCGAATCCTTGGATACGGGTCTGAACCGGAAAGATAAATACAACGGTATTTGATTCATGATTCGTCTTTTAAAACTGAAGAGATCTTTGTTTCTGCATCAATGCATTTCTGAGACCAAACGGTTTTATATGTTGTTGTTCAGGGTTCATATATTATAACCAAACGGTTAAAGATGTCTCCAAGACAAAATCGAAATCAAAAACCAAACCAAGTATCTCAACTCTTACAAGACCTACGGCTTCTTTGCTTGCAAGGCAGAACAAACCACTAGACAAATACTCTGTTCAACTTCTCACAAGGTAAAACAAATGAGGAAACCATTTTCAATTTCATTTATTTATTGTTTATGGATTCAACAAATGGTTGTTTTCTTTTGATGATTCAGATGTCAGAGATCATTAGGCAGGTTAGCCGATAACTTATCTCCGATCTTAGCCTCCAAGTTGCAAAACCAAGACACCAAAAGGCAGAAACAGGAAGCTAAGGTGTGTGCTTCATTATACTATATGGATTTTGAATTTGCTAAATACTGGAGATGTTTGAGCTGATTTGTTTCAATGGATTTGTTTATGTATCCAGGTGGCTCAAGTTAACTCCAACAGAAGATCTAAACTCACTGTTCCAAAGGAACCTAATCTCAGAACTGCAGAAAGATCTGAAAGGCACAGGTATTCAGAATGTCAACAAGACAGGGTTTTGGCTTCCCTTATAACATGTTTTGATGTTTTTTGTTATCCTTAAACGCTTTTTCTCTGGAGAGTTTCAGGTCTAAGCTTAACTCAGAAACCGAGCAGAATGTGAAACCAAGGATTATTTCATCTAAAAGAAACATTACGAACAAAAATGTACTTTAATCTCTTTTGTTTTTCAATCGTAGCTCCTTCATTACCACATTCTCAGAAGCTATATAGATAGAAAAACAAAACTAATGTTTTGGATTCGTTTGCAGATGAATCTTGAACCTTCTTCAACACCTTTGCCTAAAAGTAATACTCCACGGTCTCAAGATCTTCAGGTAAGTGTATAACAAATCTTCCAGTCGAAAGTTTTTATCCTCCCACATGAACTAATAGAGCTTTCTCCATTAGGCGTTTCGTTTAAGAACCTCACTGAGAGCAAAGGAACGCTCTTCAAATGTAAGTCTCAAATCCAACATATAAAGCCATCTTTCAAATGTTCACACATTACTTAAATGATGATGTCTCATATTTCAGGCCAAAACTGATGCCATAGAAGAGAATGGTGCTACAAACTCCAAAACGTTAGTGCATAGCTTTGTAAACATTATGAATCAACCTATCTTGTATTGTCTAGTTTTTAGCTGCTAGAGTTGACTTTGCCAAAAACGTTCTCACACACATCCTCTTCTGCAGGCTAAAACCCATTGGTTCCTCAAAGGGTAGGATAGTCAAAGGAAATCACAGCAGAAAGATAAATTGCCAAGTGTATGAATCTAATATTTCCCCTCTGGACTCAAAGGTAATGAAATAATGCAGCTTTCTTCTAATAACTTATGAACAGTCTCATTGTTTACATATTAAACAACTCTCTAATCTTACTTTTATTGACAGAGATCAACAAGCAAAGAAGAACTCGGTGAAGCAAGTAGCATCAAATATGGAACTCAGAACTCCTGCAGGACAGATATTAACAGGTAACTAAAAAGCAATCTACTATAATATGTTCAAAGCTACAATAGTTTTAAAAACAACAGGCCATGATATATATCAGACACCATTGATGATATCATTTGAACAGGGGGCTGGACTTATGCTGGAAATACGATTCTCATGAAGTTGCAAGGAGCCTAATCATTGCTTAATCCTCACCTCGAAGATGTTCTTATCATGTTTACACACGCATTTCTATGTCTAATATATATATAAACGTGTATACTTGTTTAGATATATGCATAGAGAAAGTTATTTGATGATATTTTGTGTGGGGTCATATGTAAGCCATTAATTCAGAAGACTAAAAGACTTTAACGAACTCGTGACCATGTTCTTGGAAGGAAAAAAGAAACATTAACTTCACATATCCTTTTTCATATAAACTATGTTCTTGTCTTAAATGCTTCTCACATCAAGCATACCTTCTTTTAACCTACCCAAAATGCCCCTTGTAAAACACTAAATTTACGATAAAACCATGCTTCACTTCCAACCAGCAAGACCATCTTCCTTGGGAACACAAGAGAGCAAGCAAAAAGCTCCTTTAGAGTGGAAATCTTATAAGCTACTTTTGGAGATAACTTCACGGAACTGATCAAACCATTGCGATCCATCTCCTTCACGATTCCTAACTTCACTCCTCTCCTGCTGCTGCTTTTGCTGGTCCCTAACTCCAGAGTCTGTAGGCTTTTTTGATGGATCAAGAGAAGGCAGCTTCTTCGCCACTTGCAGGGATGGAAGGAGAGAAAGCAGAACCCTAGAGACTTCAAGCATCGTGGGTCTCTCCGAAGGGTTTCGCTTTGTGCATAAAAGAGCTAGCTGAAATGTCTTCCTGATATGTCCCACGTCCATACAAGTTACAGTAACCTCTGGATCAACTGCTTCCATCACAGTATTATCATCAGCCTTTGACAGTATCTGCAAACACAAAACAAGAACAAATTTAACTCAACAGTTCAAGATCATATACTACTATTATCTGACTATACTTGTAAGTGTTTCATGATTCATGTACCAGTTGATGCAAGTTAGCTTCGTTATCCACTGCTTTCTTCCCGGTAAGAAGCTCAAGAAGAACAATCCCGAAGCTGTAGATGTCAGATTTCTCATTGAGACGAGAGGTACGAGCATACTCAGGGTCTATGTAACCAATTGTCCCCAAAACATAAGTCGAGGCATGAGTCTTGCTGGTAGGTATGCTCTTGGCAATCCCAAAGTCCGATAAATGCGCTTCAAAATTCTCATCAAGAAGTATGTTCGATGACTTGATGTCACGATGAATGATCCGAGGAGTACAATCATGGTGAAGATAGGCGAGTCCTTGTGCAGCTCCAACAGCTATCTTCAACCTCGTCTCCCAATCAAGCTTCACTTTCTTCAATGGCCCTACTTAGAAAGTAAAAACAAGTCAAAACATTTCATGTGCAAATCATTCTTGCAGTAACCGAACTAAAAGGTTGTTCGAACTAACCGTGAAGAAGGTCCCAAAGAGATCCATTTTCCATGTAATCATAGAAAAGAAGGTTTCCAATAGAGGACAAGGCGTATCCGTGCAAGCTAACTATGTTTCTGTGCCTGATGCTCCCTATGGTCTCGAGTTCTGTCTCAAACTCGCGCAAGTTGTGCGGATTCTGATTGTAGAGTCGCTTAATGGCAATAGGTCGGGAAGTTTTCAAAGTGCATTTGTAGACCGTGCTGGATGCACCGTATCCAATTATGAACTTTTCGCTGAAATTCTCTGTTACTCTAATTACATCATCGAATGTGTGAATCGCCAAGTCCATGTGGAGAATCACTAGCTTGGTTGCGCCTGAGGAGATCATCACATCAGAGAGGTATTAACATCTAATCAAACAGAAGATTGGTTAAAGAAAAACTATGAAGCCATCATTCATCACTACCTTCAGGTTGTTTTGAGGAGCCTTTTAGTATTTTCTTCTGCTGCTTAGATTTGTAAACCACGATGAATATCATACATAGCAGAGTGAAGAAACCGAGCACAATGCAGATCACAGCAGCTATGGAGAATACTGCAGAGAACAAGAAAAGTGTAAGTTCAAAATGAATGAGAAAAGGCATCTATTGAAGATGATGCTTGGAGAATAAATCTAGAAGATACCTCGCGGTTTAGCTAGAGAAGGACCACAAATAGATCCAATCCAATTTCCACAAAGATATGGATTCCCGATGAAGCTAAACGAAGAAGAGTGAAACAGTTTTACATTCAAAGAATATGCGTATTGATCATATTGAAATACTACTGAGGGTAGCTTCATACCTGGCTGGAGCAAAGCGTGAGAAGTTTTTCATTAGTGGGATTATCCCGGAGAGATTGTTGAAGGAAACATTCCTAAAACGTTTTAAAGAATAAATGTGATTATCAAAATCTTCAGACCAATATTTGTATGTGAACATCTCAAACAAGAGAGAACTTACAGATTTATAAGCGTGAAGCAGTTTGTAAGCTGATCCGGAATTTTCCCATGAAGCTTGTTGTCATTCAATATTCTGCACAAATTCGTAACGATTCACATTGATTTTTCAGTATATAATGCAAAGGATAAGAGATCATATAGTATACTTACAAAGAGTTTAGATTCTGCAACTGGCCAAGTTCAGTGGGAATAACTCCGGAAAGAAGATTGAATGATACATCACTGCATGAGAAACAGAGAAGTCAGGCATAAAAACAAAAATATAGTTTTGAATTTTGATATAATCAAAGGAAGCAACTTGGAGCCTTACATCATTTGAATGCTTCGAAGGTTCCCAAACTCTCCAGGAAATTGTCCACAGAGATGATTTCGGCTGAGATTTCTGTTCAATCAAGCAAAGTTCACAAGTTAACAGAAGCGACACCTTAACACAAAAACCTCACAAATTTGTTACCTCAGGGGTTGAAGACTTACAATATGAGAAGGTGTTCTAGATCACCAAGCGTTAGTGGTATAGACCCTGAGAAATTATTGCCTGATAGATCTCTGGAAAGCCAAAAAAAATGTACTATCAGTAGATGCAAATCCAAACTAGAACACATAACCATAGGGTGTAACAAAGTTTAAAGAGACATACAGTTTGTCAAGATTGATTATATGTCCAAGCTCAGCTGGTATTCTTCCCTTGAAATTGTTGGACGAAAGATTTCTGTTTTGGCAAAGATTTAAACTGTCAGTAAAATGTTAAAGAGATGTGCAATGTTACAGAACTGTAGTGAATGAAGCAGCTCACAGATAAGTCAAGCTCCCGAGATTGCGGAACGCCAATGGTATAGATCCACTCAAGAGGTTACCATGAACATTACTGAAAGCAAGTGAAGAGCAGAATTTAGGTTTGTAAATAAAAAAAAGAAGTCATAAATCCAGAAAGATTCATTCACCTAATAACTTACAATTGATTCAAGGCTGCACATGAACTAATGTTTGATGGTATCGGCCCTACCAAAAGGTTGTTGGCAAGATTCCTTTCATTGTTGAAAACATTCAAAAAGAAAAGGTTAAATGTAATGTCTTAACGACTAACGCTTTAGCTAAACCCAAAAAAAGAACACTCACAGTTCAAACAATTGCTCCAGTTTCCCAAGCTCAGGTGGGATAGTTCCCACTAGTTTATTATCGTTTAGTTGCCTGCCAAGTCGGAAAAAACGAAAACCAACAAAAATAAGAATATGCAATGCAAAAGCTATGTAAAAAGATTTGAATATTGAGAAACAAGCTTACAAATAGCTGAGACGTGACATGTTCCCAAGCTCAGGTGGGATTGGACCAGTGAGTTTGTTGCCATGAAGATACCTATCCCAATAAAAACACATGTATTTATATATGCCACGAGCTGAACATATTAACTTTAAACCAAGGAAACTCACAGCTTTCCAGTGAATGAGAGATTGCCAAGAATCGGTGGGATAGGACCAACTAGCTCATTATCACTCAAATCCCTGTGGATTTGGAAAGGTTTTAAAATGTCAGATGAGCCAAATTGGATTATATAATCACTGGTTGTATTTTTACTAATGGACTGAACTTACAAAACAGCAAGAGCCTGCATTAGACCAATAACTTCCGGAATTGTACCCGTCAATCTATTTCTTTGTAGTGACCTTCAAGATAAAAATAATACACAATTCAATAACCGTATCATCACATTCATCGATTAAACTAAGGTTATGGAGCCTCAATACTCACAGAGTGGCGACTTGGAGAAAACCGATGTTGTAAGGGATCTCACCAGTAATCTGATTATAAGATATGTCCCTGTGAAAACAAATACAATGAGTCCACTAAAATTTCTATGCTGAAAATTATGATGTTCTGATAAGAAGAAGAGGGCATACAGAATTTCAAAGCTTGTACAGTTTCCAATGCTCTCCGGGATAGTTCCAGTTAGATTATTGCCTCTCACATCACTAAATCAACAAAACACAAGTAAAAAACTCAGACTTTCACAAGTAAGAAGGACCAAGAGCTATACTACTAAACTCAATAGAAGACAAGAGTATAGGATCCACTTACAAGTACCACAAACCGGTTAGCTGACACATATCAGAAGACAACGTTCCAGTCAACATGTTCCCACGTAAACCACTGCAGAGAGAGAAAAGCATCAGAAGGAGAAAACACTTCTTTAATGGTGTAAACAATTAGAGGTTGGAGGAAATAACTTACAGGTACTGTAAAACTTCGTTCCAATAGAGTATCCTTGGTATCTCACCCGTTAGATGGTTCCCTGCAAGATCACTGTAACAACATCATTTGAATAAAAGTTTATTATATATTAACTAACATCAGTTTATAAAATTTGAATTATGAATAAACGAAGTAACAAGAGAACTCACAGTATCTTAAGGTTTGGAAGCTGGGTTAAGGTTGCTGGTATTGGGCCTGTGAGTTGATTGTTCTTTAAGTTCCTGGTACATCCACAAGTTTAAAGGTTTCACAAAGATGTATAAGAAGACAAAAATGGAACTTAAAATCAGAATAAAACAAATGTTAATAGTATAAGACATACAGAGTTTCAAGCTGCTTGAGTTTGGATATTGAGAAGGGTATGTCTCCATATAGCAGATTGTCAGAGAGATCCCTGTACAAAAGAGAATATGGAACTCAAATTTAAGACTTTGAAAAATTTGAAAACTCTAAATATGTGTTTTATAAGAAAGACTTACAGATAAACAAGAGAAGCACAGTTTCCAATCTCATCTGGTATTTGACCAGCCAATTTATTTCCTTGCAAGTCTCTGCAAATGGATAAAAAGACTTTAATAAAACACAGTCTTACAACTTTTGAAAATGCAAATCTACAATAGAAAAAGATATTTACATGGATTGTAAATTCCGTAGGTCTCCAACACTTGGAGATAACTCCCCTCCAAGGTTCAGATTGGACAGGTTCCTTCGAAGTAAAGAAACTATTAAAGACCTGAAAGGGATATCTAAAGAGACACATTGAACAATAGAAGGAGACTCTTACAGGGAGACAACGGTGGAGCTAACATTGTCGCAGATGAGACCTCTCCAAGAGCAGAAGTCCGAGTTCTGAACATAGTCCCAGTCCAAAAGCAAATTCACTAAGTTGCTGAAAGACCCTTTTATCGCCATCAAAGCTTTCCCTTTTATCACCAAATTCAAATAAGAATAATTAAATCGTTGAAATGAGAAACATTAGTCAAATAGTTTTATATATACATATACAATTAGATAAACCCAAAGTGAAAATGATTTTAAATTACACAGCTTTTTCTCATAAAGATACCCAAAACTAGGGATTTGCAAGCTTCGAGTTTTCTTTTTATCGGTAAACAGAGAGAGAGCTTGAAAAGATACAAACTTTCCAGACTCCTGGAACAAGCATTCTCCTGTTTACTAATCATAACCGTATTTCTTGGAAATAGAGAGAAAAAAAAAACTCATTTTTTGAAGAGCAAGGCCGAGCTAAGTATTGGGTATGAAAAAAGCTTTCAGCTTTAACTTTCTTTCTTGGGGAAACCAGTAGGTTGATTGAACTTCCTCTCAGTAACTAAAGAGAGTTTTGAAACACAGATTTGAGCTTTGATAATTTCTAAACCAGACGATTTTCGATTTCAATGTTTCAGAAAGAAAAAATCAAAACAGAAACCGCTTAAACCTTAGTTTTTGGAAAATCAAATTTAAAAAAAAAAAAAAAAGAGACAAAAGAAAGAGTTAGAAACCTTCGTCGTTTGTAGAAGAAGCAACACCAAGAAGCAGAAAAACCACCATTGCTGAACATAAACTCATTAGCTGCATCTTCTTCTTCATTTTTCCTTTCGTCTTGATTCTTTCTTTGATGCACTTTCCTTTTGAGGTAATAAGCCCAAAACTTGTTGAATTATTTTTTTCTAGTTGGGAGAAACCAAAGAGAAAATTGAGAACAGCAAAGCAGACAGGAAACAAAAAGACGAAAGTTCAGGCTCCTTCTGCCATTGCTGGAGAGAGAGAAGGGAACCAGCACAGGAGATTAGCGTGAACTGCAAGAAATGCAGAGCCAGAGATGTTAAAGAAGAGAGAGGTTGAAGAGTGATGAAATCGTGAGATAATATGTACAGTCTATATAAATAGGGAGCTGAGTCCATGAGAGAGAAACTAAGACCACGACAAATCTGTCAGAGTGAGAGCATATATATGTACACAACTGTATCTATATACATCATTTATATGCTTAAAAGTTAAAACTATGATCGAAATCGAACATTAACTACGATAGTAATGTCACGTTGGAAATATTAGACACCCCTGCTTCAAATTAGTACATGATCCACACAGAAGAATTAACGTTTGTTGGTTAACGGAGAATTAACGGCGTTAGGAATATAGAAAGGTTTGATTTGACGGCAACAAGACCCGCCGTCTGTTGAAGACGCCATTTTCCAATGCAGGGAAGGGAGAGAAGAGAACCCAACATTCCCCACTGTGGAAATTTTTCAACGACGCGCCTTGTTTTTTTTTATCATGCGTGTCTGATCGAACGGTGGATAATTTCGCGTGCACGGTTGATAGCGTGGGACGTGATGTAGAGATATTAGACTATGCTTTTTCTTGTGATAGTTAGTTAATGCTTTGATAGTGATTGGGAAAACCGGTTGGACCGGTTGGGTTTTGTGGTTGTATCCTTTCTATTGACCGTTCGTTTTTTTAGCGAATTAGGACTAATTTTTTCATATTGCTTGATGTGATTTTTTTTATTATTGTATAGAGAGACCATGTCACATGTTGGTTTTTTTTTAGATTAGTTTCACAATAAAATTTGTACGATTGGGACGAAAAAAATTGGTGGAATTGTACCTTTGCTATAAATAAAAATGAATCTATTTTTTAAAACATTAACAGTCCGGTTTTTTACGATGAATTGGAAATCCATGTCGAAAATTAACCTTATAACATCGATATATTGGAAGCACAAAGGTAAATCTATGATTAATGCATTTGAAAATAGTTCAGAGGAAGGATTGGTCTTCGTGAATTAAATTGGTCCGACCGTATCTTTTTCTGCGCCGGTTTGGAACCTTAGGTCATCGTCCTTTTTCTTTGTACAGTCGTACTACACTGCCTAAACCGCCCTATCGGTCAAGATTTTGAATATCAATATCAATTTTTGGCTGGGGGAAAAATTTATAAAAATTACGCTGTTATTTAAAAACATGGGTTTGATGTTGATTAATGTCATTTCACGGGTTATTTCATATAATTTCTCGCTGTATTCTTGGCTTCAGCCGATTATTATTATTATTGTGGAACGGTTGTATTCTTGTATATATAATGGAACTTTTGTCGCAAATTTAAATGTCCAATAAATTTTTCACAATAGTTAGACAACCCCAAGGAAAAAATGCAAGTGAAAATCCTTATTACTTTATGATAAAAATATATCTAGCTAGCAGCTCTTAGAATCTGTATTTTAATCAATCTGGATTATTCATCTATGATATATATATATATATATTCGAATATTGAAATTTGATGTGTTTTTTTTTTGACCAAACAAATTTGATGTTATACTAACAACAACAACAAATCATTGGGGGTGAGGACTGAGGATGAGTTGCATGTATAGCTTTCTACTCGTTACTGTGTTAACCACAAAGTAATAACTAATAACTTAAATTCTATCCACGACACCAATAATTAATAAATGAATACAAATTAAATACGGGAGAAAAAAACGAGTACATAAATAGAAGAAGAGTGGTGTAGTAGGTTCAGCTATAAGCGTCTCTAGTTCCTCTCTAGACCGTAAAGATGCATGGGCACAGCTATGGTCTATGTGAGAAGACCACACTTTTAGTGTACATATCAAAATTTACTCTCTTATTTTTAACAGAAACTATGTTTTATTGATTCCCCACTTGTGCAATAATTATTTTACGAGACAACAATAACCATATGCTTTTTACTTAAAAAGTTGCAAGGAAACAAAAAAAATCGAGTTATAGTTTCATAAAGCTCGTAGGCTTCCACTGCGTATATTAAAGTGACATACCTCTATATCATCTATAACGTAGCATACCATATTGATGTTATAAACATATCGAGCGACTTATCTTTTACTTTTATAAGAAAAGTAGTTGACAATAACAACAACCAACACACAAATGAGGTAAAATTGGTTTTCATTCCACTTCAAAAAAAGTAGTGGAATCACTCAAAGAACTTACAGTAATTGCTTTTTTGATTCTAAAATTATAAGTCACAATTATTTACGAGTCAATTATTTATCGGATGAAAAAGAATTGCTCAAAGACATTTTCTTTCAATTTATTGTAACAAGTGGGAAATCAATACTAAAACAAGTCTGTTATAGACTTAGAGAGATCTGTATACAGAAGCCTACGATGAGAAAAGCCAATGGGAAAAGAGAATAGTGGACACGTGGCAAGATGTGACACGCTAATGCATGTATGCTTCATTAGTAAAAAGCTGAGACAAAAGCTGAGACGATGGTTGTAGCAGTAAGGAGTAACTGATTTGGGACTGGCTTTGCATCCCTAGGGAAAACTTACGGTGGGCAATGCACCAGGCGATCCCAGCCGTTGAAACCAGTTTTGAAAGCACTGTTCGCCAGAGGTTTCCCAATCTAGGCTTCGGTTAAAAATTACTATTTTTACTAAAAAAAACTAATTGAACTCTATTAAACTTGTTCTAAATTAAGTTTAAATTTTCTGCAAATTCATATCTTGTTATAATGAAATACAGACCATTGTTTCCTTAACCATATGTAGTTGTGAGATTTGGGATCGTCTAAGCTTTTGTAGTTGGTGTTTTGTCTTTTATATGTTTTCAAATTTGAACTTAATTAGATACATTTGCTTTGTGCCTATTTCTTACCAACTACGTGTTCACTCGGCAACAAGCCTTGCAAATTGTTTTCTCTCCATCTCATTGACTAGATAAATCAGGCCGGTACATAAGCAATGAGACCCGTTCAAATTGAACATCGCATTTATGGCCCATTGGACTCTTTGTCAGATATTTCTACTAGCAAATTGTTTTTGGATTCTATATTATCGAGTATCCAAATTTTGCCGGAAAGCATCCGAATAAACATGTTCTTGAGTCAAACCTGGGCATGTTCATTACATTTGTTGGGCCTTGTACATTGCATTTTTAGTAGACCGAATCATCTATTTGTATATATGATATTAACTTATTACAAAAAGGCATGTTTTCATAACAATTTCGGCCTTCTAATATGAAGCATTTTGTTGTACATGTTATTATGTTCCATGTGCTTTACCTCTCCCAAACTGGTTAGAGCGGTTTATGGTTAAAATTACGTTTATTTGTCCTATAGCCAACACCATATGTGGATTAATATTTCTTATCTAGGTGTGTTTAAACTATTATTATATGTACATTCGTTTAGTACTCCATTATTAGCTTCTCTTCTTTTCTCGTAATGCTTTACCTCTGTCTCGTTGGTACAAGAGTAATCATTAAGGTTTGTAACTTTTTCCATCAAACTAATTCTCGTTTTTTATCACACTTTTTGGTTAAGCACTCTTTTTGCGACTTGATCATCACTATTTTGTTATATTTATTAGTTTAAAAATGATGAAAACTCTACTGCACTATAGAATTAGAGTTTGTGTATGTCTAAGATTAACAAGCCATGACTAAAGTAAAAGCGTCCACATAAGACTGATATCTACAACATCTGCCCATTTACAGTTGCCAACCTCATTTTAATTTGTAACCGCATGCTTTAATCCATAGTTTAGTCGTTCGTTTCATTGCATGTTCGATATTTCCATTCCAGTCATGATCTGATTAGGAACAAAACGCGTTTCGCGTTTGGTACCTCGTAACGTCTCCAGAATAAAGAACGCGTTTACTTACGCCGACACTTCCATGAATTATCAATATTTTATTTTAATTTGTTTTTTTTTGTCAACTTATCATAAATTGTGTTTCCATGCGACTTTATTATATTATATACGCTATACGCATATTTCAGTCTACATTATACGCACTTAGCTACATTATACATGTTATAATATAACATTTCATTCATTCATTCTTCTTATACGTACTTTTTCGTATATATTATTATGAGGAATACACGGAGCTATATAATATCGATATTCTTTTTTATTCAAATACTGCTATTGAATTGCGAATTTGCGAAAGCTATAAATATTTCACAGGCGCTAAAATATCAATTAAACATTGTCACTTTTCACATTTATAGAAAATTTAGGTTTTTGGGTTAATGTCTAATAAAATATTTGTTTTCATTTTATATATCCCTTTGTTTTTATTATATAAAAATAGCTGCTCATCCGTACATTGTATTTTCATGTTGTATATCTTTGTATATATCGTATGGCAGTTGTAAGAGTATTAATCTATCTCTAATTCATTTAAATTCTGTAACAAAAACAACAACAAGGCATATAAGAAAATAAACAAACTCTTTGTGGATCAACGAAAACTTAAACATTACGTACTGCGAAGGATCCTTTTTAGAAAATAACATTAAATGTTTCTTACACTGTTACTCGCATGGGATCGTCTATTGCGCCGGTACTTGTTTTTAAGATATGCACCAATCTCGATTCGCAAAGTGCGAGTTTCTATGAGTCCTTTTTTAATACTTTATGCCAAGTGCAACGTATAATATTGTAAAGCAAATGACATTTTGTAAAAGAAAGAACTCAATTCGACGTTTGGTAAATCAAATAATCTGCGAGGCTTATTTTTGAAACGTTACGTTGACCCTAAGCTCGTCCGGTTCGGGGTAATAGTAAGATTATTTTGAGTTGCATCCATGTATGTTGAGTCGTTGACATTTGACAATACTCTTTCTAACTTTGGTCCGGGAATAATATCGTTTTTAACTAGCCCAAAAAAAAACTATTCGTATATATAGTTGACTATTTTATTTAATGTACGTTGTATAAAGGAAGGGAGATGATGAAATGCATCTGCTAATTTTTTTACAAATGCTGACCTAGTAGTGCTCATTAATGTATAGTGTTACATTGTTGATTTTTGTGTTATCGCATACCACGATCTCTATTCTTCTAATTAGCTCGATGATTTACTTTAATAGTCTTCACTTTCGTGAAAGCTTGACCCGACAAATTTAAAATAAATTAGACTTTAACCCATAAAACAAACGCTTGTTGTGTGATTTGTTAATTATATTACCCTACCAAACCCTTCAATCTACTTTAAATTATAAGTTTAATGTTAGAAAGAACAAAAGTATTGTATAATTTTCAATAGAGGTGGGCGAGTGCTGAGCCGAACCAAATTGAGTATAGTTTACTAGCTTGGGCTGAGATCAACACAAACCGAAGCAGAATTCATTTGGTTTCATCCGGTTTAGGCAATCTGTGTAATGACAAATAAATGAATATCATCATCAACAAAACAAAATTTGTCGGCAAAACGTCGGAATATGTGACACGTCATGCGGCATGACTCGTGGGTCAAAGAAGCATGGCCACAAAGCCCACATGACGCTTAGTTACTTCTTTCAACATCCATACAGTTCACTCTTAACCTGTCAACTACACGCAACTCACCGTTTCGGCGCAACCCCAATCTTTGTAGCTCGTTGCTCATCTGAAACCTTGAACTTTCGCCACGTGTCCCATATGTGTAGCCTTTCCTAATTTAATATGGTCAGTTACCATACTTAACTTTATATATATTCAGTATTATCAAAATCCGCTGATTTGTTAAGGCAAGTCACTTATATATATTTCTTTAATTATAAGATTCTAATGTGATTTTTTTTCGTTTGATATGGATTAAAAACGTGGTTGAGGGGCAGGTAAGTACTTAGTTTCTGACACAAACTCTGATAAAAAAATCCAGAATAATAGTTTCTGCTTCTACAATAACACGTTGTCAATAACACTAAGGTCCAAGTGTTCACTATTCACCGGCTCCTGTGGTCTTCCCTTGTCGGTTGCCGGCACAGACGGTCAATGTCACAGGCACGTGTCCATTTCTTTCCACCCCGTAATGTCTCCAACGCCTTCAGGGAATTAAACTTTTCAGTGTACTAATTAGGGACCGTATTTTCTAAAATATTCTGTATTGTTCCCCTAGTTTTAGTCTATTCTATTCAGACCTTCATCTAACAACGAAATTAGATTTCTTTACTTTCATTCTTACCAAAATCATGAAATATATTCGCTATCACTAACGAACGATAGTTGGAAATATTAATCAGTTACTATTACCAAATAAAACTTATAGCTGAACTAATGATTAGAAAATAAATACATAAACTTATAGCATCAACAAACCGATCATTATTATATTGTTAAAACCTATTACTACAACTAAACAAAATTTGTCTCTAAAATAACATCATTTACAAGATGCAGTTGTTTACTAGATGCCCAACGTTTATGGGGAAAATTAGTAATTTAAAAAAGTTAAGGAAAAAGCGTGAATCCATCATATAGTTTGATAGGGAGCAGAAACCAATTTAAATATAGTTTCTATTTTATTGCAAAAAGAGAAGGAAAAGAGAAAAAAGAAACAGAATCTCCCCGTTTCTCGAGCACTCTTAAGTTGTCTCTCTCTCCGAGAGTTAGCTTTACGCCATTAACGAGAACCACACAAGAACAACTACCTGATTAACCATTCTCCTTTCCCGGAGATTTTAGCTCCGTCTTCGTAACGGACCCAATATTTCCGGCGACGGAACCTCTCGCTTCTTCCATCTAATTTATAGCTATGCTTCCTGTCTCAAATCCTACCAGCCCTGAACGTCTCCTCAAGAAACTGAGAACCCCAGACACCGACACCACCATTGATCGGAAAAGCTCCTTCAGCTCTCTCAACTCGGTCGGAAATTCGCCCGTTAACCGTTCTTCTTACATCTCCGCCTCCCGGAGCCACTGCACATGGCTCGTCTTATCTCTCCTCTCTCTTCAGCTCATCCTCTTCCTCACTCTCCGATCCATCCCATTCCCCCACCGTCTCTCCCCTGAAAACTTCCCTTCACCGGCCGTATCCGCCTCTAACGAGCCTCTCTCAGCCCAAATCCGACCCGATTCCGCGGACGACGACTCGGGGCGATGCGATTCGGGTCGTGTCTTCGTCTACGACATGCCGAAGATCTTCAACGAAGTGATTCTGCAGCAGTGCGACAATCTCAATCCGTGGAGCTCTCGCTGCGACGCTCTTTCCAACGACGGATTCGGCAAAGAAGCGACGTCGCTAAAAGGCGTGATCCCTGACGCTTTGGTTCCTTCGTGGTTCTGGACTGATCAATTCGTCTCCGAGATCATCTTCCACAACCGGATTCTCAACCACCGTTGCCGGACTTTGGATCCGGAATCAGCCACGGCGTTCTACATCCCGTTCTACGCTGGACTCGCGGTGGGTCAGTACCTGTGGTCTAATTACGCGGCGGCTGATCGTGACCGTCATTGTAAAATGATGACTGAGTGGGTCCGTGATCAGCCTTACTGGAATAGATCCAACGGCTGGGATCATTTCATGACCATGGGACGCATCACATGGGATTTTCGCAGGTCTAGAGACGAGGATTGGGGATCTAACTGTATCTACATCCCGGGCATGCGTAACATCACGCGTCTTCTGATTGAGCGAAACTCTTGGGACCATTTTGACGTCGGTGTGCCGTATCCCACCGGATTCCACCCTCGATCGGACTCCGACGTCGTGAATTGGCAGGATTTCGTCAGGAATCGCCGTCGCGAAACTCTGTTCTGTTTCGCGGGGGCACCACGCGCCGGGATTGAGAACGATTTCAGGGGTTTGCTTCTCCGTCACTGCGAGGAGTCGCGGGGAGCTTGTCGGACGGTGGATTGCACCGTGGGAAAATGCTCGAACGGCTCCTCGGCGATTTTGGAGACGTTTCTGGGCTCCGATTTCTGTCTGCAGCCTAGAGGAGATAGCTTCACTCGCCGGTCTATTTTCGACTGCATGATAGCCGGTTCGATTCCGGTTTTCTTCTGGCGCAGAACCGCATACATGCAGTATCAGTGGTTTTTACCGAATGAACCGGGTAGTTACTCGGTTTACATAGACCGGAATGAGGTGAAAAACGGCACGACATCTATAAAGGAAGTGTTGGAACGGTACAGCAAAGAAGATGTGAGGAGGATGAGAGAACGAGTGATCGAGTTAATACCGAATATGGTATACGCAAAGTCTCCGAATGGTTTAGAGACTTTTAAAGACGCATTTGATGTGGCCGTAGATGGAGTTTTTAGGAGATTCAAGGAGCAAGAGAATTGGTACAAATGGAGATGAGGAGGAAGATGATCCGATAAATGATTATTTATTTATTAATAAGGGTTTTGGGGGATTTTAGCTCCAGTAAAGTTACGATTACACTGTAAATTTAAGATTTTTGTTGAGAGATGAATAATAAGTTTTTTAGTTGAATTTTACTATTACAGTACACTTTGTTGGGTAGGAAAGTAAGTTATTCTATGTGTGGTGTTCTCATTTATAAATTTTCTTTTGGAGACAGGGAATATAGTTTCTTTTAAGGGTAATCCTATTTATTTACATGTGAGAGGTTTAATGGGTTGTATATTTTTGAATATATAACTGTGATCTTTGGGCTATTTAGGTAGGTGGGAAGTGAAAAATGGACCAGAGGCCCGCATCATCGCACGTAAAGGGATTATTTTATAAGATTGTACTATGCAGAACTTGGGGAGGTAGGTAGGAGAAGTAGAATCTGATTTTGGGGTTAGGTTTGATAATAGTATAATACTCGTGACACTTTGATGTTTGTATATAAATTGAAAAATATATTACTGTTCCAAGCAATCCAAATATTGAAACAAGAAAAGAAGGTGGATACATATTTATGGTTTAATTGATTGTGTTTGTTTTTGTCCTTTTGCCATTGTTAAGACGATAATCTAACAATCGGGTTTATTATTTTTTTGTGTGTGGAGATTATACAAATGTATAGAACCAAAAAATTCAAGAAAGACTAGTATCATCCTAAAATATTTGATGAAAAACAAAATATATAGACATACTTCTAAAACATTTTAACATTCATACCAAAAAAAAAAAAAACATTTCACTATTCAAAATCATTTACATCGAACGGGAGAAATGTTCACCAAAACAACATGACCTTAAAAAATGGAGAGTTGGTGTAAAATTTTATTTAAAAATTCTGTAAATTCATCTCAATTTGCTTATTATTTTTGAATACGAAAATGAATTATATTTGTTTTTCATTTCCAATAACTAGAATTATAATTTCATTATAATTTAATACCAACACTCGGACTGTTTGTTTAGTAATACTGAAAAAGTCTACCAACTCAACTAAATCACTTTTCTTCAGGAAAGATATTTTTCTTGGTCTAGGTTTGTTAGTGGGTTTTGTTGTGCCAAGTGCTATAAGTAAGAAGGTAACATTAGTCATTTATATAACACAAACTTCTCAAGTCCTCTTTTAACTCTCATCTATCATCTATCTCTCAAGAATACAGCGATGGAGTTCTTCACTCTCTCATCCGTCCTCCTTCTCCTCTTTTTCTCCTTCACTAATCCCATTCTCTCGCTCTCTGATGAGCCATTCATCTCTTCTGTTCTTCATGATGAAGAAAGCTGCCCTTACACTGTGATTGTCACCACAAGCTGTCTCTCTCCTGATTGGTCAAGGGATCAGATCACTGTTGCTTTGGGTGACGCCAACGGTAACAAGGTTTGATTACAACAAATCTCAGCTTGTTTTTCTTTGTCTTTGTGGGTTCATATCTTATTATGTTTGTATCAATTTCAAAACCTTGCATACCTCATCTTGTTTGATGCCATGGATGCATGTAATAACTGTGTTAAACTCGGATAATCCAAAACCAAAAGCCATTCGAACCGAAATGAGACTTAATCTGTTTAAACTAGTTTTATTTCATTTTATAGATGTAGAAATTATGAAATCAAATCTGAATAGAAACCCCCCAAAAATATATGTATTGTTTTGGGGGAGAATTGAAGATACCTTTGATTAAAAGCGAAGTTTGCAACACAAGGATCAATACTAGATTAATTGTTACATCAGTTATACTTATATATCTTATTAGAAAGACAAAAAAATCCCAAATGAAACAGAATCGCACACTTGTAAGTTCTAGCTGCATGTCATACATGTGTAACTTTATAATAATACTTATAATATAAGGCATCGAATACAATAAAAGTTGTAAACTCGGAGAGTTTTTTAAATACTAATAAATATGTTAATATTGTTGAGGTTTCTTTAGGTGGTTGCACCGAGACTAGACGAACCGTTAACTGGAGGAGGAGGTTTCGAGAAATGTTCATCGGACACATTCCAAGTCAAAGGCCAATGTCTCGACACTATCTGCTCCGTCTACATCTACCGTTCGGGTCCGGACGGTTGGATCCCGGAGAGCATCGAGATCTACAAGGAAGGTTCTAAATCCGCAAAGTTCGATTTCAACAGAAACGTCCCTGAAAACATTTGGTACGGTCACAACCTCTGCAATAACACTGACTTGCCACCGCCTTCACCGGATTTCCCTCCATTTTCTCCCACTGTTCCACCACCCTCGCCGCCTTATTTTCCTCCCGACACACCTTCCATCCCCCCGCCACGGCCACCACCCCCACCTCCCTCTGCTGCGGTTGCCATTGGCGAAAGTTTGATTGTTGCCTTTGCTGCGATTGTGTTTGCGTTTGCGGCTATGGTGGTCTGAGCTATTAGTTAAGATTTTCTTAATATGACTAGTGAGTATGGTGTAATCCCTTCGTGTGTTTGTTTGTAGTTGGAGATTATGGAGACCTTATTTAGTTTATCTATGAGTTTTTAAGTAACCAGTACTTTGTATGTGATTCATAATGACTTTCTTGTTGAATCTTATGCTGTGCAAACATATAGCTACACAATATATTTAAAAAACAAGATTTGACACTACTTCTTTAAATGTAAAAAAGTATCATTTTTGTCGTCAAACTAAAAACACCAATTTCTTGTGCAAAGCCCTCTTGAAATTCAAATATTTTACTTAGTTAGTGTACACAATTTACTGTTAATTGTTCATTCGAGTTGATAAAAATTATAGTATAAAACATAGACTCATCGATCCACATTTGTGATCAGGTTCATTTTTGTGTGGATGGTAAGTTGTCGTATATAATAATCATTTCGTAAAATTGTTGATTTGTGGATGGTGATAAGTAACGAAAAAATATAGTTTAGTAAGTTTTGTTTTGATATGTAAAGCTGTTTTATCAGAGTTTAAACTTGATTAAGGGGGAGGTATTCAATTAAGGAATTTAATTGAATTAGAAGAAATTAGGTTTTCTATTAAATTTCATGGTTATTCAATATTGTATTTCACAAATTCTTTTAAATTCATGTGTTATTGGATTCAATATTTGAAATTATTCTTTTAAATTATTTTAAATTCTAATGTTATTTAATATAGTGATTTTCTAATTCCATTAATTGTTGGTGTTATTCAACTATTGTCATTTTAAAGGAATTTAATAAAATTATAATGAAATTTTGTAAATAACCAATTACCATTTTGATAGAATTGATTTAAATTCTTAATAAAAATTATAAATTACTTCAAAATCAATTATTTTTTAATTCTTTTGTATCAATCATCCAATATCCCACCTAAAATGGTTGCGTATGTAATAGTCCTACTAATTACGGTTCAATTTGTCTTTTGGTTTAACGTCTTAAACTATTAATTTTCACATTTCACCAATAAGTAGAGGCAATTAGAATCTAGAAAACATTTTTGTTCTACAATTTTAAATGTTAACACATCCATTATCATCAATCGAGATGTGGCTTGTCACAGATGCGTGATTTTTTGAGAGAAGCAGTACCACAGACGTAGACCATAGATATTTGTCTAAATCTCTAATCAATTTATACACAAAAACATTAATTACATTTTCTCCTCTACCTAACGCATGACACATGACATGAGCCGTGTGACTTGTGACTTGGGAGCGTTGCCATTTAATTCGGTTCTTGTAATCCGCATCTTTCAAACCGAGATTGAATTCGTCTCGGTCTAATCCGGTTCGGATCGAACTGTGTTGTTAATTTTTTTTTTTTTTTTTTTTTTATCATCTCGACTGTTTCGTTCGACTTCCCTTACTTTCGTCTATCTTCTGGGAACGATTTCGAGAAGCACGAATATGGCGTCAATACGTCTCTTCACTCTTCTCTGCTTCGTCTTCTCAATCTTCCTCACTGTTTCTGAATCTAAAGCTCTGGAGCCTCACGCTGCAGAATCTTTCAACGTCAGCCTCATCCAGGTTCGCTCTCATTCACCCTTTCTCCCTCTTTGAACTTCCTCCGGCGAAATTGGAGGGGTTTCTCGTATTCCGGTGTAGGATTTTTCCGAGAAACTTATGATTTTGCTTGTATGGATGTAAAACTTTCATCGATGATGCAGAAATTGGGGAGTAGTTGCTCTTACACAGTGATCATCTCCACGAGCTGTTCGTCATCGAGGTACACGCGCGACCAGATCAGCATCGCTTTCGGGGATGGATACGGAAACCAGGTTAGATTTCCCGCTGAATAAGATTTTTGATTTCTTTAGAGCATTTGATCTTGGTTTGGAAAAGACTTTGATTCGAAGACTTTGATTTATCGATTAGGCCTAGGGTTTTACTTTGAATGTTTCATCCCAATACAAAGTTAGATTCACACAATTGGCTGACGCTTGTATCTGATTCTTCGTAATTGAGCTTACATTTGGATTTTCTCAGATTTTTCTGTTTGTATCAGCTCATCTTTGGTTTCATCAGCATGACCATTTCAGTTCTTGATAGCTTTTCTATGCTACTGAAATATGCATAACGTTTTCACTGGTATGAAAAGAATCTAAGCAAACAAAGTTCTGCAAATGCCTACATGAACTTTCTTTGTTCTTATTGCAACTGGCAAGATTGCAGTGGTTAATCGGTAGTGCAAGTTCATCTCTAATCACAAAATATCGATAATTTAAGCTTTTGGTGTCTAAAGTTACATTATTGGAACACTTGAGTTTGAGATGAGTATACACATCCTTGGAATAGATGAAAAGCTCCAAAGGATTTGGTTTTGGTTGAAATTAGTGTCTAACTCTGTCACTAACGAGCATCATAATGTTTCACAGACAAAATTTACAGCTCGGGCTTTGTTTTCCTGAATCAGATATACGCACCAAGGCTTGACGATCCATCTACAAAGACGTTTGAGCAATGTTCATCAGATACGTTTCAGATAAACGGACCATGTACATACCAAATATGCTATGTGTATCTCTACAGGTCTGGTCCAGACGGCTGGATCCCAGAGAATGTAAAGATATATAGCCGTGGCGCCAAAGCGGTCACATTCCCATACAACACGCACGTCCCTGAAAGCATCTGGTATGGTTTCAATTACTGCAACAGCGCCTCGGATTCTAACGTTTTGGCCTTTGGTCTCAGAAGGGTCGTGCTCATACTACTAGGGTTTGTTGTCGCCGGTTCAACATTGCTCTAGCAAGCTGTAATGGTTCTGGTTTTTCATGTCGGCTTTGTGTGAACATATTAGGAGTTTATGCAGAATAAATGTGTACTGTTCTTGGAGAATTTGGGTTTATAGATATCCCTCGAAAGATTTCCCTCAGATCTGTAATAACTCTAAAGCTATGATGAAGTTACTACTGCTAATCACAGAGTGTGTAGATTTTATAAACAGTTTGTATTCATTAGAAATTTGTGTGGGCTCATCATCATTAGAATATATATTTGTTAGAAATGACCAAGATATCAAATTGACTTTGTTTGAGATTTGGTTCCAAATCATTTAAAAGCGGAACGATTTTGCTCATATAAGTAGACCATAAAACAATTGAAATACATTTCCGTAACAAAAGTAACATATAAACTATCCTAAAGTTTAAACAACGATATAAAAACATAACTTAATCAACTTTTTAGAATGAGATTATTTGATTCTATATTCAATTTAACATTTTCAATAGAAGAATTTTTCTAACTTTTGATTTCCTAAAAGTATATATAAACCTTTTTATTTTCTTTGGGTCATGTAATTTTTGTATTTGTTACCATGTTTTGTCGAAAACAGAAAGAAAGTTACCATTTCAAGACAAGAGTAAAAACTTGATCATTTAGATATTTGACCTATTAACAATGAGGAAACCGACACGCATTCTCCCTTCCCAATAAAAAACGGCAAACGTAGACCTAAACTCAACGGACTAGATTGCAGTTGAGAGTTAATTAGGGTTTTGATCAACGGAGCCTCTGAAAAGGTCGAAACTATAAGAAGTAGCCAAACCTAACACTTTCTCCTCCTCTTTGTCTCTCCCTGCTTTCCCAATTTCCACCGCCTCATCTCTCAAAAGCAGGAGAGATTCTCTATCTTCTTTACTAATCTTCGCCTCCGAATAACCTAATGCCTTCATTAGCTTTATCCGACAAGAAAGAGGAGAAGAAGATGAAGAAGAAGATAGCCTTGGACACCACCCCAGAGCAGGACTCTAAGAAGGGGAAGAAGGAGGCCAAGCTTAAGCTCTCCGACTCTGATGGAGATGAGTCGGAGAAGAAGAAGAGCAAGAAGAAGGACAAGAAGCGCAGGGCTTCGGAGGTAGATGAACCGGAGGAGGGGGCCAAGAGCGATTCAAGCTCGGACTTGGTGGAACCGGAGAGTTCCAAGGCTGAGAAGAAGAAGAGCAGCAAGAAGGTGAAGCTGGGTGTGGAGGATGTCGAAGTCGAAAACCCCAACGCCGTTTCCAAGTTTCGGATTTCGGCTCCGTTGAGGGAGAAGCTCAAGGAGAAGGGTATCGAAGCCCTTTTCCCGATTCAGGCGACAACCTTTGATATGGTTCTCGACGGTGCTGATTTGGTCGGACGCGCTCGTACTGGTCAGGTATTGGTTGATTTGGTTATTTATTCTAATGTCTCTGTGTTGAATTGTTCAGTCAGTTTGATGTTTGTCTAACTGGTCTATGGTGGTAAAGTTCGAGGCTTTTATGAGGAAGTCGATATTAAGAGTGCCTAAATTTATTGAGTGATTACCTTTTGAGCTGAAAGTTATCGAAAGATTAATATATTTGTACCATTATTAGTTACAAGCTCACTGGTATTTATGAATTTGCGAGCCTCTTGGACTCGATAATGGGAAATCTATTGCTTGTTTGCGAGTTAAATTTTCAAAGTTAGAGGCTTTGCTGATCATATGTGTTGTGGTGCAGGGCAAAACATTGGCTTTCGTGTTACCTATATTGGAGTCATTGATCAATGGGCCTGCGAAAAGCAAAAGGAAGAATGGATACGGCAGGCCTCCAAGTGTTTTGGTACTTTTACCGACCAGAGAATTGGCCAAGCAGGTAATTACATTGAGGAGATGTTATTACAAAATTTGGAGCAAATTGGTTTTTGTTTATTGATGGCATGGTGTTCTTTTGTAGGTGTATGCTGACTTTGAGACATACGGAGGAGCAGTTGGGTTAAATGCTTGCTGCGTCTATGGAGGTGATCCTTACCAACCTCAGGAGTATAAAATAAAGAGAGGTGTTGACATTGTTGTTGGGACTCCTGGTCGTATTAAGGTATGTCTCTTGTTCTTTTCTTAACTCAAATTTCCTGAGCGGATTTTATTCCGAGTGTCGGCTGGTTGACTGAAACCAAATCATCGTTTTTGTTTGTGTGCTCTCTTGACCTTGTAGTGGTGGTATTCATTGTAGGATCATATTGAAAGGAAAAACCTTGACCTGACCTATCTTCAATTCCGTGTTCTTGATGAGGCTGATGAAATGTTGAGAATGGGATTCGTTGACGATGTTGAACTTATTCTAGGTATGTAATGGTGGTTTTTGGTTTTCGTGATATGAACAAAACATATGTGAGATGTTTTAAAACTCTTGGTATGTTGATGTTGTATATTGATGTTTTTATTTCTCTAATCTTCAGGGAAGGTGGAGGACCCTAAGAAAGTCCAGACGCTTCTCTTCAGTGCTACCTTGCCATCATGGGTGAAAGACGTAAGTCCCTTTCAAACTTTTCGTTTCACTATTTTTCACGAGTTGCTTTTTCAATTTCTATCTATATATATATGCCTGAGATCTTTCTTGCTGCTACCAGATCGCTTCTAGGTTTCTTAAACCAGAGAAGAAGACTATTGATCTTGTTGGAAATGATAAAATGAAGGCCAGTAATAGTGTTAGACACATTGCTCTTCCCTGTAGTAAGCAAGCCATGTCTAAGTTGATTCCTGATATTATCAGTTTATATAGCAGGTACCGTTTAGTACTTCCATAATCATTTCTCCCGAGTTTTAATTGTTAAGTCTCTTAATCATTGTTCTTTCACAAATTCAGTGGGGGAAGTACCATCATTTTCACTGAGACTAAAGATCAAGCTTCTGAGCTTTCTGGTTTGTTGCCCGGGGCAAGAGCTTTGCATGGTGACATTCAACAATCACAACGTGAGGTAGGTTATTAATTTTCATTTCCAACTTGGTTCATATGAGAAGTAAAATGGGGAGAATGTGAAATTTATTCTTATCCTACTGAATCGCTTGCTCATAGTTGCTAACTATGATTTCTGTGGTTGTAGATTACCCTTGCTGGATTCAGAAAGGGTAAATTCTCGACATTGGTTGCTACAAACGTTGCTGCTCGTGGTCTAGATATCAATGACGTGCAGTTAATTATCCAGGTTAGTGTCAGCCCGCGAGCTCTAATCACTCTTGTCTAACGCTTCGTTGGTGTTCATAACCTACTGTTTTATCCGGTTGCAGTGTGAGCCCCCACGTGATGTTGAAGATTATATTCATCGCTCAGGCCGAACGGGAAGAGCTGGTAAAGCACATTGCTAATATGTGCAGCTGCTTAGTAACGTTGTGGTTGCTTGATGATGTTGTCCTGATCCGTATTTTATTTCTGTTGCAGGCAACACTGGAGTTGCGGTTATGCTGTACGATTCTAGAAAGTCGGGAGTATCAAGGATTGAAAAACAAGCTGGTATCAAATTTGAGCACGTTTCTGCACCGCAGCCTAATGATATCGCCAAAGCTGTTGGTATGGAAGCTGCTGAGAAAATTACACAAGTCTGTGACAGGTAAATGTTTACACAAATACACATCAATCTTCTTTGTAAACCCTAGGAAATCACTCAGAAATGTCGTATTTACCGGACAATGTTTCAAAATGCAGCGTCGTTCCTGCCTTTTTGGCGTCTGCGAAGGACTTGTTAGAAACTTCCGGTGTATCAGCAGAAGTACTCCTCGCAAAAGCTCTTGCAAAAACTGCGGTTGGTCTCATTATGATTAATTCTATTGAAGCACTTTTCTTATGTGTGTTGTCATCTCAAAGCAAAGTACTAAGAGAGTTTTGAATTGTCATTTTTTAAAATGCAGGGCTTCACCGAGATTAAGAAAAGATCGGTGCTAACATCAATGGAGAACCATGTTACACTACTTCTTGAAGTTGGGAGACCCTTGTACTCGCCATCGTAAGTTTCTTTCTCACTGTTTTACTCTGTTTGTGTACTCAGAAGAACATACTAAAAGATGATTGTGGTTCCGCAGAGGTGCGTTTTCCACGCTGAGGAGGTACTTGCCAGAAGACAAGGTTAATACGATCGAAGGGCTAACTTTGACAGCAGATGCACATGGTGCGGTTTTCGATGTTGTACAATCGGATGTAGACTTCTTCATTGCAGCTGGGCAAAAGCATGCTGGAAGTATGAGCTTACTGGTTGTTAAGGAGTTGCCTAAACTTCAAGAGAGGGAGCCATTGCCAAGAGGCAGATTTGGTCGCGGTGGCGGCCCAGGCGGAAGGTCTAATCGCGGTGGTAGATTTGGTCGTGGTGGTAGAGGCCAGAGATGGTAACTCAACACCCTACCGTTGATCAAAAACAAGTCTCTTATAATTTCATTACTACTTTCTTGATCTTTGCAGTTTTTTTATTTATAATGTGTGGTTTTTCCTTTTCCCTCTCTATGAACAACTCAGGGGGAAGGCTCTTTTGTTGTCCCCCTATCAATTTTGTGTTAATTTTGGATGATAATGATGATAAAATTATTAATTCATCACTCACAATTTCTTCATAGTTGAATGATATATCTTCTAGACTATATTATAGTCTTTCCATTCGCTGTCTATTTGAAGTTTGGTGAATCGCAAAATATTTGTGATTTGAATATGTTTAATTTTTTACAAGAGTTTTCGTTTTCGTTTTCCTTTGAACTAGTCGCAGAAAGATGGTAAAATACACAAATCTTTTCTTGTGGAATTGCGTTTTGTAATTTGCAACTTACTGCATATTTTTTCGACTATAGTTGGTAAATTCGTCTGTGTGGAATTTCGAGACACAGTCATGCCTGCTGAATCTAAGCTTTCTTATCTTTTTTATGTTTTACTCTCCTTAGTTCTTAAATGTATGATGTTTTAAATTTTTTACTTGTTCTACTAAGATTGATGTTTTAGAGTATTAAATACATATTTTTGTAGATTTCAAAAAAAGTAATTAAAATTATTCAAATCATTAAATCACTATTAGTTAATAAGTAATGATTGTAAAAAAGTAATGTACTAATAACTAAAAAGTAACTCTTCTTTAATTTATGTAAACAAGCTAAATCATCATATTTATTAGAACGGAGGGAGTATTATAATTGTCAAACTTCAAATTGGTGTTTTGGGTTTTGGCCTTTGAATCTTCGACAACGCTTCTCGATTTAAGAAAGAGACGTGTTGACGACTTGTGTACCAAGAAAGGCGGTGTCTTGTTATTTTACACATAAAGAGCCATTACGTTTTCTCCACTTGCAAATTGCAATGTCATTGTCATTTTTTGTGTGGTTAATCCTTTCTTTTTCCACTTGCGTTGCATAGTACTAGATAAATTAGTTTTGTGGTTATTCATATCAGTTGAGTTTTAAAAAAATTACTTCATAGTTAACCTAAAATTACTTTAAGTCAGTTGTTAGTTTGAATTTCCAAAAAGCATTTTAGACATGATGAGTGCGATTCTTAAACACGAGTTTAGATTATGCTTAGAATGAACGTCTCAAGCAAATCCAGTATCTATTTTATTTTCGTCTACACCAAATATAGAAATTACACCGACAACGAAACATAGTGTAACTAAATTTGAATTAACTACAATACAATTCAAATTTCAAAAATATAGTTAGTAGTATACACATAATTATTTAGCTCATAAATATGCTTTTCAACCAAATTTACGTTTTTTTCTATCAATTAATACATAAGACACAAAATCATAAATATAGATGAATTCTCACGGATATTAGTTGGCAGTACTATCGTACTGTAAATTTATCAATTTTCTTTGTTTTTGCTTGTGGATGGTCTTTTTAACGCAAGAAAAATATTCATCAAAATTTTATACTATGAAAAAAAAAATGTTGTTTTTCTGATAAATTGTATATAAAGACGGGGGCAGAAGAATCAGTCGACCTAAACCAACCCACATTCCAAAATTTCCAATCCAAAAGACCAAAATAATGTCGGAACCAACACCAGTCTCTGATCCTTATGCTTATCTTAACATCGTCAAGAATCCAGACGGCTCCATCACTCGCGACCTCACCAACTTCCCGTGCGTCCCTGCCACACCTGATCCCTCCCCGTTAAACCCCGTCGTATCCAAAGACATCCCCTTGAACCAGTCAAAGTCAACGTGGATGCGTCTCTACCTTCCCACCACCGCACTGGATAATCCTTCCTCCACGGGAAACGACGGCGTTTCGTCTCAAAAATTCCCGCTCCTGGTGTACTACCACGGCGGAGGATTCATCCTCGGCAGCGTCGACTTCAAACGCTTCCACGACTTCTGCTCCGACATGGCGCGGGATCTCAACGCCATCGTTGTATCGTCTTCGTACCGGCTAGCTCCCGAGTACCGATTACCGGCGGCGTACGACGACGGAATGGAGGCGCTGGAATGGATTAGAAACACCGACGACGAGTGGGTTAGAGCTCACGCCGATTTCTCCAACGTGATCCTCATGGGCACGAGCGCCGGAGGGAACTTGGCTTACAACGTCGGGATAAGATCCCTTGATTCCGCCGTGGATCTGAGTCCGTTACAGATCCGTGGACTGATTCTACACCATCCGTTCTTCGGCGGCGAAGAGCGATGCGGATCTGAGATCAGACTTGCGAACGATCAGGTCTGTCCGCCCATAGTCACCGACGTCTTCTGGGATCTCTCTCTCCCCGTCGGCGTTGACCGGGATCACGAGTACTCGAATCCGACGGTGGGAGATGGATCGGAGCATTTGGAGAAGATGGGACGGTTGAGATGGAAGGTGATGGTGATTGGAGGGGAGGAAGATCCGATGATAGATCGGCAGAGAGATGTGGCGAAGTTGATGAAGAAGAAGGGAATGGACGTTACCGAGCAATTTAACGACGGCGACATTCACGGTGCTGAGATCGGAGATCCTTCCAAGCGTGAAACTCTGTTTGTTTCCATCAGAAATTTCATTTCCTCCTCTGCTCTGTAACGTACTTGTTTTTTTTTTGTTTAAATCATATTTTATCAAAAAGCAACCTATAAATTACAAATAATATTGGAGGTCCAAGTAGATGGGCCCGTAAAGATTGTAAAATCCAAAATTCTAATGACCTTAGTAGGCCCATTGATATTATATTCAAAACTAGCGTTTATATTGTGTGGACTGTGGAGAGTACCTTCCTCTGTTGTTTACATGAAAACTTTGAAAGCTTCCCAACAAGTTTGGACATGCATAGATAGAAATATGAAATTGGGCTTTATATTTACCCAATGGATCTACTTAATATTTAGGTCCAGAATAACCGAAACTATAAACTATAGGATTAAGATTGAAAATACCAAAACAATTCATGTTTGATTAATAAGGTAAGTTAATAGCCAATAAATAATGTTGTCTGAATTGTGATAATATTTTGGAATCTTGACAAAAAAAACAAATCATAAAATGGTCCATATATATATATATATTAGAAGGTGTGGTCCCTTATAGGTGATAGCAAAATTGCAGGAGGCTGCATTGATGTTTATAGAACAAAAATCCAAAAATATAAACTGGGAATACTTAATTAGTATGAGACTGGAGAGACAGTTTATCGCATTGGCTCTTTTCATTTTTCTTCATATTTTTTGTTTTATAAGCACAATCTTAAGAAAATCAGTCATGTTCTCAGTTCTTTGTTTTTAGTTTTGTTCAGATTATAAGGACAGGTTAGTTTGTATCGTACTATGACCATACCCAAAAGAATACATGTGATTTGTGTTGGCCACATTCACTTAAATATTCATGTTATATTGTTTTGGTCCAGTCTTCTCTTCATTTATGAATACATTTTGTACACTATGGTATCATTTTCCTTTTAATTATATGTGCCTTGCGCGCTATATATATATATATGGGTTGTTTTTTTATTTTGCTTTATAATCAGTAGAAACAGTATGATTTACACGTAAAACTAATTAGAATTATCCGTTGTTTTATTAAAAATCATATGAGTGATCAGTGATGACCAAGCAACGGTCACCACGATGATCCCGTTTACAAATGATTCCTACCCACTATACTAATAAGTGGTGATTGTCACATCGCATTCTAATGATGGATAAGATCATAAATGCGTAACGTACTTGTTTATTGGTTATTGGGTTGTATTAAAAATGGGAGAAAGGAAGTCAAAATTAAAAGTAGGATAAAATTTGAAAGGAGAAAGACGTCATGGTTTGAAACATAAGAGTCACGATTGAAGATCCCCTCGTTGTTCGGTAACACCGCCATGGAGTTTGTGTACGAATCTTATTGTAATTTGAGCTTTTCAGTATTTTTTTAAAAATCACTAGTTTTTGAAGAATTATATAGTTGTTACTAAATTTTGACAAAAAAAAAAAAAATATATATATATATAGTTGTTACTAAATATATTATAGATTTAAGAAATTAATTTGTATGAACTAAACAATTTTTACTATCCGAATACTCTCCATGACATTGTTATTATGATTGTGGGTCTTAATCTCTATATATTGTGAAAGCATACTTGATCAAATAATTGTTTTTTATTTTGTGTGTGACAAAATGATAAATTAGAAAATATGGATTGAAACGAGTTCCATCTCTTATACTAGACGATATATCATAAAATGTATTTAAATAGGAGTAGATGATAAATTCTACATTTTAAAGACCTAAATGTTTTTTCTTACATATTTTGTATTACATTATGTGATACCGACAGAATACCAAGCGTATATATATTTACAGAGAAGCCAAAACCAGCAGGCCCCCCATACTTACCTTTTATAACCAAAAACATTATTCTTATTTCAATTACAAAAACCATTTCTTCGTCCTTTTTGTTGTTTTTCAAAATATTAATTGATTTTACATTTGACAAACTTCTCCTAATTACAAAAGCCTACGAAAAAAATATATAGCTGGGGAAAAAGAAAGCCTATTCGAAATGTATGAAGATAGAGATGGGTTATTTGTTTTTATATCTTATACGGTTTCATGGATCCACTTTCTCTCAGCTACATCATAGTATATATTTTTAATCTTTAATCTTATAAAAACCATTTCCTCCCCACTCCATATTTCTCCTTCTTCCTCCTCAAGTCACAAACCATTTCAACAAAAAGACAACAGAGCCAAGTCCTTAAACCGGAAAAACAAAAACAAAAAATGGGAAGAGACTGGTCCTGGCTCGGCGGAGTTGGCTTAGGAGGAGGGAAGAAAAAACCCTCAAAGAAGGACATCAAAGCGACGCCGTCGTCTTCGTCACCCGCCGGGAATACTGCAACGGCGGCGGGATGCATGAGTGCTGTGTTTAACATTTTCGATTTGCACCATTTACAGTTTCCCATTAACCATCACCATCTTCATCTTCCCAAAGGTACTATCTTTTTCTTCACTATTACACTTCTCCTCAATCTCTACATACATTACTTGATTTTCTGTTAAAATCCATATTTTCAGGTGTAGATGCGCCGAGAAACAGCTTGGAATCAACGGAGCAGGAGGAGGAGGAGGAGGAGGCTCCATTTTCACCTACCAGAAAAGATGGAAATTTAAATATCTCTGTTAGTGATTAAAATTAAAAATTCCACTCTGTTTAGTTATCTTCTTGGGTTCCTCAAAAGTTTCTTTCTTTTTTCTCTAATACTCATGACCCTAATCATAAAATTGCAGATGGGTATCAAAATCAAGACCAAACCACAAGCAAGATCATCATCATCGTCATCGTCTCTTGCAGGCACCCATGAATCTTATTCTCCGAGTGTAAAGACACCAACTTTGGTCGCTAGACTCATGGGTCTCGATCTTGTTCCGGACAATTACAGATCATCTCCTACTCCATCTTCTTCTTCTTCTTCCTTAATCGATCTCAAGATACCAACAAGATCTTCTCACACCAACAAACACAGACACTACTCTCTCCAAAGAAACTCCATCGACGGAGGCACACGGTCTCTTCCGGAGACACCGAGGATATCACTCGGAAGGAGATCGGTCGACGTCAACTGTTACGAACACCAACGTTCTTCACTTCATCTCAGAGACAACAACATTCACGTGTCGTCTGAGCGAGAATCATGTGTTAACGGTGTCAGGCTCACGAGGGTCAAAGAGATGAAGATATACGAAGATAAAGAGAATCGGAGTCCACGAGAGTACGCTAGACAGATAGTGATGCAGTTGAAGGAGAACGTTAGCAGGAGAAGAAAAGTGGGAACTGATATTACCAACAAAGAACAACAACAATCAAAAGAGATTCACGACTCCAAGAAAGCTTCTAAAGTCACGATCACCACTCATGAGTCACCATCCCCGAGATTGAGATTATCGGAAATCCCCAAAACGAAACCAGCCTCATCAGCTCAGACAAATAATGTTGCTCCCAGGTTGCTGGAGACGACAGTGAAGGTTCAAGACAAGACCAGGCTACCAACAGTTCAAGAAGAGCCCCAACGAGCAGAGAAAGCAAAACAGAGCAAGTCTGCAAAAAAATGCAAGAAACCAGAGAATTTCAAGTCGAGATTAGTGAAGCCGCCACAGACAATGCAGGAGGAGCCGTTTGTTCGATCACCAGCAACAAGTAACAACAACAATGGTCTACTTCTGATTCAAGGAGACAAGTCTTCATGCAAAAAGACTTCTCTCTCCATTAATGATCTCGTCAACTTCCCCAGTGTTCCTTCTCTTCACACCATCAAGAAGAAAGATTCATCTCCTCACAAATCGGTATAATCAATGCTTTCCCACATCCTTTTCGATATTTAATGTTTTTCCCACGAGTTTTCGTTAAATGTTTTTTCCTTTGGAAAATTATTTTGCAGTCAAACTTAAATGCGTCAAAGCTCAGAGAAACGCAATCATCAAGAAACAGAGCATCATCAGAGTTTCCTAGTTTTCCGAGCCAATCACAAACGCACATTGCACCAATCGCCGGCGGCGAGTTAGAGTACGTAACAAGAACCCTACGACGAACTGGAATCGACAGAGACACACCGGTTTCATACGCTAAATGGTTCTCTCCTTCGCACCCACTCGATCCATCCATCTTCTACTTTCTCGAGCATTTCGCTATTACGTCGAGCAGACCTAGAAACTCGCCGGAAGATCTAGCTCTCCGTTGCAATCGGAAACTACTGTTCCATTTAGTCGATGAAATCCTCGCCGATGTTTTAAAGCCGCACATCAACTTGAAACCGTGGGTATGCCGTTACCCGGCTCAGTCTCGGAGGAATCTAAAGGGATCGGAGCTGATCGACGAATTGAGTCGGAGAATAGAGCGGTTTCCGTTGGCCAAGTGTTTGGTTCTGGAAGACATTGATGCTCTGGTCGCCGGAGACTTCCCGGAGACGGCGACGCAGGCGGGGTTGGCGTTTGAAGAGGAAGGCGAAGGAATCGTCGCGGAGATCGAGAGAGGAATCCTCGAAGCGCTCGTGAGCGAAACGACAACGGATTATTACGCCACGTGTATCAAAACGGCGCCGCTTAGGAGTAACGATGATGTCAGTGGCACGTGGGGAGTTCACGTGACGAGATACCCTTCGAATGTGGGGCCCTCCCACGACCCGTCCTCTTTGTTTTGCCAAACGAGATTGAGGCCTCCACGTGGATAAAGTATTCCACATGGCTATCATTTATTGGCTTTTCCTTGTATAGAATCTATTTTTAATTATTTTTATACTATTTTCAAATACTTTCTAGCCGTTATAAATTCATCAAACAAAAAATAAATTTTTGAAAATGTGGAGTGGTGTGGACCGGTATGGTGGCGCTTGTGAGATATATATAAAATCTGTCAAATTCAGATGTTTTTGTCCCCCGTGTATTCCAACATCCCATGGGTTTCGCATATGCTATGGTAGACTTAAGAATAGTATTCATGAGCGTTTTGAATATTTTTGATTTTATGTTGTTGGCTATATTTATTTATTTTCTTGTAACGGAAAGTTGAAAAATAGAATAAATCTTTCAATATAAGTTTGTATTTACGCATTAGGCTTGACACTGAATAGTCTGAATCGCAATCAAGGCCTAGCTATGGAAATGTTTGAAATAATATCGTAGCTACGTTACCTAGTTTCGGATAGTCGTATAGGTTTGAAATACTATACACACATCTAAAAGAAGCTTATTCTATTTTAAGGGTCTTGCTATAAGAAAAAGTTGTTGCCCCCAAAAGTATTTTGATTTTTTTGTTTTTTTTTCTGCCAAATTTGCCTTCTGTCTTATTTTGAAATTTTGCTTACATTTTTTACATAAAATTACGATATTGTTTTTGTTTTTGCAGATTGGGTATGTAATCATAATTACGGTAACTCATAAGTTTTAAGTTTGGCATCTACACAACTAGCCTCGATTAATTTGGCGCAAACAACAGTTGAAGGTTTCAAGCTCTCTGACAATGTGACACACACAGCTCACACTTTTTGTAGAAAGAATCATTCACTCAATAAGTTATGTGACATTTTGGTCCAAAAAGAAAGAAAGTTATATGACATTATAGTTATGGTGATGTGACAAAATTCTCAATTTTTTTATAATTAATTATATATGACACTACTATGATTATCGATCCATCTCGATGAGAAGTTGAATTAGAGATGAATCATATGGTATTATTTGGTTATATATCATACACGTTTGATTGTCTGTTTATTTCTTCTCTAAAACTCATTTTTTGTTCGACCTTGTGCATCTTAGTTTGTTAGATCTATCGAAACTTTGGTAAAATCAAATGTATAAAATTAATAATAAAAAATTAACATGCAGCCATGAAGCAACAAATTTTGAAAAGCCTTTGACGATTATGACGTTGACGATGAGTACAAAAACGTACGTATTTTTCAAGAGGAATCTTATGTATCTTTGTTATCATGTCATGAGAGTTTGTGCATCACAGAGAACTTAAACAATTCTGACGATTGCCCAAAATAATTAAAGTAAAGGAGTGTAAAAGACGAATATTTATTTTACATATAAATATAAATTTTAAGGATAAAAGAAAAGTGAAAAGGAGAAGAGAACCTTGTAAAGTAGTAAAAAGACAATACGAAAGATAGATTTTGCATGGACCCGAGACATTTACGTGAAGATTGTAGGCTTTATAGCTACATCTGTCGTAACGAAGACACCACTCAAGCCAGATCTAACTATTTTTCAGATAAATAATGATCTACAATCAATAATTATCAAAACATATGACTCAATTCACAACATTCTGAAATATCCAAAATCTACATCTATCATCTATAAATAAAACTATTTAAGTTTTTTTTTTGTTTTGAAAGGAAAAACTATTTAAGTTTTACACATTTAAATGTCTTTTTATGTATATATTTGTCTGTGTTAATTATATATGTATGACTGTGTCCCATATGATAACTCATCATAGCTTGTGTCCATTGTCCAGCTAAACTGTCGACCGTTGGGCGGGAAATTCAAAATAAACAGCAGAAAGTATAAGATAAGAGCAAGTCACATGGGTGAGGATTTTTAATAGTATGATCTTCGTTTGCTAACCATTATATATATATATATATATGTGAAATTAAGATATTGATAGGGTTGACCAGAATCTATTAAATGATGATGTTCGTATAATATAGTTAACCCCTTTGCATATTTTCTTGCAAATATTAATTGATTGCCCTGGGGATTAAATGTTTTGTTGGTAATTATATACTCTTTTTTTTACTGCGGTAATTATATATTCTATTTTGGGATTATTCTTACGTTTAGCATATACATTTCCTAGATGTATAGTGTAAAATTGAAGTGTACGAGACAGACTGAGAGTACTTTTTCAATCGCACGGTATCATTGAATAAAGTTAAAATAATAATAATAACAAATCAATAAAACTTGAAGAAATGTTTTCATAATTAAGAAAAGTAACAGTATACGAGTTTGATGGTCTAGATATTGAGATATTTATAGCCTAGTTTCGATGCTGCATATATGTCAAAATGAGAATGTATCATACATATATGTTAAATTTATGTGCATACTATATTTAAAAAGAGTTTACATTCGGTGCATGTGTAATTTGCGTATAAGAGAAAGACATTCTTCCTTGTTTGACCAAAAAAAAAGAGAGGACATCCTTCCTTCATTCGAAAGAAGATTTAGACTCATCGGTAAAATTTTGCTACAACTGAAATTATGGTCTGTAAGTCTGTAACAATGCAAAACTATAATGCATTTCTGGATGTTATTCTAATTTTACAATGATGTTCATGAAATTTGACTATTTTTTTTTTTTTTTTTTTTGCATTTCTTCTTGTGTTCCTTTTTTGTTTTGTTTTTTTAATCTTCCTATAATAAATGAAACAATTTCTGTTTCCTTATATTTAACTGCAGATGCAAACTCTTGTTCTAAAATATTGGGCTAAGCCTAAGATAAAAATTATATATATCAAATGATCTGCGATTTAATTATGTACGCTTATTTTATAGTATTTTTCCGATTACAATTGTAACTTTCTCTTAGATTTTTAACGTATTATTATTTATTAGAAAGGGAAATACATGCAGTACTTACAGTCTCAAACCTGTCGCATGTTAGGTTATAATATAATCCAAAAGAAAACCGAAAAGGATAAACAGAACATCAAGAAAAAGTATAAAGTTAGAAAGCATACTATGTAAAGTCTTAGAAAGACTATAAAACGAAACAGCATTGCATGGCTCCTCTAACCTATGTAAGTACGAGACTGCTTAAAAAATATTTCGATATATATGATACACAACTAATCAACCAGAAATATATAATATAATGCAGGAGTTAATTAATACTTTAATCGATGGATATTTTTGTGTTGAACCATATATCTATTTAGCAAATATGGTTAATGGTTAATGAGCATTTTTATAATAAATAAAAAAAATGGTTAATAAGTTCTTTTACTACCTGACTGATTTCTGATTGCCCACGATAATCCTTATTATTATAAGTATCTAATGCATAAAATATTAAAAGAAGCAACGGTCGAAGTTACTGAATTTCAAAATTCAAAAAGAGTGGATTAAGCAGCTAACCGTGAGCTGATGCATTTATCTCCTATACGATAGTGTTTGTGTATGATTTATGAATCTGATTATAATATTCGAAGGAGTATTAAGGAGTAGTTGCAACTTGCAACACGGGTGGGTTGTTAGTTGTACATCAGATGCGGTGGAAAGCAGTAATTTAGTCCATTGGGCCCTTATTGGTCTTGAAGCCTAGAACTTGTTGAACAGTTTTACATTGTTAGGGCTTAAGACTCCTTTTAATTATTCTTTTTCGGTTTTTCTTATAGACGCATCTGAACCAATTCCTTAGACAAAAATGTGATTCAACTATTGATTAAGCTGAAACGTCCGACCAACATCGATTTTCTACTGAAAAAAATAATGAATGAGTATTTTGAAGAATGATAAGTTTAAAAGTTGGAGTGTGCAATCTAAGTATTGGTTTAGTTCCACTCTAATCCAGTAAAGGCATTGTTAAAAACATATTTTAATCTAATATATAATCCAGTAAGGTATGGTTAAAAACATATTTTTAAAGTTGAAAAACATTGATTTTGGTTAAGTTTTAACCTTGCCTTATTTACCTCTCACAATTAATTTAAGGGTTTAAATATAGCTATTTATTCTCCCCGTAATCGTGTAAGGACCACAATAAGTTCTAAGGATAATATGACAAATCATGACTCACAATTTATCAAAGAACTTTAAATATTTGGTGATAAACAAATATGTATAAAATCTACTGTTGTTAGCGGTGTCTCTCTGGAAAGCCGATGAATAAATCAGTTTGTACTTCCAAATTCAGATCAATAACTCTGAATTTATCTTGTTGATCGATCGATCCTTTCCATGGATCTATAACATTCTGTTCATAACATAGATTGCAATTTCATCAACCACAGATATAGTATTTTATACATTTATCTCTAAAAAGAAATGATGAAATGAATGATATCCTAATTAATCTGTTTTACTTTCTGCATTTGAAAAAAGAAAATTATAAGCAAAACTACTGAAAAATATCATCAAACTTAATATCGACAGCTCTTTGAAATCAAGCTTTTTATATATACTTCACCATAAAATACAACTTAAGGAAAGAGAAAAACTAAAACCAAAATTTAGCCTCACAATATAATCTCCGTTAATATAATCTAAATTTCCTATAAATTAAAGACCAGAGATCTTCATGAAACATTTTCAGCATCTTTGAACATTAGCAGTTTATGCAATTTAAGTTGAACTAGTATCAGCGTATGTCTAAATATGTGATTTGAGAAGAGACATGAATTTACCTTTTGATGTAACTGAACGTTCTCTTCTAACAATTGTTTCTCCTGAAACGAAGGCATACTCCTCTTACCATTTTTAGACACAATGCTATATATACACAACAGATTATTAACGTGATGTATGGTGTTATACCTTTGCTTTTAGATTCTCCAACTGCTCTTTGAACAACTGTGCCTATAAAATTTATGTCCAAATTTTTTCATTTCTATGATAAAAGTACTAATATTGAAATTACACATGTCTGGATATATTGACTATATGTCGCCAAATTAAAGACTGCAAAAAAATATGTGTTCAATTTCGCGTCTAAATGAGGACTACTATAAGTCGATAGTTTAGATGGGAAATTGTTAATTTCAATATGTATGTGTATTTGCATTATATAACATCATCATCATCTTTATAATATATACGAATGTAGTGATGAGTTACACACCTTTCTTGCTCGGACGTTGCCCAAACTTCTTTGGAGTTGACTATCAATTTCTTGAAGCTCTTCAAGAGAACAAGAAGCAAGTCCTTGACCCAATAGCTTCCTATACAAACGCAAAAGGAAGCTACCATCAGTTTAAAGTATATAATTAATTCAATTGCAAGTAATTATTGGGTATTAAGTAAAAATCACTTATTCCTTTCGGCGAACAAGACAACACCGTGAACAAATATACTAATATACTATAGAACATTGAAATGGCGCCATTATACTATCGCAGTTATTGCGTTTGCGTTTACATGATTTTTATTTTTATTTTATAAAAATCACGGGTTTTACATACATTTTCAGTGTTTTTCAAAAAATATTTTGTAAATTATAAACGCAAACGTTAAACACAAAACAATCCTTAGGTTTGTATTTGGTGTTTAAGTTTAAAATTAATTCGAACGAAGTGTGGAAAGAAAAAAAGGAAAGGAAAGGCTAAGGCATGATACCGCTTGTGAAACTCAAGGAGTTCAATCTTTGTGATCAATTGGCTTGCTTCTTGCTTCAATTGCTACATTATGCCGACAAAATGAAATCATATGACGCAAAAAGAATTACGGAAAAAAACATCAATATATATATATAGACATGATTAACTGTTGAACTTAATCATTTTAAAATCGCATTAAGTGTTCAACATTGTACTAGTGCTGGTATATCTCTCAAATGGTTTGGTTAGGTAGGCCAAGAAAAGGAAAGAAAAAAATCAACATTATGTAAATCTCTAGGACATCATCCAAAATATTTCATGTAAATTAAGTCTGATTGTTATTAATTCCCAAAAAGAGTGAAAAACATCAAGAACAAAAAAAAATATTGGTAACAAACCTGTATGTAAATTTCAGAATCGTGGTTGTTGGTTTCATTATCTTTTGTATACTTGCGGTACCGTTCGATCATCTTCTGCATGCTGATGATCAAACATAAACATATATATTTTTAGCAATTACATAATTCATGTACCTATTTATCTCGTAAGTTCTTTGTTTCATCTCTGATTCAATATCTATCATATTTGAGATTTAAAGATAAGACGTACATCTTCTAGCAACCAAATCTGCTTATTTGATTTTTAGTAAAGATTCACCTAACGCCCCATCTCTCTCAAGTTGTACTACAATGTCTTTTGGCTATAGGTTAATAATAATATCTCTATAGGTAACTATTAAACCCATTCCCCTATGGATTCATCATGCCTTTTTCTTATAATGTCTTCATTTACTGAACTCCATTACTTTTGCAACTTTGCCAAAAGTCATATAACTGAATCGATCTAGAACTCAATCCATTTGCTAACCAATAGTTAACAAAATAGACTAGCATACAGAAAAACATACACAGCCTTATCTACTTGGCTCTATCTTTGGTTAGAGCACAAGCATTGATTGGTTTCTTATTGGATATATAATTAACTATTCCTCACATATATACATGCTATAGATACTGTATATAGAGAGACAGGGATATATATGTATGCACTGCATACCTGAATCAAATGAAGAAGAGCACACATAATTAGTATGACTACAAAAGTAGAGCCCAAATAAAGACATAGCGAAAACCAAAGACGATAGTACACAACCTAACTAGGGGCACGAAAAAGTAAAACTTATTTATATTATCATCAAATAAATTGGGTAAACAACAGTGCAAGTTGGTACGGATCACAGTCACACTAAATAATAATCTAAATTCTAGTCTAAATCCCATATAAAGCTAGTTCCGATGTTGTTTTCTGTTCATACTTTCAAGAAATTTTGGAAACCCTAGACACACACACGAATACATATATAGTTTAGATGAAAATTAGTTCAGGTAGATCGGAAAAATGGAGTTTGTCTGGATTTCTCACCAAATAACAATATATATATATATATATATATATAGAAAAAACAAATTATATTAATAGGGGAAGAGAAGAAAGAAATCCTTACGATTCAGACAAGGATCGAATCTCGTCAAGTAACAAAATCTAAAATAGTAGATTTAGTCAATTACGATTCAGAAAAATTCAGACAAGACACATACACATAACCTAAAAGCCTAATTAAACCTAATAAAAAGTACAAAAAAGTAAAAGAAAATTAAATTAAAGAACTAAGAAGAAATTAAAGAGGACATACTCAGAGTTAGAGAACTCGTAAAGCCTTCCTCTCTGAGAGAAGATTATGAGAGAGACTTGAGCATCACAGAGCACTGAGAGCTCGTAAGCTTTCTTCAACAAACCATTTCTTCTTTTTGAGAAAGTCACTTGTCTACTCGTAGCGTTTTCTATTTTCTTCATCTCTATCTTTCCTCTCACCATTTTTCTTCTTTTGACTTTTTTTTTTGGTTCTGGCACAGGATCTGTAAAAGTTGGAACCCTAAACCAGCCAGTGACCGGTTAAATAACCAGAGTCATTAAAAGGACATATTGAGAGAGGGAGCGAGAGAGAGAGAGAGAGAGAGAGATCTCACCGGAGAGAGGGAGAGAGGTTAAGTGTCGGCAGAGAAACTGAAGAAAAGATACGCTAGTAGTGAAGAACAAATTTATTTTAAATCAAGAATTTCTCAGGAAACGATAATTGTGAAAGATTTGTAGATAAACTCAATTTAAAGTTGAGGCAGAGAAGAAAGAGCTGAAATTCAATAGAAATGGAAAGAGAAAAAGGTAATTGCTTTTTATTTTTCAGGAGCCCTAGGATATGATCTGTGAGGGAAGGAAAGGGCAAGTTTCTTAATGTTTTATTTATTTTATTTTAGTATGGGTAACAATAATATGATGTTGTTACTCTTATATTAATTTTTATTCTTGATAATAATAATAATATTACGTATAGAATATGTCTATTTTCTGTCCATATCTTCACCTCGCCACACAACAGAATAATAAGATGCCAAAAAAAGAAACAAGATAATTCTTGTTTTTATTTCATCTATCTGAAAAGCAACCCAGATTTTCTTCAAAAATTCAACATCAGCAGAAAAAATTAATGCTGAAATAGATTTGTGATTATCTACTACTATAATATAGTATATTTAACACGGTCTAACATTTTGCACTCTTCTAATTAAGAACATTACTAAACATATATAAAGTTTATACTCCGTATTAAACATTTCTCCCTCAAACAACTTCGAAAAACATCGAAAAAACAGTATGAACTATGAAGATTAATATTGTGCGCTCAAAACGATGGAAGTAAAGAAATAATAAAAGTAATTGTGGTTGTGACTTGTGAACCAGTTATAGTATTTCAACTTTCCAATAAATAATTGAGAAAACGAAAAGACAATCGTGGCAGGTTCAAAATTTTACATTAGAATAATGGCAGTACGAAATATAAACTCTATTTAGCACCAGAAAAGGTCCATAATATGGTCTACGAAAAAAACATATTCTTTACCCCGTTTTGGTAAAAAAAAAATTAACGAGGAAAGAAAGAAAGATGATATCGGAAAGTCTCCACTAAAATATGAAATTTTGGGAGAGAGAAGAGTGGAAATGTGCGCAATATTAAGAATAACTAATTGGTTTGAACTTTGAACTTTTAACTATGTAATGGTTACTAGTGAACAAAAGACTATAAATGAATAAAAGATTGATTTAAATAGTGTTAGATTTAAATAGAATTGACTGATTTTAAAAATTAGAATATTTAAATAAAAGAGTTTTGTAAACTTAAAAATCCGTGTAAATAGATAATTTTTAACATATATGCTTGGACGATTGTATACTGTTTATCATGGGAATCGCAGAACCATGGTTTTTATTTTTATTGCAACCTCTCTCAACAAGTCTGAGCTTTTTTTTTCTCACACTAAAAGTAGACATTCTTGATTCTTGCATTCAAACCCCAAAGGTAAAAAAAAAAGACATTCTTGCATTGGTCTCCGTAGTAAAAATCTTCCGTATAATATTCGATGACAATTATAAAGCTCTTCTTCTCCAAAACAGTGACCTCCATTTCGTGAGAAAGGAATGCAAGAATCCTTGCTGACAAAAGATTATCATCAAGGAAAGCGGACAGATCAATGCGTGATCACCTGTTGACCCTTCACCCAAATCAGACACAGATATCAAGGTTTCTCTCTTCTTGAATTTACTTTATTTGTATTGTGAAGCCACCACTGTGATTATTTCTTGTTCCACGTTGTCTAATGTCTAATCCCTGTAGTTCCATGTGGTGTGAAAAATGCCTAAACAACAAAACATTAAAACCCCAAAATAAATGCCAATCACTTATCGTTGTGAGTTGTGACGAGCTAGACAAGTTCCTAATGAACAGAGTCGTGAACAGAAAAGAAGAAAAAACATAGGAACCAGAGACATTGCTACGTGTCATCATATTAATGGTTATGGTTTAAGAAAATTACTAGTAGTACATTTTTCCTCTTACAATTATTAATCTTAGGACAATAATTAAGAAAGGAGAAAAACAGTATAGAAAGGAGCACGCCAAAAAGAAACAGTATCGAAATAGTCATTGACATCATCGTACAATGTCAGTGCTTTGTCACGTGTCTTGCACTTATTGGCCTCACCTGTTCGATAACTGTTCCTCACTGGATTACACATTTGGAGCCTTAAATCATAAACCAGTTCTGCTTTATATTTTTGTATTTTATTAAAAAAAATAATTTGGATATTTTCGCCGTTCTAGTTTATACAAAGTCTGTCGTGGTTCAAAATTTGTCCGACCATTAAATATGGAGAGACGCTGAAACAGTTGAATATTTTTCTTATGATATGTTGTAATTTTCTTAGCGCCTATAAAAGGATTGGGAAATAAGATATTGACAAATATCGATTAGGCCCAAAGATGTTGTTGTGGTTTTACTTATACCAGAACAAGATATTGATAAACATTCATCAATTAGGCCCAAAAGCCCATCAAGATGGAATATTAGGAATATGGCCCACAAAGTTAGGAATAAGCCTTTATGGGTAAAAGTCTATCGACTTATTCCATTGATATGCACAAAAATATAGGGCAGATTCATATTGGGTTTAGCTAGTTTCCTTGATAAACGCTTCAATCGATAATTTCGAGAAATTCGATTCTAGTTTATCCAACATTTACTTGGGGCGCTGGAGAAGCAATATTTATCTAAGCAATTGTGATTAATATTGGGCGTTTTCGGAATAATGACAATTATGTAGCTAGAGCTCACTTGTTTATTAAAAGATGCAAGTATGTGAGAATGATTTAGATCGTGATGAATAGAAAATTGATGTCAAAAGATGCAATGTGCTAGTAAATGCTCTTGATGTCAAAATTATAGTGCCATCAGTAAACTAGCATCTTATATCGAATTTGTCAAAAAATGAATGGAATATTGATTTCAAAACTATTAAGAAAAAGAGAAGCTAGCTTATTTCAATGCTTTTTTTGTTGTCTTTTACTACTCATAGGTTTTATTTGTTTCCAATGAAGAGAAGAAGTAGAAAAATTAGCAAAAGGAAAATGAGTAAAGTGAAACTTACTCAGTTGTGTATACTTAGCTAAAAAAGGAAGGTTTGGTTCAGACTGTGTTTAAGCGGAAGCAGTGACAGGGCAACTCTCCTTTGGCAAAAGACACAGCAAATAGCTAAAGAAAAGGAGCAAATCACAGAGTCGCCTGCCAATAGAAAGATGCCCTATTACTGCTCTGCTTATTGTAACTTCTCCTCCTTCATTATGCTATGAGAGATGATGGTATGTTGGTTACTCATGTACTCATGTGCTCAGCATATATATAAGTCTTTAATTTTTTTAAAATGGTGACTTTTTGACATTTGAGCGACTGAGAGAAAAGAAGAGATGCTTTGATGGGTTATTCCATGGATATCCTTCTCCATGTTTTTGTTCTTCAAAGTGTTGTTGCCTTTTGAATGATGCTGCTTCTTATTTCTCTTCTTTTGCTTCATAATGAAGCCATTCGAGGATGTTTGTTAACTCACCCAGCTTCGAAGGTACTGTCTCTACTAATTAAGCATTTTAAGTTTTAACTTTCATACCACACACGTGTAACATATTCATAGTTTCATATGCGACGAGTACTAGAATGACTTTTTCCTTGAAAACTAAAAAGAATCTTTGTCTGAAGATAATTAATGTGTAGGGTGAATGAGATTGTGAAAGTGGAATTATTAGCATAAAAAAAAATATGATAATGGCATATCTTTTCATGTATTTCCTCAAGCCCTATGATCAAGTCATTGTAGCACTTAAGGTGTCAATCCAATCAGGGATTTCAATCATTGAGAATATATGAAATCTAGTAAGCCAAGCTGATTAAGAAATAGGTTTATAATAAACTAACAACCTAATAATCAAATAGGAAATGATTAATCAATATTAAGCACTAAACATCAATAATCAACCACTAAATCATCCTGGATCTAACCAATCTTAAGAACCCTAAGAGAACCACACACCACACACGTGTAACATATTCACAGTTTCATATGCGATGAGTACTAGAATGAACTTTTTCCTTGAACACTAAAAAGAATCTGGGCTTTATCTTTGGCTGAAGATACTTTAATGTGTAGAGTGAATGAGATTGTGAAAGTGGAATTATTAGCATAAAAAAAATGATAATGGCATATCCTTTTTGAAGGAGTTATATTCCATGAATATCCAGAAGATGAAAAACGGATCGTTTCGAGAAGAATTTGATCTCTTGATTAATGCTTTTATGAAGAGCCAACGTTGTGAGACTCATTACAAAACTATCCAATTCTGTTTTGCTCTTTAGTTGCTGCTCACGTTCCTTGCGTTTTACGTCATGAGACATTTTCTAGGCTTAGGTTTTTCGAAAAACATTTTCAAGCCCAGATAACTAAAAAAATATCTTAAGAAAACAAAACTCTATCAAGCCCAAATAGCTAACAGAGACATCAAACCAGCACCAAGAATTAGAGAAAAGCTACAAGATAATTGTATCTTCATACTACTCTGAGCTTTGTGGTCCATGAACAATGGAGCTACTAAATCAACAAGCGCCATGTAAATCAAGATTCCGGCGGCTGCAGCGTTCAGAAAACCGGAAACTTTTAGTGTCATCGGACTATTTTCATTGTAAATCTCGGCGACTCCAGTACCGATTCCGATCCCTACCGGTGCCGTGAGTGCGAAGAACAGCACCATAACCCAAATTTTCTTAACTCTAAAATTTGCCTGCATAAAAAATACAATGTCAAAGTTGTTCATTTAATTCTCAGTTAGTTGATAGGAATCATAAATAAGTGAGAAAGAAAAACAGAAATTAAGATTACCTCAGAGATGCAACCACCGAGACCAAAACCTTCAAACAGTTGATGGAAAGTTATTGCAGCCA